TTTTTAATAATTAATTGTTAATATTTAAAAGTTAGATATCGTAGAGTTACAACGATTTATTTTTAGCGTAAAAAATCTCAAATCTAAAAAAAACGTAACTCCGCTTCTAAAATGCATCTCACGTTATCTCAAAAATTAAAATATTCTACTTTTAAATTGAGATTTTAATCTTCTTTAACTGAATTTAAAACTCGAATGTTCCACAATTATAAATTTTACCTATAGTTATAAATTTAGGTCTACTTTTTTTCAAAATTGACATTTATGTAAAAATGTTTTTTTTTTTTTTTTTTTTTTTTGTTAAAAAGAACAAAAAGGATATTTCTCGCATTTTATGAATAAAAGAATCCCCACAAAGATGTGAAAACGCTGGGTCTGATACCTATGTTTTATGCAATACTTCGGAAGGATTATTTTGGTTAAACGGTAATCTTATACTAAATCTCGCCTTTCTGGTTTCGTCGAAAGCATATCATATCCTAGTCATATGCAACACGCGGTTTCCAGATTATGGAATGAATTTCCATAAATAGTAACAATTACTTTGTCCTGATTTTTATTACACGCCTTTCCTCTAATCAAATTCCCCTAATCTAAAACACAATTTTACATAAAATGAATACAATTATACTATCAAACTAATAAAATTATACTACAAAACTAAATAAAATTAATACTAAATATTTGAAGAAGAAAAAGAAATAGAACAAGAAAAATAAACAGAAGAAAAATGGAGTACCACACGTTTTCGGAAAAAATCCCTTTTTCAAAAAAATGACCTATTTAAAAATAAATAAAAATTCAGATCAAATTAAGCATCAAGACCAGATTCTTTTTTCGAGAAAAAATTATTTTATATATCAGAGAAGAATTGTAAACAGTTCTTAAGTACCTAACCTTTTCGGAAAAATAAGCCCTTTTTGAATAAATAAAATGAATAAATCCAGGGTTGCTACAAAAATTTGATTTAATTTTTCCCTATAGGGAAAATGTATACATTTTCCCTCTTTAATTGTAAAATTATTCAGAACATCAGTTTTTTAAATAAATATTTAATTATTATTCTTAATTTTCCACTGGAATTAAGATTTTTAAAAATTTCGAATTTTAAATATTTTTAAATTTAATAATTTATATAAAAATCACCGTAACTTCTCAAAAATTATTTTCAAGATTTTAATTAAAATATTTTCTAGAATTTTTAACTATAATTCTTTTCTGAATCAATTTTTCTTAAATAATGTTTGCAAATATTCCTTGAGAATTAAATTGTTTGTTCAAAGAAAAAAAATGCACCTAAAATATTTCTGAATTCCTCTTGTTTGCAATTCAATTTCATGAAATTTCAATAATTTGAAAATTTTTCAATTAAATATATATTTTTATAATTTACGTAATTTTAAAAAAATTTAAATATCACAAGTTAATCAAAAACTAACTTCTTTAGAATTTTTAATTAAAATTTTCTAAAACTTCAATTTGAAACCTTTTGAAATTCATACTATAATAATAATCATTGTATTCTGATTGTCTGTTCGCAGAATAGAGTTAATTTTTTGATAATTTATTTTTTTTTATTGTTTTTATTTTAAAATTAACAAAATTCCAATTCAATTTTTTCAAGATTAAATAATAACAAAAATTAATTAAACAAAATTGCTGCGAATCAAAAATCATAATTTAATTTAACAAATTAATAATGGACTTGCTGTGAAGAATTTATTAAAAATTTTGAAAATAATTGGATTATTTTGAAGAAGTTTATTAAAGTTTTTGAAAATAATATATAATAATAATTTGTTTGTTAATCAGTTAATAAATTAATTTTTTACAATTTTAAATTCGAAATTATTCAAAATTTGCTAGTTACTTATAAGAATTGTAAACACTATTTTTATAAAATTTAATTATTTTTTAAATTTTTAATTAAAATTATTCGCTAAATAATTTATAAATAATAATTTTATAAATAGTTATTCAAGAATTCAATAATTTAAAATAAATTCAATGTCATTTTTGTAAAGTTCAATTATTGTTATAAAAATAGACAGAATTTTAATTTAATTATTAAATTTTTTCAATATTTATGAACGCTACTAGACAACAAAATTCAAAAATTTTTTTATGAATTCTACAAAATTTAATAGTTTTCCAGTGCTTTCGATAAAATTTCCTGACTTTTTCCTGATTTCCCTGACCAATTTTTTACTTTTCTTGAATTCCCTGATTCCCCTGACCAATTTTATTCCCTCCTGACTTTTTTCTGACTCCCCTGATTTCCCTGGCACGCTACCTGGCACTCTATCTATAAAAAATAATATTAGTAGAATAAAAATTCGTGATTTGGCATTTTACAATTGTTTGCGAGTGGTACTGTAATTTTTAAATAGAAATTTCTCCCCGCATGTAAGTGAAAAAAAACTCTATGTGCTCTCGACCATTCGTGTGTTAAATTAAATTGATAACCACAGCAACGGACTCGAATCTATTTCTTCCATTTTGCCGTTAAAGTAAACCTGCGGCGTACATGAAAAGAGTTCCATTATAAAATCGAGTAAATAGTGAGAAAGATTTTAGTGAAAAATTTTTCTTTCATTCCCTAATAAAAATTGGAATTTTTTCATTTAAATAAAATTACTCTCAACTGTAACTAAAAGAAAAATCTAAACCATGAATATATCGAATATAAATATTCCAGTCGCAAAAAGAAAATATTTCCCATTTAACCTTTTTAAGGCATTCTTTTAATTTTACCATTTTCTTTTATACTCAAAAATAAAGATTTTTCAGGGTCGCCACAAAAATTAATTTTGTTTTTCCCTGATTTTCAGAATTTTTCCTGACTGATTTTGACTTTTTTCCTGACCCTAAAGAATATTCTGATTCACTCTTAAAATGATTAGATACTCAAAAAAAAACATTCTGTTACATTTACTTACGAATTTCTTTAATTGTAAAATTATTCGCAAACATCAAAAACTTCATTTTTAAATAAGTATTTAATTATTATTTTTCCATAGAAAAAATTTATTTTCAAAACATTGTTTTATTCAACAATGTTTTATTCTTCAAAACATTCAAATTAAAACATTTTTAAAATTCTACAACTTATAAGAATATTATTATAAAACATGAAGATATGAATCACTCCGAGTCTTCGACTCGGAGTAATTCATGTCTTTGTTTTATAAAAGTTTAGATTTCCATAAAATTTTTCAATAAAAAATTAAATTATTTACAAAAATTATAATAAAATTCGTTGCAAGAATTCAATTATTTTCAGAAATAATAAAATTCTTCACAGGATTTTAATTATTTTTAATACAATTTTTAAATAAATTTCTCGAAAAATGAAATAATCTTCAAAAATTTTTTGCAAGAATTAAATTATATTTCACAAATAATGAAATTCTTCGTTGAAATTCAAAAATTTTCAAAATTTACTATTTTAATAAAGGTTCTCAAAAGAATTTAGTTATTTAAATAAAATGTAATAAAATAGCTTGCTGGAATTCAATTATTTATACAAGTAATAAAATTTTTCACATGAATTCAATTACATATTTAAAACAAAATTTGATAAAATTCATTATAAGAATTCCATTATTTTCATAAATTATAAAATTTTTCTGAGGATTTCAATTATTTTTAATACAATTTAAAATAAAATCCTGGAAAAATAGAATTATTTTCTTAAATTTTTTTTAAGAAGTTAATTACATTTCACGAATATAATGAAATTCTTATTTGAAATTCAAATATTTTCCAAATCTACTATTTTTACAAAAATTCTCAAAAGAATTCAATTATTTTTATAAATAATAAGATTCTTTACATTATTTCAATTATTTAAAAAAAAAATCGATAAAATTTGTTGCAAAAATTCAATTACTTTCATAAATTAATAAAATTCTTCACAGGATTTCAATTATTTTTAATACAACTTTAAGTATAAATTCTTCGAAAAATGTAATTATTTTCAAAAATTGTACTAAAATTCTTCAAAAAAATTCAATTATCAATTATTTTCAAAAATTCATACTATAATGCTTTTAATATATTCTCTAATGTTCATTTTTAAATCAATTTTTATTGAAAAATTCTACGAGAATTTAATTATTTAAATACAAAAATAAATAATTTACTGAATAAATGAATGTTTCTCTAAATTGAATTATCATAAAGAATTTTATCAACATAATTTAATTTTCTCGAGGAATTTGAAAAAAATTGTATCAAAAATAATTGAAATTCTATGATGAGTTTTATTAATCATGAAAATAATTGAATTTTTGTAAAAAATGTTATTAATTGAATTCTTTTGAAAAATTTTATTAAAATAGTAGATATTGAAAATCATTGAATTGAGGAAATTTTTTTAAAAATAATTGAAATTTTGCAAAGAATTTTATTAAAATTTTTGAAAATAATTGAAATTCGGAGAAGAATTTTATTATTTTTAAAGATAATTGAATTTTGACGTGGATTTTTTTTTAATTTTTGAACATAATTGAATTTCTACGAAGAATTTTATTACTTTTGAAAATAATTGAATTTCTGCAATCATTTGTAACTTCTCCAAAATTCAATTTTTTCCAGTACTTTAATAAAAACCCGACTTTTCCCTGAATTCCCTGATTTCCCCGACCTGTGGCAACCCTGTTTTTTTAACAATAATTTTTCTTTTAATTCAATTTTTATACTCAAAAATAATCTTTGTACTCCAAAACAAAGATTTTTTAACCAGTTTTCCTATTAATTCCACAATTTCTTTTACTCAAAAATAAAGAGCTTCTTTTTAACCAAAATTCTTTAAATTAAAATTAAAAAACAATTCTAAAAACTTTTCATATTGATTATCAAGTTTTTAATTTAAAAAAACGTATTCAATATGAAAAAAAGTTATTTCAATTGTCGCAAAAATTGATAGAAAACCTTCAGGTAACTTTTTCTTTTACGAAATCCAGCATTCTGTAATATTAAGAAATTGTAGAACTCACGTTTCTAAAGTGTAACTAGATTTTCTGGCGTCAGTGATGAGATGTCGGATGGGTTGCGATTGTGAATAATGCCTCCTGCATGTCAGAAGTGGTACCAACTCGACGCCACCAGTGAGGCGATAAACCTGAACCTCCTCATTATACGCTTTCCCTGAATTGCGTTCAGTAATAGGATCTGGATGAGGGTCCGGGGTAATTCCTACAATGTAACAAGAGAAATTTTAACAGTGGAATACATCACACTTCATTCTTCTTTTTGATTAAAAAAATGACAAATATTTATGAATAGACGTTTGCTCTGCAAACTAACACAGTAGCAAATAAATTAATATTTGCCAACATTCTTCTAACATTATAATTTTGTACTCTTTCATATTTGCCCAATAAGAAAAAAAATATAGCACTTAATAAGTTTTAGTAAACTATTAGTAACTTTTTTTTATCCTTAATCCCTCCTAACAGAATTTTAATTAATCTTTAATTAATAACAGAAAAAATTTATGCAAATTCTATTTTTAATAATTGAATTCTTGTGAAATTTTCATTTCACAGAAAAAAAATTTATTTGATTCAAATAACCGATTAATTGACTATTATCAATTAAATATTTAATTGAATCAAATAATATTTATTGGAGTCAATTAAATGGTATTTGAGCCAATAAATTCAGTATTTGAAGCAAATGCCATTTAATTGACTCGAATAAATATTATTTGATTCAAGAAAATATTTAATTAATAATAATCAATTAATCGGTTATTTGAATCAAATAATTTTTTTTCAGTGTATTTTAGAAAATAATTTAATATTCGTGTAGAACTTTGTCAAAATTATTTTTAAATAATTAAATTCGTTTGGGAAATCCCGATTAAAATAATAGATATATACAAATTATTGAATTAAGATAAAAATTTTGAAAATAACTGAAATTTTGCAATGAATTTTATTAAAATTTTTGAAAATAATTGAATTTTATTGCTTTTAAAAATAATTGAATTCTTGTGATGAATATTGTTATTTATGAAAATAATTGACTTCATCCGAATGATTTTATTTTGTTTTTTTTAAATAATTAAATTACTGAAAAGAATTTTAAAATTTATGTAAAATAATTGAATTACTGCGTTGAAATTTTTATTTCTTTGAAAAATAATTGAATGTTCGTGTAGAATATTATCAAAATTTTTGTTTAGTAATTTAATTCTTTTGGGAAATTTTATTAAAATACTATAATATCGAAAATCATTGAATCAAGAGAAATTTTTGAAAATAATTGAAATTTTGCCATGAATTTTATTAAAATTTTTGTAATTAATTGAATTTTGCAATGAATTTAATTAAAATTCCTGAAAATAATTGAATTTTGGCGAAGAATTTTGCTATTCATTTTTAAATAATTGAAATGTTGACACTTTTTTTTTTATTTTTTAAAAATAATTGATTTTCTGCGAAGAATTTTATTAATTTTGAAAATAATTGAATTCTTGTGATGAATATTGTTGTTTATGAAAATAATTTAATTTTACAATGAATTTTATAAAAATTCTTGAATATAATTGAATTTCGGCAAAGAATTTTGCTATTTATAAAGATAATTGAAATGTTGACAAGAATTTTTTTTTTAAATTTGTAAAAATAATTGAATTTCTGGAAAGAAATATTAATATTTATTAAGATAATTAAATTCTTTCAAAGAATTGCGTTAAAAATTTAAAAATTGAAACTAATTTCAACAGAATTAAAATTAAAATTTTTCAAAAAAATACTTCATTGAATTATTTATAAGCAATAACTTTATGACAGAAGTTCTTCAAAAGAAATAAGTTATTTAAAATAAATTATTGTCAGAAATAGAAAAAATTGAAGGTTTTTTTTTTAAATTCGTGATAATTTCATAGTTTGTGAGGCAAACAAAAAGAAACAAAAATTTAGAATTTTCTTATAAATTCTAAACAATTAATTTTTTCCCGTACTTTTAATAAAAATCCCTGACTTTTCCCTAATTTCCCCAACCTATGGCAACCCTGAACAATAGAATAATAGAAATGGTAAAAATAATTCTACAAAATCAATAAACAATAAATACTAAAATGATGAACGTTCAAAAGATATTATGGATACTGTTACATTATCCATACAACATTGTTGCAGCAAATTTAACGTAAATATTCATGGAAATATGTTGTCGAGGAGGATATTAACAACGTGCAATTATCAAGCTATAAATTTCCAATTTTTCATAACATGCTCTTGTACAATGTTCCCGAAATTTCCAAACTAATGAATTTTATTAGTCTACGAAATAATTAAATTGTTTCTAAAATTAATAACTGACACTTATTAATAAAATATTTTAAATACTTTTTCTCTCCATACCTCTACGAGCACCAACATCGTACAATTTATTCATCTCAGTTGATGCCAAAGGATTTATAGACTGCATACTTTTCCTAGCAGACTTTGTCATCCATCCCTGCAAAAAAAAAGAAAAATTCCAATTAATTTCCATTATTATTCACGCATTATTAATACACCGTTAATATTAATATAATAAAACAAATATATAATTGAGTGAAAAAATTATAGCCTCCAGTTAATTATTTGTATTCATTAGCAATATGATTATTTGTAAAATATATTAATTAAATGATAAATTAGATATAATTTAATTATACATCATATTTAATTAACTGCACTAGCTGTTTATTAATATAAATAAATCAATAAATTAATAATCTAAATTACAAACATGATATTATTTTTATATAGAAAATAAGTACAAAATAGTCGATAGCAAATTAGGTCAAGTTAAAAATAAAAAAAAAATATAAAAAATCTCACAATTTAAATTATAGAGTAAACTATAGAAAAATGAATAAATGTACTTTTTTCCTCATGAAAAGTGAATTATTTAAATCTTTTATTAACTATAAAAAGTCATTAATTTGCATTTGGAATTACTTCCTTAGACTATCATAAAAGTGATCAGTACATAAAAAAAAAAAATTCTTTTATAGTAACGAATTAACATATTATTTTAATATTCCATTAACATATAAATCTTAAAACGTAATCTAAGCAAAAGAAAAATGCCTGTCATTTCTTAAATACTTTTTTCTTAACCGAAACGAAAAACTCGATATTCATCCATCAAAGTCCTTCTTTAGCTGCTTGGCTGAGAAGTAGTTCAACGTTTACAGATAGAAAATAAAAGAAAAAAAAAATCTCCCATAAATCAATCGACTCTAATTTATCCGATTAGAAACAATTTCAGTAAAAAAGAAAAAAAAACAATAGAAATTCATGGCAAAAAAATTATTCACTTCACGCCTTTGTGAACACGTGAAAGAAATTAATTACTTAAAAGAACAATTTTATTTTCTTTTAAATAAAATTTCACACTTTCCCCTCTGAATAAATTTTTACAAAAATTGACCAATTTCTTGAAATGCAAACCATAGATAAAAATAAAATTTAGAAATATTAAGAAAAAAATTGCAATTTCCAATCAAAATGGAAATATATGGAATTAAAAAAAATTTAATTAACAAGTTTAAATTTGTTAACTAATTATATTGATCATCGACCGGATGAAATATGAATTTCGTCTACACATAAATATAAATGAACTTCGCATACAACTAAGATATGCGTACCAGTGATTCGAGAAAACGAACTCCAAACAATTTGGGATCTCTCCAAGGAACTCCACCAGGTCCAGGACGACCCCATGGAACGGAATTCAGCTAGGAATGCACCACAATTGGAATAAAGTCTTAAATAGTTAAAAACCCATTTTAACTTCTACTCTACTCCGAAAAAAATATGTATGGCAAAATTTCAAACATTATTTCAATTTATATAATATTAAAATTTAATTAAAATTTAATTTTCTATTTTCTTCTTCAAAATAGCAAAGTTATTATTAAAAGAATTAATTTGGTTTAAAAACAAAGTAAATATCTATAAAAATCCATAAAAATAAAAAATTAATAACTAAACTTTTTGAAAATATTAATTGCTTTTTATATAAAAATATATTTTTTGTAAACTATCATTTCAAAGGTTTCATAAAATTAAAACTATTCATCATTTTTGTCTTCATTAATAATTTGATGAATATTAGTATTAATATTTATATTTAATATTAATATTATTTAATATTAATATTTAATATTAATATTTAATATTAATATTTAATTTTTAGATTAATATCTATAATATAAATTATAGATAATAAATAATAATAGAATAGATAATAATAAAAAGATAACAAAAATTTTAATAATATATAATTTGAAAAAATATTGTCAATTTTATTTACAACAATATTTGATGAGTGATCAACTATATGTCAATTTTAATAATTTTTTTTTTCAGTATCCAGTTTAACAGAATCAGTGGAGCTTTTCATGCCAGAAGTCAGTTGGGAAATTAATGAACTTTATATCAACGTCTCACTGAATTGCTGTCAATGTCTTTTTTTTTCCCCTCGTCACTCAAGCGATAACGACAGTGAATCAATCTAAATCCTATCAATTAGATTTTTAAATAAATTTCTCTAATTCTAATTTATTATTTCAAATCAAAGACTGGCGGACGCTGTCGGATAAAAGCTTTTAAAAATAAATTCATTAATCAACTTTACATATTTTCAGCTTTCATATAGTTAATTTAACATTCTGTTCTAATAATAAAAAATTTCCATGTCTGTCATTGAACAAAATTAATACAAACGTTATATTAAAAATTCTCCTGTAACTTTTTTCAAATTAATTTCAATATTTCAGTTCCATTATTTTCTAGAATTTTTTAACTAAACTTTTTCTCTAAATTAATTATTTTTTTAAATAATTTTAGAGACAGTTGTTAAAAAAATCAATTATTCAAAGAAAAAGAAAAGTTCATCTAAAATGTTTCTGAAATCCATTTATCTACAATTTAATTTTACGAAATTTCAATTATTCGGAAGTTTTTCAATAACTAATTACAAAAAAAATTTGATATATAATTTTTCAAAGAAAATAAAATCTTTAAAATCTTTAATTAAAACTGCTCAAAATTCAAATTTTTAAAACTCCCAATTTAAAAAATTTTTGGATTATTTCTAGAAATTTCTAGAATTTTCTCCTCATTAAATCAATTTTATTTTTAATAATTTTCAGAAAGTTTTTGGAGAATTTAATTATTGAATTATTATTTGCATAAAAAAGAAATTAAATACATAAAAAATTCACTTGTTTTCAATTCAATTTTACGAAAATTCGAATTTTTTCCAATGAAAAATAAATATTTATAATTTAAATAATTTCAAAAAAAATTTAATAAAATTTTTTCAATAAATAAACCAAGCTTGCCACAAAAATTGAATTTCACTTTTCCCTGACTTTTCTACAATTTCCAGATACTATTTTGAATTTTTCCCTGAAACTTCTAAAAAACTTAAAATAGTTCAAAATAAAATTAATTACTGCATAAAATTCCATCGATTATTATTTTTATAAAATCCAAAAAAATTATTAAAAAATTAAATTATTTTTAATTGAATTTAAGGAAAAATTCAATTATTTTGCAAATTTTCAATTTCTAGTTTAGAAAATTTCAATTATCTTCATTTCAGTTGTTAAAAATAGAATTGAATTATTTTAAAACCTAAATTTTTCGAAACTTTTAGTTAAAAATAATTGTAATTTAAATCTTTTTAAATTAGTAACTAATTATAAAAATTATAATTGTAACTCTTTCGTAATTAAATTATTCAATTATTTATTAATTTTTAAATTAAAATTATTTGAGATTTCATTTTTTTTTAAATCTCTAATAAAACTTTATAATAACATATTGTATTATTTTTAATAAAATTTCACAAAATTTCAATTAATTTGATAATTTTTGCATAATTTTTGTCAAAATTCTAGTAATTATTTAAAACTTGAATAATTTTTAATATAAATATTTAAATATTATCAATTTCTTCACAGCAATTAAAATTTTCATGAATTTCAGTTAAAAACCTTCTAAAATTTTGTAATTATTTTTGAAAATTGAAACTTTTTTCAACTAAAATCATTTTTAAGTTAAATAAAATTAATTAACTTTATGAAAGTTATGTTAGAGTTTAATTATTTGAAGCAAATTTAATTATTTACAGTAATAAGAAAAATTGAAGGCATTGTTTTAAAATTAATTGCGATTTCAAAGTTTTTAAGGTGAAAAAAATTCAAAAGGATAAATTAAGCAGAATTTTTGTAGCAATTCTAGAAGTTTGTTATTTTTCCAGTACTTTTTGATAAAATTCCCTGAATTTCCTAATTTTTCTAACTTGTGTCAACTCTATTAACTTTTTCAGAATTTCTAACAAAAATTATTTAGAATTCATATTTTCTAAAATTTCAATTTGTAAACCTTTTGAAATTTAATTATTTGCCACTTTTCCTGATTCCCCTGACAAATTTTCCGTGCCCTAACTTTTTCCTGTATTTCCTTATTTTCCTGACCTATGTCAACTCTGTAAAAGAATAAATACAAAAATATTAATTTCTCTAAACGTCAGTCATGTAATTAAGATTTTCATTTAATAGTCCAAAAAAAATATTCCTCTACAAACGTAGAATTTTTTCCCAATTTCATTCTCATCTATATAAAATATTAGCCGATTGTTTATAAGAACATGAGAAAGCTAAAAATTTGATTGAAAATCGATGAAGAAAATCTTCTACGAAAACGACAGCGTCGTCTTGAAAAGAGATCGCAAAGAGAAAACCGTGTCAAATGCGTCATATCGAATAATCCTTTGAAGCGAAAAACTCAAGAAAAATAAATAACGATGTCATTTCAAATCACCTATCATGCTTTCACAGAAAAATATATCTATACACTATGGAACGCAGAAATTTCTAAATATTCTCCTCATTCCATTTCGTGTAAAAAAAATCAATGATATCACCAAGAAGAAACTCTGCAAGCGAGAGTAGCGAGATTTGCTTGACTACCATGTGTTTGCTTCATTTAAAACGTTACCTTTGAAATGATATATATGACTCGTAAATACGCACACTACTCTTGAATTTTAAAGCACAAAATAGTGTAAAAAAAGAAAAAAATATTTCCCAGTAAAAAAATTCCTCAACATTTTAACGTGCTACATGAAGCTTACATAATTCATGCAAAATATAATTGAATATTTAATTTTTCATATTTTTAAAAAATTTAACATTTTCTATTTTACTGTTCTGACAAAAAAATGACGGTAAAACAATGAAGAGGAATTTTTTTTCCCATGATCCTAAAGTTCTGAACGTTTAAATAAACGAAATTTAATTATTTCTGCTGTAAATTAAATTCTTATTGTAATAATTTTGCGCACCACTATCAAAAATAATTATAAAGAAACGTAATAATTAATAATTTTTATTTTTTAATTCTTATTTCAATCAATAATTTATGAAAATATTTTTAATAAAAAAATAAATCGCTCATGAACGTTAAAAACTTGTGGATCATTTGTTCCCTAATTTTCTAAACTATTCGATTATCTTTGAGGCTTAAAGTTTAATTCAAGTTTAATCACCAAAACTTAAGAATTTATCAAAATTTCTGATTTTTTATGTAAAAAAATTAAAAATTTGAAAATAAAATTTTTTTTCCATAATTTAATTCTAATACTCAATGTAAACTCACCATATCTTGAGTGTTTACTCGCTCTGATGGCTCGAGTGGCACATTCTTTTTCCGCAAAGTTGTCTCGCATGGAGCACCACCACCAGGTTTTCCCCAAGGTGAATAACTCTCCAACATTGCCTGCAACTAAACAAACACATATCAATGTTAATACCAATTTTTTATCATAAAAATGTCCAAAATGTATAGTGCATTGTTCCTCTCCTTACAATGCACTAGACAATTTATTTTCACTAATTTTATTCTTCAAAAATATAAAGCCAGAAATTTTCAAAATTATGTCAGTGAAAGTTCACAACATTTACGAACAACGATTGAAATAATTTTTTTTTTAAACGCAATGTGATATCAAATTTGGTTACAAATTTTTATTTTTTAAGTAATCATTTAAGAAACTATGTAAAACATCTAAGCAAAAATTTATAAATATTTACATCGAGTATGAAGAATTTGAAAATACATTTTCAATAAATTCATTTTTCATTAAAAATTAATTTTCAAATACATTTTCAAATTAGAATAGAATAGAATAGAAAAATAATTTTTTTTTGCATCATTGTTTATAAACGTTGCGAATTTCACCAATAAAGTTCAAAATTCGACTCTTGTAAATTAGAAAAAAAATTTACAAAAAGAATCTACAAACAATTTACAAAAAAATTTAGAAAAAATTTGATTCTGTTTATCAATTTTTATTAATTTTCCTTAATTTCTATTAAAAATAGACTTCTTTTTTTCATTACAAGACAAGAGACTTCAGATAACGAGAATCAGTAGAAGAAACCAGTTTCAGTCAGACAGAAATAAATTCTATTTTCTGATTGTAAAACCAAAATTTGAAAAATCCGTATTCCTAAAATTCTGAACATTCGAATGAACGAAATTTATATTTACTTCTTCTACAAATTATAATTTTATTATTAACAATAATAGTTCGTAACATACAATAAAAATTATCATGTTTCTATAAATGATAAATTCAAGTTTTTAATACTTATTGCAATCAGTAATATTTGAAAATATTTTTTTAGATAAAAATATTTCGTTCATTTAAACATTCAAAACTTGTGGAGCAGAAAATTTTGTAATGTTTATTTGAAGTGAAAAAATTAACTTATTTCAGGCCTCTGATCGACTTTAAAAGCTTTAAACGATTAAAGATAAAAAAATCAAAAAAATAATTTACTTTATTCAGTGTTATCACAAAAATTTAATTTGTATTTCTTTGATTTTCACAATTTTAAACATTCTAAAATTTAATAATTTCTAAAAATTACAACTGAAACCTTTTCAAAATTATTTTTAATTCCAAAATTTAGAATTTTTAACTAAACTTTTTCTTTGAATCAATTATTTTTAATAATTCTCCGAAAGTTCTTTGAGAATTCTATTATTTAAAATAATTAAATTAATTAAATTAATAATAATTAAATTTTTGTAGAAGAAACAAAAAAAATCATGAAAATAATTTGATTTTTTGAATTATTGATTTTTAAAAAATAATAATAAAATTCTTTTAAAATAAGTTTTTAAAAAACATTTTTAAATAATTTTCGAAAAACACAAAAATTTCTTAAATATGATGAATTTAAAAATTTCCAAATAATTGAAATTTATTAACAATTTTTGATAATAAATAAATTTTTCAAAAACAATTTTTGGAGAATATTAAAAAACTACCAAGTTTTTGAAAAAGTTTAATAATTATTTTTAATAATTTTTTTAAAGTTCTTTGATAATTCTATTAACCACTTGAGCGGCAGGGCGTCAGAATTGGCGTCAGCGTGCAAGTGACAGAAGCGGCAAAAATGCGAAAAAGGCGTCAAAATTTGACTACTATTTTCTCATTCTGTAAGGAGATTTATAATATCACAACAAAGTATTTTTCTTTCTTAAAGTGAAAGAACAGACCTGTAAGCAAAAAAAATGTTTTTTAAAATATTTAAATAAGTTTTCAAGGATCAAAGCTAACAATATTTAATAGTTTGATATTAGTGGCGTTTCAATTTCTACCACAAAAAGTCCAATTTTTCTTCACGAAATCGAAATATTTAAAAAAGCATTTTTTTGTTTAAAGATCTGCTCATTTACTTTAAAAAAGAAAAATACTTTGTTGTGATATTATAAATCTCCTTACACAATGAGAAAATAGTAGTCAAATTTTGACGCCTTTTACGCATTTTTGCCGCTTCTGTCACTTGCACGCTGACGCCAATTCTGACGCACTGCCGCTCAAGTGGTTAATTAAATACAAAAATTCCATTTTTTATGTAATATGTAAACAAAATTAGTGAAAATAATTAGATTTTTTGAATTATTGATTTTCAAAAAATTGTAATGAAATAATTCTTAAAATTAGAGTTTTAAAAAGGTTTTTAAATATTTTGAAAATAAATAATTTTTTTAAAAGAATTTTCGAAAAATATTAAAAAATAATCAAGTTGTTGAAAAAGATTCATTATAAATATAAAAATGAATAATTTTTCTAAAATTTAAATAATAAATCTCAGAAAGTAATTTTTTTTTAAATTTCAATTTCCTTTTTCTCAAGATAATTGAATTTTAAAAAAATTATTATAAAGAAAGAAAAGTCTAAAAATAGCTTTTTAAAAATATTGCAATGTAATTTTTTGTAAACAATTTGAATTATAATTGAATTTCTCAAAAGAATTTTTTGAAAGTTTAAAAAACTGATATTTTTTGACAATTTGTAATTAAAAATATTTCAAAATGACTGTTTTCTCAAAAATAATTCTAAGAACGTAAATTTTTCAAAAAATTGTAATGTTATTATTTTTTGTCGATATTTAACTTTTCGGAAATTTGTAATTGAAACTATTAAAAATAATTGAATTAAAAAAAGAGAAAAAATTTAATTTCAATTACTTTTAATAAAATTTTACAAAAGGACCACGCACAAAATACATACAAATTGGATCCCAGTCAATTTTTTTTTATTTTTCAATTGGGAATCTTTTTCCTGACACAAAAAACTATACTTTTCTACGCAGTTCCAAAAAAAATCGACTGGGATCCAATTTATATGTATTTTGTGCGTGGTCCTTTCTATTAGTTAAAAACTTTTTAATTATTTATTTCGAAAATTTAACTATCGCAAAAGAATGATTTAACAATAATTTTCCAAAGATTCGAGCACAATTATTTTGCACCCTATAAAAATCGAAATTAGTTGCATTTTAAACCCAAAAAAGAGGAATTTTGTTGCATTATTTGGTTGAAAAGTCGAAATTTTTCAAAAGTAAGTTAAAAAAAATTTAGTTTTTTTTAAAAATAAATCGAGAAACGTCGCCTTTTTCAAAAAATATTAATAAAACGTCCAAAAAGTTATACTAACTGAGGCCTGTTTTTTTAATTTCTTTTTATCGATTGTTATTTCAAATGATTGAGATATATTTTCTATTAAAATATATAACTTGACAACTCAGAGAGAAAGTGACATATACATTTTTTTATGAAAAAAAAAATAAAAAAAAAAAACTAATAAAGAATTTCTTTCAATGTATTACATATATTTTATATATACGTGAGCTTATTTCTTCCCGTAGTATGTAAATTATATAGACATAAAGTTAGCTATGTAGCATTTTTCCTTGTATAGACCATAAAATACAGTATTGCCTTCAAGTCCAGTTACTATTTCCCATAACCCAAGGACTTCTTCTTTTTTTATTATTTTTACACACTTAGATATATCTTCTACCTCCCCCAAAGGATCGAATCTTATAAGTTGAAGATATATATGCTCTTTATATCTATATACAAACATACTAAGGGGTGAGAGGGAAGCAAAACGGAAATGGCACGAAAGAAATGTCGTTTAACGGAAAAGTCTTAAATGGTACTTGACGAACCACACCCTCTTTCGTTTACAATACATACTTCATGTTGCTCGCGGTGTTTCTGACGTTGAAGCTCCTCCTTTCGCGTCTTCCACAAGAAAGCTCCTTCCTGTACAATCCGTCGTTCCTGCTCCTTTCGTAAACCTTCCTCTACTTCCGGAACATACGTCGTTCCATGACATTCATCCATAATTACTACGATCCTCTTCAAATTTAACTCACTCCTTTATTTATATAAAAGCCTTCCAAGCAGACGTGAAAATCACATCTGAATCAACAATTCAGAGACTGAAAAAAAAATTAAATTTTTATTATTCGGGGGAATTTACTACTAAAGTCAGATCAATATATTTCTTTTAAATAAAATCTTTTCTTCAAACTTTTTATTTATTTTCAGTTCAATAATTTATTTATTATTTTATTCATTTAGATAAAAATAAACACAATTCTTTTTTATTTTAATTAGAAATTCTTTAGACTTGTTGAATCGCCAACAATTTTTCTTTAAATTTCAAAAAATTTATACGAGTTTTAATAAAAATATTTGAACAAACAAACAATTATTTAAACAAAAAAAATTAAACTACATATGGAAATAAGAGTACCACTTTAAATAAAAAAGGGAATCTAAAAAAAATATTTAAACAAACAATGAAACAATTATTTAAACAAAAAAATTAAACTACATTTGAAAATAAAAATACCACTTTAAATAAAAAAAAAGAAATCTAAAGAAAAATATTTGACCAAACAATTATTTAAATAAAAAAATTAAGCTACATTTGAAAATAAAAGTACCACTTTAAATAAAAAAAAGTAATCTAGAGAAAAATATTTAAACAAACAACTTATGTCAAATTAAATATCACTTCCTAAATTTCTTCGCATCTTTAAAAAACTTGAAAATTTTATTTTCTACCAAAAATATTCATTGTAAAATGTCAAGGACTGCATGATGATAGATTTTGAAGATTCTAGTTGCCTTGCACAGCCAACTATGAGAACACGCGACTGCCAAAGCTTTCGACTTTCAGTAAAATAACCCAGGTTGTAGTTCGCGACGTCGCTCTCAACATACCAATCGTGGTTTATAGGCGTACAACGCGGAATAATATACCAATGAATAGTAGATGCCACGACATTTCACCCTCCGTGACCTTTTAGGTCACGTAAAATAGTTTAGAATTTTCGTGTCTCACTGAATTATTACATTTATTGAACGGAAATATTTGAAAAACTAAATTAAACTTCGGAGTCAAGTTAATGAGATTTTTCCCCTTTTCATACGATTAGAGATACATTTCCATATTATTAACCTCTAATCTTGGGGGAGGGGGATTCAATTAGTCTGAAAATAAATAAAACTAATTCACTTTTTTGTATATAATTACCATAATTTGTTGAGTTTTTTTGATTGTCGACAGTCTTTTGGATAGTCCATTGAATTAATCTATTCCTTCAATTCTTGAAGATTATTGTCAACATATAGCCGCCATGAAATGAAACTGAAACAAATTATTAATTCCAAAATGTATATTTCGGAGAGAAAACGGGAATAACAACAATGACTTATTTATATTTTAATTACAGTAAACAAAGTGATTGTTAACAATAATAAAAATTAAGGTTAGGTTCGTTTAAAGCGTTAAAAGTGCGGGAATTACCGAGCATTTTAATGTGGCGCCATCTGGTCGGTAAAGTTTGTCCAGTTTTCTATCTTACCGACATATGTTTGTACAGAAATCAATGTTACAGTGTCGATAAAATAAAACATTAGGCTTTGAAAATGATTCTTTTATTACAGCCCTTTTTGCTCAATTCACTTAATTAAACCTCAAAATTCCCTTTTTTGGTCGTGAATCACATTCCAAATTGATTGATAAACAAATTTGGATACACGAATTCCAAACTTTCAGAAAGACGAAATTTCAAAGAAAGGCAGATTTGATATTTTACGAGAATCAATCCGCATCGTCACAGAATAATAAAAAATAAAGAAATAGACACTAATTATTCACAATATATAACTATTTCGAGAAATTATAACGAATAGTTTCAACAGATTGCGAATTAAGACACAATGAATCGCCAACGAAAAGTGGCGAAAAATTTTCTGACGCCATTTTGTGTAATGAAAAATGCATTTTCGATCGAAGCGGATGCGCACCGTTTTATTCACCATCACTCAATTTGTTACAAAAATAAAGAAAAAATATACCAAAAACCCATGATTTTAAGATATTTAGTCATTATTTTGAAATATTTTCGTCGAAATTTGGTGAAAATGGATCGCCCTTGTCTCTATGGACGCAGCACGGCAATCGACATATTTCACACTTGAGCAATTTTTAATGTCTAGTTTTACGATATTTGTACAAAATATAATACCTATTACCCTTAGTGATTAGTCAAACACAATATTTTTATAAAAAACAGGAGGAAAATTACCTTTTTGGTCGGAAAATCAGGAGAGGAAAGGAGCGATGCCATCCATTCAACAAGCACGGACTTGTATGAAACATGAGGAATTTCCTTGCACGTGATAGGCCGAGCGAAAGAAACATGGAGGATCGAACGGACGATTCTGATTGGTGGACAAAGTTTACTTTACACCACTTTCACTTCCTGTGTTCAAATTTAAAAACTAAAAATTAATTTATACGTACTTTTTTAAAATTATAATTATTTGTATAATTAAAGTTGTAGCGTAAATATAAATCTCTAGCGAAATATTTAATTGAATTTTAATTTATATAGTTTGATATTTTCTCTGCAATAAAATAAAAGAAAAGAAAAAAGTTGGCTACACTGTTTCTTGACCATTGTCAAACTTCATTGTTGTCAACAAAAATAACAAAGTCGAACTTAACCTTAATTTAATAACAAAACTGAACAAAAAAAATCAGGAAAATATTCAGAAGAACGAAAAGAACGTTTAAAAATAATTCTTTTGCATTATTTTAATTGTAATTTTATAAAATGGCTGTGAAATTACAAACAATGAATATTTTCAAGTAATTTATTTAACTATTAAAAATTTTTTTTCTCTATGTAACATTTAGCTTATATATCAATAGAAACGATAGAAACACGATAGTTTAATTAAATTTCAGCAAAATGAAAAGGAAAATGTCTACAAAATTAAATAATGCACTTCTAATCCTGAATACCAGTGAAAAAGACTGTCAAGCGAAAGAAAAATATAATTCAGAAGAAAGTTCGACAGATTTGAAAAATCAGAATGTAATTCATATTTCAAATATTCATTTTTCTGTTTTTAATAAATTTAAATATATTATTGCGTTTAATTATTCACATAGAAAGTTCAAGTAACCAACGAAGAGGAGCAAAAAAAGGAATGTAAAATTAATATGCAGTCTGTGATAAATATAAATGGAAATCAAACTCTAAATTTTCCTGTGAAAAAAAAATTGAACTTCAAAAGTCTCCGTAAGAACAATAAACTTTAAATAACTTTTCGATGTTAAAGTATACACTTATTAGACGTGTAATAGAAAAGAGAAATTAAAATAGAACTTTATTTTTTATTTCTTGCTTTTCTAATTAATTAATTAATTTTTACAAATATTTAACGTTAAATTGAAAAAATAAATGGAAATTTTTATCAAATTTCAGAAAAACATTTAATTGCTGCTGGTTCGAAAGCTCACAAAGAATCTAAAAATAAATTTAAAACAGTTGTAAATTTGGAATTGATGAAAGAAGAATTAAAACAATTGGAAGATCCTCCTTTAACGCAACGTGATAAGGATTTAATGGCTTCTAGACTCACACATTCTTTTTTCGATCAACCCTGTGAACAATTGGCTCAAAATCTTTTAGGTAATAATTTTGGTTTATTTCTAAAAATTAAAGTTGTTAATTAATTGAAATTTTCAATTAGATCAAAAATTTTAACTAAATTCAATCAAATAATCAAAAGTTTTAACTAACTAATTAAAATTTTCAATTAGCTAATCAAATATTCTGTTAATTATTTGGAATTATTAATTAAATACAATAATTTTTAATTAATTCGTCGAAATTAATTCAATTCAACTATATATTTATTATTTCCAGGAAAGATTCTCGTACGAAAATTGGAGAATGGAACAATTTTGAAAGGTCGAATTGTAGAAACTGAAAGCTATTTAGGAGCTATTGATAAAGCTTCACATACTTATCAATATCGAGTTACTGCGAGAAATTTACCAATGTATATGCCACCAGGAACAATTTATGTTTATTTTACTTATGGAATGTATTATTGCTTTAATCTTTCTAGTCAGGGTAAGTTCACAAATTTTTGAAGAAAGTTTCCTTTTTTTACTACTAATTTTAAAAAGTGAATTTTCCATCAGAAAAGAAGACAAATATTATTATAAAGAAAAACCTATAATCCAATAATTAAAAATAAGCTAAATTTTGAAATGTTTCTCTAGAAATAGAAAATATAAACAATTTTCCCAATAAAATTTTCATAAATTTTGCTTTGAAATATAAGAAAATTTTGCAACTTCAAAATTAATGTTCAACTTTAAAATAATTTTTACGAATAATAAAATTATACAGAGCCTGAATTACAAGTACAAATAAAATCTGTGGAGCCTTTAATGGGTTTAAGTTACATGGAACTTTTGCTGAACACTAGACAAATTCAGGGCCAAAAAGAAAAAGAAATGGTTGAAAATATTCAAAAATATAAAAATCAAGATTTGTGCAATGATCCAAATAAAATATGCACCGCTTTTAATATCGAAAAAGATCTTTTCGACAAAAAACACATAAGCAATTGCATGGATCTCTGGATTGAAAAAGATTCAAGTCTCAAAGAAAACAATGATCTGAAGAAAAGTGTTGATAGAAGAAATTAACTAAATTAAAAATAATAAAGTAAATTAATTAGAATTAGATCTCTGATAATTGTAAAGAAGATATCAATGATTCTCGTGAAATTAAATTAAAGTAAATTAGAATCTTTAATAAAAATTATTAAATTAATTTTGATCACTAAGAACTTACATTTTTTCAGGTGACGGTTGTGCTGTTCTCGTTCGCGCTCTCGAACCCATTGAAGGTCTTGAAGAAATGGAAAAAAATCGAAATTCAATCAAGAAATCTTCGAAACATTCCAAAAAGAAATTCAAACCACATGAATTGTGTAATGGTCCATCAAAATTGTGCATGTCTTATTTACTGGACAAAAGTCATAGTAAATATTCATTATCTTCTTGGAAGTGTTTATGGCTTGAAGAAGATAATTCAAATCAAGGAGAAATCAAAATTATCAGATGTAAAAGAATAGGAATTGAAAGTTGTGGAACTGAATGGGCAAACAAACCTCTTCGATATTATATTCATAAAAATAAGTCCGTCAGTAAGCGAGATAAAGTAGCTGAAGAAAATTCTTAGGAATTTTTGGGAGATAAATTTATATTATATATTAATTTATTTATTTATACTTCTACTTGAAAAGTTTTATTCCTAGAAAAAAATCGAATTTTAAATTAATTGTTTTTGATTTCAATTTCTTGAATTTCAATACAGTATACCAAAAATGAATTTTCTATTTCATTAAAATTTTATTTTCTATACACATTGTTTTTATTTCTATTCTACCAATTTACAAAATAACAACTTACCTGTACAAAATAATATAAAAAAGATAGCAAAACAATGCTTCTGATTTAAATTATCTGCGATTCTCGATTCTCCACAAAACACATTATTTACAGTAAATAATTTTGTTCATATTAATCATAAATTCTGATTTCTTTAAATAATCTTCTTAATTCTAACGCCTTGAAAGGAAAAGGATTGATTTTATGCCCATTCTTTCATAACTCGCTCATAATCTTCTTCCTCAATAAAAGGCTTATCGATCGATCTGCAAAACGAAAAAAAAAATTATTAGAACCGAAAACAATTGAATATTTTAATTTAATTTAAATAACAATTAGGCAAAAGTAATAAATAGTATAAATCGAAGGAGTTCAGAAAAAATATGACTAAGAAAATTGAAATCTCACTCGATCATTAAATCTCCACAATATAAACATTCGCTGGCTATTAAATCATCAATATCAGCTTTTATTTGATCTTTCGTTGATAATGATGCCGATCCATCAGTTGAAACAGTTTCATCCGATTTGCCCGATACTGAAATTAATTGTTTCTGAAGATCGGCCAATTTTGTTTGTTGTTCAATTGACAACAATGGCGTTAATGCAGCGACTAGACAATCACTGTGAAATCTATGTCCACAGGGAAAAACGTAAAACGGTCTCATCAAAAGTTGACCATCACAAGTATTGCACATATCTTTTGCGTGAACAAAAGTACATCTGAAATCAAAATTGTTATTACTGTAAAAATATTTTCAATGTTTTTCCTCAACAATAACTTATTAAATAAAATTAATAATTGGAATTGACTATAAAAATAATAATTGAAATTGAGAATAAAAATTAATAATTGAAATTGTGAATAAAAATTAATAATTGAAATTAATTGAAATTGAGAATAAAAATTAATAATTGAAATTAATTGAAATTGAGAATAAAAATTAATAATTGAAATTAATTGAAATTGAGAATAGAAATTAATAATTCAAATCAATAATTCAAATTGAGTATAAAAATTAATAATTGAAATTAAATTTATTAGACAAAAATTATTTTTAACGATAAAATTTGAATGTTTTAAACCTAGTTCTAAAGCCTTGAATATCCTTGCGAATAATCTCAGCCGATTTTGTCGCTTCTTCCATTTCTTCCTTGAGATCCTGAATATGCTGATTGTATTCCTGTAGATTGTAAATTGTCAAATAATTATAAATTTAAAAAAAAAACTCGTTCATTTAATAATGCAATTGATAAAAATTTGAAATCGTACCTGAAGAGAGTTGCAGATCGCTTCTTTAAAATGGTCAATGGTCACAAAATCGGAAAAGAATGGTAAAATATCTTCTATCCTAACTAAATCACATTGTTGAAGAAACTTCATAGCCTCTTTTATATCATCCCGTTCTCTCACTACGTGCTCAGCTAAAAAAGAAATTTTTCATTATTAAATATATTGAATTCAATTATTATTAAATAATTGAATTCTTTGGAAAAGTTTTATTAAAATTATTGAAAATAATTGATTTCATTCTGAAAAATTTGGCAAAATGTAAAAAAATAATTGAATTCTTTCGAGAAATTTTATAAAAATTATGTTGAAAATAATTGAATTATTTTTGTAGCATTGCTAAAAAACTTACCAATTTTAAGCCACAATTTTTTCCTCAATTCCACGTCGTCATGATGTAAAGGAACACCGGCGATTTGTTTAGCGAGATCAACGCTTATCGTGAGAGCCAAATCAACTGCAGTGGTCCATAAACCTAATAAGGCTGACAATTGAACGCAGGCCTCGGTCAAACCTGCTTCTTGACATAATCTCAAAGCATAATGAACATCATAATGAACCATGCTTACGTCTTGACCTAAAATAATTTACACTTTTAGAAAATGAAAAAGTTTTTCAACTAGAAATAAAAATAAAATTAATTTTCAACTATTTGCATTTTCAATAATCTGAATTTTATTCTAATTTAAAAAGAAATAAAAGAAAAATTAGATAAAATTTGGAACAGGATAAATATTAGGTAATATTTAAATATTACCTAATATTTATTCTGTTCCAAATTTTATCTAATTTTTCTTTTATTTCTTTTATTAAATTTATTAATTTATTAAATTAAAATACTTGCCTTGAGAACTAATATAACGCATAACTTCACTCTTCTTATATCGAGCATAAAGAGATAATAGAAAATTGTGTATCGCCTGTTCTTCACAACTTTGATTGTAAATACAAGACTCGAGATACATAATTATTTGCTGTGCCTAAAACGAAAAGCATATTTTAATAAAAAATCGATTATAGTATCAATATCTATTATTTAAAAGAAGTTCTTTTATTTAAAATAAATTTCTTTTAATAATAAAATTAATAAAAACTCATCCTATTAAATAATTATAATCTAAAAAAAAACTCACATGCTTCTCGTCACTATTACAAGAAACTAATGCAGGTAAAAGTTTCGAAGATTGCAAATTCGATCCTTGAGAAATTAAAGCTTGCACTGTCGGTTTTGGTAATTCTTGTAGAAGTGTACCCGCAAATTGATAAAATAATTCCTTATTTCCTTGCTTCTTTAATACCTCGAGAGCCTCCAAATAATTATTTTTATACAAATGTTGTCTAATTACTTCCTCGTAATTACGATGCATCACTGTTAGATTAATAAGATTATCCTTATCACCATGACTCGCCATTAAATTACAAATTGTACTGCGATTCTTTCTTATGCATTCCTCGACTTTTGGTATTTTCAAAAAATTCTCAAATTGCTTTTGTAATTCTTCATATTGAGATTTGTGTTGTTGAAAATTTTGATCACTTCGTAAAACACCCATTTCATTCATAAATAATTCCACCACCCACACGACAATCATTGTCGTCTGGGTTTTGTCCTGGGACTTCAAACTCTTCAATTTCTAGAAAAAAACATATTTCCAAATTTATTTCTTTTATTTCTAAATTTATTTCTTTTATTTATAGATTTATTTCTTTTATTTCTAAACTTATTTCTAAATTTAAAATATTTTTTGATTCTATTAATCTAAATTTCTAGATTCTACAGTTCTAAGTATACAAATAAAAAAATTCTTACAGCTTCCAAAAATGATTTCAGGGCCTTTGTCTCTCGCTCTTGTAAAAATTTCAAAGATATTTCTTCGAAGGAGGAATAAGTTTCGGCATAAATTAAGGCGCTTTCTTCGTATTTCTTATTTTTAAAAAGCATTTCAGCTTTTTTCACGAGAACTTGATCGCGATGTATTGGATTATCCTTGCAATAAATTTTGGCCAGTTCGAATTCGCCTTTTTCAACGTACACCTGCCAAACGTTTCGATCTTCCTTCGTCACTTTGTATTTGAAAACGGCTCGTTCACTATAGGCCCAAATTGAACCCGTGATTGGATCTCTGGTGATGTTAATTAATTTTCCAAAAGCCTAGAACAATTTTATTTATTTAGTATATTTACTCCTTTTTATGGAATAAAAAGAAAAGAAAAATAAAATAAAAAGGAATGAAAAAAAAGATTAAAAATTAATTAAAGGAAAAATTGTAAAATAAAATCGTACATCATTATACATGTCCTCGAAAATAAGTTCCTGATTTAAAATCGAAATTCCTTTGACGTGATCAACGTAGAGAAGAAGTGCGTGAAATTCCGTCAAGACAAAGGACAATGGAGCTTTCGGTGGCAATTGCGCTGAATTTCCACTCAAAAGATTTGCTTCCGGACATGGTAGCAATTGTTGATTCATCAATACGTTTTCTGGATCAGACCATGGATCGACCTAATGGAAAATAATTCGTTTATCAATTTTTCCATTTGTTCGGCAAGTAACAAAAGAATTAAATTTCTAAAAATTGTATTGAATTTATTTAAAAACAAAAGAAAAGGTTGCAATATACCTGTGCATACAAAATTCCAGATTCTGTCAACCAACCAAACGATTTAGGTACAACTCTCGGAGCTGGATAGAAAAATTGCATTCTTGAATAACCCAGAGAACTTTCTAATTGATTGAAACTTTCTGAAAATTATAAATGACAAATAAAAATTATTATTTTACTTAGTAACTAATTAACTAATTATTATTATGAATATTTCATGTTTTTAATAATTTTTAATAAAATTCTTCGCAGAAATTCAATTATTTTCAATGCAATTATAAAAAAAATTCTTTTCAGTTCAATTATTCAATTCAATTATTTTTAAAAATTTTAATAATATTCTTCATCAGAATTAGATTATTTTTAATACATTTTGAATTAAATTCATGTAAAGAATTCAATTATTTTTAAATAGTTATAAAAAAAATTCTTCGAAACAATTTAGTTATTTTCTAAAATTATAATAAAATTCTATGCAACAATTTAATTATTTCAGATTCAAAATTATAATATTTTTCTAACAAAAATGTATTCTCTGGAAAAACTGACCTTTTGTATTTAAATATTTACTAAAGACTTGTTGAAGCAATGGTTTCTCGTCAGGATTCGCCACTGATCCAATATATTGATAAATTCGAATCAACGTCGTGACAATAATAAAATATTTATCAGTATTTGGAATCTTGTGAAATTCTAAGCCAGTAATTGGTGGTTTACTATCTTTTCCAATGTCAAAAATCTGAAAATTTTACAACTACATCACTGAATTTTTGATAAAAGTTTGTTTCTTTTTGTTCTATATAAAATTTCAAAATAAATTTTCAAATTTAGAGAAAATTTTAATAACTTACCAATCCCTCTACCTCTTTTGAACCATAAAGAGGTAGATAATTAGGAAGCTTGGAAATGAAGAAAAATATTGGTAGTGAAAATTTTATTTCATATAAATTGTCTCATCGTGTTAATAGAAATAATAACAAAATAATTAAAAACTTACTTGTCGCCAGTACTGTTCTAAATTAGTTGCAAAAATCTTTTCTCCCTCTAAACCAATTTCTGTCTCAAAAATTAATCCCCTTGAAGTTCCAAGTAAAATTGGTCCCGAATTTGTTTCCGAAGTATTGGAGAAATTCCAAGCCACAGCCGTAATTTCGTGTCCTCGACATTTTGCCGCCTAAAAAAAATTGAAAATGAATACAATTTAATCGTATTGTTTTTTTTTAATTGTTAATTGAATTAATCTTTATTATGAATTTACCTGTTTCAATTTTGTCGTTTTTCGATGTAAATAAAACAATTCCGGTAACGATGTGTCTCCTTGTTTCGTTTTCGTACTAACTAATAAATGCTGACCCAATGGATCGAGATACAATCCAGATAATCTTAAATTACCAATATATTTCGAAATATTAATTTCTGCAAAAGAATGAAACGTTGATAAAATAAATTAATCATTATTAAATATTGTTAAAATTCTTTGCAGAAATTCAATTCTTTTCAAAACAATTTTAATAGAATTCCTCGAAAGAAATTAATTATTTTCAAATATTTACACAAAATTAATTTATTTCCTAAAATTTTAATAAATTCTTCGGAACAATTCAATTATTTTTATAAACAGTAAAATTCTTCGCAAGAATTAAATTATTTTTATAAATAATAAAATTCTTCTCAGGAATTCAATTATTTTCAATACAATTTTAATAAAATTCTTGTTCATAAAATTCAATTGCTTTCAAAATTTTCAATTAAATTTATTAAAGAAACTCCATTAATTAAAAAAAATTCAAAGAAATTCTTTAAAAGAATTTAATTCAGATTTTTGAAAATTTTAATAAAATTCATCGCGAGAATTCAATTATTTTCATAAATGAAAAAATTCTTCGAAGAAATTCAATTATTCTCTTGAAATTTTTTGATAAGATTCTATTAAATATTAAATTAATTAATCATTATTAAATTAATTAATCATTATCGACTGCAGTTAGTCAATGTTTTTGTAATTAGTCTAATTGTAATTGGTCCTAATTGCAGTTATGAGAAAAGTCTCACCTTCTGGTTTATCCGGATGCTTCATATCAATTCGAAGAAGAATATTATTAGCCATAGCAATAACAATAAAATTATTGCTAACGCTTAAATATAAAATTCTATCAGAAGGCATAAAATTAACTTTCTGTTTGGTAAAAATCGGCCCATCATCCGTAAGCTTCATTTGAATTAAACCTGTTGAACTCTGCAGAAAATAAATTAAATTAGTAATAAAAATTGCCATTTTGCAACAAATTGTAACTTTGTGTAATTTATGTATTTACAATTTTTTAAATTTTGCTTACGATTTCTGGTTTTATCGAAGGTGGAATATTTTGCTTCGACCTCAAAGAAGCCTGTTCATATTGATCAAATATAGAAGTCATTCTTCCAATATCTTCTTTATACTCTCAAAATTAAAAACCTAAAATTAACAAAATAAAGATTAAAGGCTAAAAACCTCGAGGTTTTACGATCTCACGTCTCAGTACGAATTTTTTTTAGTTTTCTTATTAAAATCATTAAAAATTACTCTAACAGAAAAATCAGCATTAATATAAGTATTAAAAACAACAAGACAACAGAAAATAATATTATTTATTTAATTTAGAAAATAAAATACAAGAACATTTATCAAACTAACCTCGCCCACCAGTGATAAACATTATTCAAGTTTTTATACTGATCATAATTAGAGTTATTTTTAGTCACATTATAAAACTATATTTCAATCAGTTATATTAACGGGAAAATATAGTAAATATATCGAAATTAATGAGGAAATATAATTAATAAAGCAGAATAATACGAACTGTCATCTGTCATAATGACATGTGGTGGCAGCACTGGAAAAGCGCTCTCTGGTGATAAATATCTGCAACTCTATTCTTCCCCCTCTTAAAAAACAGGGAAATTTCTGACAGATTTTTCCTAAATTTTCCACCGGCTGATCCTGTTAAAATTATTTTTTAATTTTATCATAATTTAAAACAAAAATTGGAATTTAATTTTATTCGAATATTCACCTATAATAAGGGGCAAATGTCTGAATCAAAAAGTACTGATGAAGATGGTGATCCAGTTGTTAAAGAGGTAATTTTTACTCTTCGTTTAATTGACAACGTGCAAGTTTGTAGGTTATGTTGCACATCTATAACGTATAGATTTTAATTTTTAAATTAATTGTTTTAATCATCGAATTAAAATTATTGTATTTGTTTCCTATTTACATTTTATTTCTGACAATTCGGAAAATTTTATTTTATCTCCGTACGTTTAATTTTGAATGTTATTTTAATATTTTTTTTGTTCTATTAATATTTTTTTAGTTTTGTTAATATTTTTAAGGGCATTTGAACCTTGATGACGTCACACATGCTTTGCATAATCTGTAACGTCATCAAGGTTCAAATGCCCTTAAGACGAAAAGATTTTCAAGAGCCATGATTTTTTTAATGATAAATTTAATATTTTAGATACCAGTTTATTTTTCAAAAACACTTGCGGAAAAATTGTTTGTATTAAAATATCCACTACGTTCTGCGCAAGAAGGTTATGACAATGCAGTAGTTTTAAAGTCGTCAATTAAGCCACAAAATCAGGAGATTCAAATAGAGGTTGCTTTAAATACACATAGTGTGAATTATGATCAATTTAAGGGAGAACAAATTGCAAATAATGCCAATGTACCGTCACGACATGACAAGGAAGAGGAGGAAAGATATTTCGAAAGGTAATTTTTATTTTCCAGTTCCTTCTTTCTTTTTTTTGAAGAAAAATAATTTAATAACAAATATAAATTGTTCACTAATTAATATTATTTTCCATGCGTTTTCAGTGACCTCATGGACAAAGTAGTTCTACAATCCAGTCGTTCTGTGCCATCGAATCGAAATATTTTCGCCGTTGGCGTTTACCAGGACGGAGATTTGCACCTGACTCCATTGAAGGGAATTCTTGAAATGCGACCTGCTTTTCAGTATTTCGACAAACAGGATAAGCGGTCAAAGGACGACAATAAAGATGGTACTTCAATTATTCTCGACTTCTATTTTTGTCAAATCTTCTTTTTATTTTAATTTTATTCTAATAATTTTGAATTTAGATTAATTTTTTCGAATTTAAATAGTTTAAATTAGTTTTTTCTAATTTAAAAACTTTCGATTTAAAATAATTAAGATCAGTTTTTTCGAATTTACACAATTTTGATGTAATTATGAATATTTTTGATCAAAGCAGAAGTTGAAGAAGAGGAGGAACCTGCGAAGCAAGTAAATGTTTCATTTGCTCGACAAAAGCCAGATCATATAAAAAAATTACAGGAGCAATCTTTCAAGTGCCAAACTAGTAAAAGTTTCGAAGAATCATGGATACATACAAAATACATCCCGGCGACGAATTCCAAAGCAGAAGTAAAATTTTTAATTAATTATTTTATGACCGTTTATAGAATTTCATAATTGCTGAATTTATTTTATTATAATCTTTTTCCATAATTTTCAGCTATCGAGAATGGAAATGCTATGTCCGCCAGTCGATGACGCGATGAATAGTTTAAATATGTCTAAAAAGGATTTTTTGAAAAATTTGTTACCGCCAGCTATTGAAGAACCCCTTCCAGTCGTTCATCAACCTAATTATGTGACTTCTTTGAATTATATTCGAACACTACCTCTTCTCGAGCAAATTCGCTATCTCATGAAAGACGGTAATCTCTTTTTTAATTCGTTTTTTCTTCCTCTTCTTTTTTTCCCTAATTTTTGTATTCCTTTTCAATTTTTTTTTCCCTTTTCAATTTTCTTGATTTTCATGTTTCTTTTTAATTTTTTTAAATTCTTTTCTTCTTTCTTTTCCTTTTTTCTTAATTTTTGAAAATTGTTTTAAACTTTGACAAAATTATTTTTTGCCATCAATTTTATTAGTTGTCCTATTTTTATATTTTGCATTTAATTTTTTCTCAATTATTTAATTCGTTTTTCAGCAAAAGTCATGAATTTTTCGGAATTAAAAAATACTATATCGTCGGAACATGAGACATCAATGATTTTAAAGTACCTTCAACAAGTTGCAGTTCTCGTACAAGGAAACTGGATTATTAACAGTGAATTAATTTATCCAAAGGACACAAAGTCCCATCAAAATGGTATTCCCGCTGAACTCATGTGCAGAGCACGAGATTTTGTTGTAAGAATTTTCTCATTACTAAAAAATTTGAATCGTTAAAAATTTATAGAATGAATAATAATTTAACTTAAATATTTCAAAGTGAATTGAATTTTAAAAGAGTTGCGTTTACAATTTTCATAAATAGATACACTTTTCAAAAGGTTTTAATTAGGAATTTTAAAGAATTTAGATTTTTGAAATATTTTAATAGTTCAAATTCTTCTAAAATTAGTTAAATTTTTTGTATTTAATTATTAAAAATAATGAATTTATAGAAGAATTTTGGTTAAAAACACTGAAAACATTGAATTTTTGAGAAATTACAAATGATTGCAGAAATTCAATTATTTTCAAAAGTAATAAAATTCTTTGCAGAAATTCAATTACGTTAAAAGAAATCAAAAAGTTCTTGTTAAAATTTCAAATATATCTTTATAAATAATCAAATTTTTCTACAAAATTCAATTGTTTTCAAAAATTTTAATAAAATTGCTTGAAAAAATTCAATTATTTTCAAAAATTTTCCTCAATTCAATGATTTTTAATATCTAGTATTTTAATAAATTTGCTTAAAAGAATTCAATTATTTTTAAATAATTTTAATAAAATTCTAGGCAAAAACTTAACTATTTTCATAAAACAACAAAATAAAATTTTTGTGGCAACACCGAAAGATAATTAGATATTTAGACATTTATTGAAAACTTCAAAATTAATTGAATTTTGATATTTGATATTGATATTTTGAATATTTTATGAAAATTATAGTTATCAAAATTCACCGAGAGTCAGTACATTGACCGTAGAGCGGTCTCATCTGCCGTTAAATTGCCATCAGAAGAAATTGCCGAAATTCTCAAGAATTTAGGACAGCATCAATATAAAAAAGGCTGGCACTTGATCCGGAGTCCGGATTTAGAATTTTCTAAAAGGTATTCACATTTTATATATATCATTCAAATTTTCAATCAATTTTCAATTCAAATTAAATCAAAAAATTATTTTCTCTTCTCAGATTTCCAGAAATAGCTCAAAGACAGGAAATATTTTGGGAGGCAAAGAAAAAGCATTTGCTTGAATCGATGGAAGTACAAATGACTCATCGACAACGTCGTAGATCAAATCGAGAATCAGTTGGTTCGGAAAGTGAGGAAAAAACAACAGGCAGAGGAAGAAAGTCATTGAGAGATTCGTCAATGTCCGACAATGACAGTACAACAGAAACGGTGAAGCACAAAAAAACCAATAAATCAAAAAAATCATCCGAGGCCACGTGACCGAAACTAATTAAACGATAAGGTATTATCTAAATAATTAGGGGAAAAAATTTATTTTTGATTCAGCCAACAAGGGATTTTTTCACTGACTTGAGCATTATGAGAGAAAAAAAACAAGAAAATGCTCATTTGAAGATTTAATTCTTCAAAAATTTCCTTTTAAAAGTGAATATTTTCTACGTGTCGAGGATATTTAGTGAGAAAATGAAGAAAACAGGGAAAATATTTTACAGAAAGGCATTTCTATTTTTACTATATACTTCCTTTTCAGTTTTTAAAAACAAATTTTGTTCTTCTCTCTTTAGAAATAAGTAACGCTTTTAATTTTTTAAGTTTATCTCTCTGTTCTGGAAGTTTAATCTAATTTTAATTTTTGAGATAAAGCTAATTAATTTTTTAAGTTTATCTCTATCGTTAATTTTGGTATATTTAATTTTTATACTCTAGTGACAAAACTGTACATAATCAGGAAAATTACATTTTTGTCTAAAGAAAGTTTTAGAAGTATAAATTTAGATACAATAATTAAAATAGTATTTATTGTTAAAAGAAGCAAATAATTGAAGTCATTGTAAAAATAAATATGACTTTGTACATATTGTGATGAAGTTTAAAAAAACTGAAGTAAAATATTTATTCTTATGCATGTCATTTTCTTTTAAATAAAAAAAACCCCTTTTAAGGAAGGCAAAAGAACAGGGTTGCCACAGGTCAAGGAATTCAGGGAAATTAGAATTGGTCAGGAAAATCAGAGAAAAGTCAGGGATTTTTATTAAAAGTACTGGAAAAATTTAAGTTTTTAGAATTTATAATAGAAAGAACAATTGATTATAGAAATTCAATTATTTGCAAAAGTGATAAACTTCTTCGCATAAATTCAATTATGTTCACAAATTTTTAAAAATTCTCGTTAAAATTTCAATTATCTTTATAAATAATAAAATTCTTCTCCAAAATTCAATTATTTTCAAAAAATTTAATAAAATTCTTGGCAAAATTTCAATTATGTATTTTCAAAAAATATTTCTCATTTCAATAATTTATAATATCTACTGTTTTAATTAAATTTTCCAAAAGAATTCAATTATTTAAACAAACATTAAAAAAATTTCCCAGGAAAAAATAAATAGTTCTGAAAAATTCAATTATTGCGAAAAATTTAAATAAACTTCTTTTAAAAATTCCATTATTTAAAAAAATGTTGACAAAATTCTTTACAAAATTTAATTAATAAAATATTGCAATTTAATGCAATTTTTCTATATAATTCAATTATTTTCAATACAATTCTTCTTATGAATTCAATTATTTTCACAAATAATACAATTTTTTTATGGGAATTCAATTATTTAAAAAAATTTGAAAATAAAATTCTTTACAAGAAATCAATTATTTTCATAAATAATAAAATTTTTCTTGAGAATTCAATTATTTAAAAAAATTTGAATAAAATTCATTGCAAGAAATTAATTATTTTCATAAATAATAATATTTTTCTCGGGAATTCAATTATTTTCACAAATAAAATTCTTCACAAGAATTCAATTATTTAAAAAACTTTTTAATAAAATTCGTTGCAAGAATTCAATTATTTTCATAAATAACAAAACTTATCGCAGAATTTCAATTATTTTTTTTTTTACAATTTTAAATAAAATGATAGAAGATTGCATTTATTCTTAAATTTTTTTTTAAAATTCGCCGAAAGAATTCAATAATTTTTAAAATTTTTTGATAAAATTCTTTATAAAAATGCAATTTTAAGAAATATTCAATTATTAAAAAAATTATTTTTTTTGTATTTAAATAATTGAATTCTTGAATAATTTACTAATAAAAATTGATTAAAAAATGAATTTCACTTGAAATTTTAAATAAGAAATGAATTTTAAAAGTATTATAGCATTATAGCTTAATTCCTATTGAAAAATAATAGGTAATGATTAAATATTTATTTAAAAAAGAAGTTATTGATGTTTTTGAATAATTTTACAATCAAAGAAATTCGTAAATAAATGTAATGCAACATTTTTTTTGAAAATCTAATAATTTTTGGAGTAAATCAGAATATTCTTCGGGGTCAGAGAAAAAGTCAAAATTTTTTCTGCAACTCAGGGAAAAGTCAGGGAAAAACAAAATTAAATTTTTGTGGCAACTCTGTGGAAAGAGAAAGAAAGTCTTCTTTAAGGAAAGAGAAAAAAGAAGATTGAGGTGAAAAAAGATTTTTAAAAACTGAAAATTTCCTTTCTGGAAATATTTATTTTATACTTTTTTTATAATAAAAAAAACAGTTGACAGTAAGTTTTTTCAATAAATTGAAAGTATAGATATATTAAAAAATTGTAAAAAAATGATTCTAGACTACATGAATAATATTTCTACATTTTTGTTATTCTCTAGTCTTACTAATTTGTCGATTAATTAATTAATTAATTAATTAATTTTACATTAATTTTTGAAGATTAATTAATTTTTAATGTAAGATTAAATTTTTTACAAACTATATTTTTCTATTTAAATGAAAAAATATTTGAATTTGTTTCTTTTTGGTAGATATAATTCTTTGGCTCGTTTATTAAAAAAAAAACTATTATTAAACACTTGGATTGTCTAAATTTTTAATTACTTTCGCGATGTTTTTTGAAACGATTACAGTCGTCGTCCTCACGATGAGGCGATGGTGACGTGGGACAACTTTTCGAAGCTCCCTCAAGTTGAATATCAACCAAGAGACTCTGTCTACAGAGCATTGAAACAGTACTCATTTTACTCTCTTTCTCCTTGGCCTTCTTAAGTTTTGCGCGTCGAAATTTATTTGCAATTTGACTAAAACGATTGGGAGTGTTGCTGATTTTCTTCACCGATCTTGGCAGTGATTCACAGCCACGATTTGTCGCAAGTCTTTCGAAAGTATCCGGATCAACGTTTATCATTCCAGCGCTGGCCGATTTAATTAAATCGGGACGATCCTCGTAATCAACTGATTCGGTGCCTGAATCGAAGACAATTTCGTCGTGTCGACTGTCAGTGGACGGATCATGGGAATAGCACGATGGACCGCGGGAGAGAAAATCTTCTTTTGCCTTCTGAATCATTTGGGCACGAATTTTTAGTGGCGATGATGAATCATCACTTTCCTCTGCCTGTGAATCGTCGAGTAAATTTGTCGCTAGTGATTGCATCGAATGTTTTGTACTTGAACTTGATGGTAGGGAATTTCGATTGTTTTGAGATGCAGCTGACGATAGTGCTTCTAGTTTGTGTATTAAATCGGGAGAGATATTTTCTTGTGGTTTTTCAATTTTCGATGACAGGCGCAATGATTCATTGGGAAGGTTTATTCTTTTTGAATCCTTCTCTTCGTCAATTTTGATATTGTGAACTGTGGAGAAAAGGCGATTTCTGGTGAAATCGGCACTTGTACTTTTTAGAATTTCAGTTTTGTGGGATCTTTCGGCTAGTGGGGAATTGAGAGGAGATCCTGTGGGATTGTCGCGAATTAAACTGGTACTCGCGCTTTTTAGAACATCACGACGGGGCGGTCCAGCAATTGCTTTTCTCACTTCTTCCTGATACTTTTCCATTTGTGTGCGAACTCTTCTCTCGGTGACGGGTGATCGCCAAATTGGTGAACCACTTCCGCTACTTGCTGGACTTCCCGCGTCCTCCAACTTTTGATTATATCTATACAAATTAAAAAAATCTATCAATCTGCAAACTACAAACATTTTATTAAATTAATTAATTAGGTAGAATTAAATAAATTTACAAAAAGGTTAAAATATTTACTTCGATTTGTTTTTTAGTTGAACAAAATTAACACAGAGAAAAGACAGAGAATGTAATCTGGTATCACAAAACTTATTCACTAAATTTGTATTAGTAACAATTATTAACTATTTAGGACGAAAGTGATATGAATTTTCTAAAAATTAATGGTTTTAATTCTACAAAGAACAAGACATTAAAATAAATAAAATTCTGTTTTTCTTAGAAAATAAGTTTTAAAAATACGAATTATGCATTAATATTAATTAATTTTTATACAATAATTTATAAGTAATTATTTTTATATTTTAAAATATTAATTTATTATCAAATATTATTAATATAGATCAAATTTCAAAAAGTTGCAAATTGAAGTTTTAGAGAAATTGAATTTTAAAAACTTTTAAATAATTACTTTTTTTTCTTTGAACAAATAATTGAATTATTAAGGAACTTTCTCAAAAGCAATTAAAAATAATTAAATTAGAGAAGAATTTTACTTTAAAAATTCTAGAAAATAATTGAATTAAAATCTTGAAAATAATTTTTGAGAAATTACAGTGATTCTTATTGTAAAATTATTCAAAACATCAAGCTTTTTTAATTAAATATTTAATTATTATAATTTTTCCATAAGAATTAAGATTGGAAATAATTTATATAAATTATTAAATTTCAAAAGATTTGAAATTTGAAAATTTTAAAAATCTTAATTCTTATGGAAAAATGGTAATAATTAAATATTTAATTAGAAAAAACTTGATGTTTTGAATAATTTTACAATTAAAGATATTCGAAAATAAATGTACAATATTTTTTGAGTTTCTAAATATTTTTAGAGTGAATTAAAATATTTTTTAGGGTCAAGAAAAAAGTCAAAACTGTCTAGAAATCAGGAAAAAGTTAGGAAAAAACAAAAATAAATTTTTTTTTGAGACCCTATTGAATTACCTTTGAATCATCATTCGTATGCTTGGCGCAGTTTCCTTTGGAGACGATCGTCGATATTCCTTACGGGAAAGAATTGGAGATTGAGGCAAAGGCGGTCGCCTCTGCTCGGTGGAATCAATTATTCGTTTTCTCTCGCGCGAACACGGTGATTCAGAATTAGATCTTGTTCTATGTAAATTAGCCCAGGGCTGAATCGGAACCTGAGTTTCGGACGTGGAAGTACTTTGAATGCATTTAACAACCACTTTACTAGACACTACATTCAAATCATCATTATCATCCTTTTGCATTTCCTTTGGAGTCTCACATCCTTTCTCCTTACTATTTCTTCGAAATGGCGAGAAAATCATTCTCTTCGTCTTAATGAAAACACTTCGTGATTCTTGTTTTTCTCGTTTAGATGCTACATCTTCAGAATCTAATTTAATTGTTAATTTTGGATCGTTAGCGTCTTCTGGTAAATTTGATTCTTGCACAATTGGTTCGGTACTCGCGGTTGGGACGATAATTTTATTTAGAGTACTTTCGTTTATTATTATTCTTTCAACGTCCGGCGTTTCTTGATATGCTGAGACAGTGAGTGGAGCCGATTCTCGAGGTAAATCGATTTCGTCCAGTATTTTCGATCTCCATTGATATCCAACTTGAGTGTCTGTTAATCGACGTGTTTTTAACACTTTCTTTGGTCGAATATCACGATTTACAGTGATGACAACGTCGTCTTCTTCTAAACTACATTTTCTACGAGAGTTTTCAAAGGCCTTTGTTCCTGAAGCAAGATCATTGACTGTTATTGTGAGTGAATTTTCATTTTCCCTCTGGTCGGAAATATTCCTCTCACTTTTTATTATTCTTCTCGATTTTTTCTTCGTTTCTAGTTCTCTTAAGGATTCTTTATTTGAATCCGGTTCCGATAGGTTTGTTACCAGAATGGCATTTACATAATCTGGAAAATAAATTTTATATTAATAATCGTTGTATTCCGGTAATCTGTTCGCAGTTTGAAGTTATTTGCTGTTTGCTTATTTGAAAATAATTGAATTTTATGAAGAATTCATTATTTATGAATTTTACAATTCATAAAAATAATTAAATTTTTTCGAAAAATGTTTTATCCAAATTTTTAAAAATAATTGAATTTTTTGAAGGAATTTCATTAAAAATTTTAAAAAGAATTTCATCAAAATTGTTGAAAATAATTGAATTTATATTAAAATTCTTGAAAATCATCAATTTTAATTAATATTTTGAAAAATATATTTAAATGAATTTATTACTTGATAAAAATTATGTAATTAAATTAAAAGAAAATTATCAATCTTTCAAGTCAAATAAAAATAAAATTGTTAAAAATTTTTTAAATAATTGTATTATTTCGAGAAATTCTATTAAAATTGTATTGAAAATGATTGAATTCTTATGAAGAATTTTATTATTTATGAGAATAATGAAATTCTTTCGACAAATGTTATTAAAATTTTTGAATAATAATAAATAAGAATATTTAATATTATGTACTTAATAAGTGAATTCTTTAAATTTTAATTCTGTAATCATTCAAAAATTGATGTTTATTCTTCAAAACTAGCCAAACTATCCGCGCGCAAGCGCGCGGGAATGTTGTATGAGACTGCTTATTTTAAACAATTTAAAAAATTTTAAAGAAATAATTATTATAACCTAACAAAGAGATTTAACTAACTAAAATTCAAATAATTTCACTCAGTGGTCTCAATTTAAATAGAATTTACATTACTAGACTTAAACTATGGCTAGAACAATTAGAATTAGTATCTGGGTCATCTTTTGCATTGCTTATTTTATAAAGCCATTTTAAATTAAATACTTTTTAAAAAAATAATAATTATTACAAACTGAAAAAAGTTTTACTTGAAATAGCGAATTAACATCAGATTTTCTACATTAAAAAAAACGAATTCAAATAGAAATTAAACATTTTACAACTTAACCAAATTCACCCCAGAAATCACTGAATTCGATAATTTAGAAGAAAGTCAGACAAAAGCAGGGTTCCTACAGAATCTGGAAATCATGGAAATCATGGAAATCATGGAAATGGTATGGAATTTTTAAAAGGCTTCTGGAAATCAGGGAAATCATGGAAAAGGCCTGGAATTTTTAAAAGTTTCTAAATTTTTTCAGTTTTCCATTTTTTCTCTTGAATAAAAATTCAAATAATAATAAAGCTAAATAGCATAAAAGAGAAGAAAAAATGTTGAATTTTAAGAAATTCGATTTTTCGATAATTTTTAATAATTTTTGATTTTTTACCAAAGAGTCGAGACAATTTAATAAGTAAAGTATTTTCCAAAAGCACAAAAATAATGAAGCTAAATCCTATAAAAGAGAGAAAAAAATGTTGAATTTTAAGAAAATCGGATTTTTGAATTTTTTCGAATTTTTGATAATTTTAGATTTTTTACCAAAGAGTCGAGACTATTAAATAAGTAAAGCATTTTCCAAAAGCACAAAAATAATGAAGCTAAATCCCATAAAAGAGAGGAAAAAATGTTGAATTTTAAGAAAAACGGATTTTTGAATTTTTTCGAATTTTTGATAATTTTAGATTTTTTACCAAAGAGTCGAGACAATTTAATAAGTAAAGTATTTTCTAAAAGCACAAAAATAATGAAGCTAAATCCCATAAAAGAAAAGAAAAAATGTTGAATTTTAAGAAAATCGGATTTTTGAATTTTTTCGAATTTTTGATAATTTTAGATTTTTTACCAAAGAGTCGAGACTATTAAATAAGTAAAGCATTTTCCAAAAGCACAAAAATAATGAAGCTAAATCCCATAAAAGAAAAGAAAAAATGTTGAATTTTAAGAAAATCGGATTTTTGAATTTTTTCGAATTTTTGATAATTTTAGATTTTTTACCAAAGAGTCGAGACAATTTAATAAGTAAAGTATTTTCCAAAAGCACAAAAATAATGAAGCTAAATCCCATAAAAGAAAAGAAAAAATGTTGAATTTTAAGAAAATCGGATTTTTGAATTCTTTCGAATTTTTGATAATTTTAGATTTTTTACCAAAGAGTCGAGACAATTTAATAAGTAAAGTATTTTCCAAAAGCACAAAAATAATGAAGCTAAATCCCATAAAAGAAAAGAAAAAATGTTGAATTTTAAGAAAATCGGATTTTTGAATTTTTTCGAATTTTTGATAATTTTAGATTTTTTACCAAAGAGTCGAGACTATTAAATAAGTAAAGCATTTTCCAAAAGCACAAAAATAATGAAGCTAAATCCCATAAAAGAAAAGAAAAAATGTTGAATTTTAAGAAAATCGGATTTTTGAATTTTTTCGAATTTTTGATAATTTTAGATTTTTTACCAAAGAGTCGAGACAATTTAATAAGTAAAGTATTTTCCAAAAGCACAAAAATAATAAAGCTAAATCCCATAAAAAAGAGGAAAAAATGTTGAATTTTAAGAAAATCGGATTTTTGAATTCTTTCGAATTTTTGATAATTTTAGATTTTTTACCAAAGAGTCGAGACAATTTAATAAGTAAAGTATTTTCCAAAAGCACAAAAATAATGAAGCTAAATCCCATAAAAGAGAGTAAAAAATGTTGAATTTCAAGAAAACCGGATTTTTGAAATTTTTCGAATTTTTGATAATTTTAGATTTTTTACCAAAGAGTCGAGACAATTTAATAAGTAAAGTATTTTCCACATTAAAAAGTTTGACATTAAAAAATATATAAAAAATGCCAATACTTAACCCACAAAATTTATTTTTCAAAACAAACAAATGAATGCAGATAATTTGCTAACGGAAAGGAAACTTACGATTATTAGGAATGTATATTACATTTTTTCAATTTACAAAATAGTAAGAAATGGAAACCGCGTTTTGCGCGCTGGCGCGCGTATCATTTGCTAGTTTAAGATATTTTTAAAAAATTTTCTACTTTCGTTTAAATGAAATATTAAATTTTGTTTTTGAATTGTAGAAAAATAATAAAACTGATATATTTGTTAATAAATTGATATCTAAAAGTATTAGTATAATATTGATTAATTTATTAATAGAAAAGTAAACTGACCTCTGATGGGAGAAACTTCTAGATCTTGAGAAGATTCAAGACACGTATCAATAATTGTGTTAAACTCTGCTGTTTGTGACGTGTCTAGGAAATCTTTAAATCTTTCATTCCCATTAGATGCTTTTGATTTCGAATCATTCGCCTTAATTTTGATTATCTTTTTATTTCGATCACTACATTCGTCCGATTCGTCCTGTGAATATTTCAATTATTTTATTATAATTTATACAATTTTTTGTATTATAAATTGTGAAATGTAGAAATATACAAACCAATGCGTCTGTTTGCTTTTGCTCTGAAATTTCACAAATTGAGCTTCGTAATTTTTGCTTGTCTGTCACAAGAGATTTTTCATTATCTGGATGTCCTAGAATGAGAAGATTCTACTTTGGCTTTTATAAATTTATCATCATTTGTATTCTTACCTATGTTTCTATCCATTTGCGATTTTGTTCTCTTGTTCTTTTCATCCTTCTTGTTGTTAATGTCCCTGTAAAAAAAATTTCCTTTTCAAATTGTGTTCAATTTTATATTTAATAACTTTTTTAATTTTTAATTTTACTTTCAATTAATTTTATTTTTAATAATAATGATGATTCTATCACTCAATCGTCAGAGAATTAAAAATTGAAGTTAACGATCACTCCGAGTCTAGGACTCGGAGTGATCATTGACTTCAATTTTTAATTAATTTTATTTTTTTGTTTTAAATAATTTATATTTTATTTTAAATGAAAAAAACTGAAAAGAACTTAATGAGGAGTTTATCACGTTACCTGAGAATAGTTTTGCTCCTCTTAATTTCGTTGAATACAACAGATTGCGCCTCATCTTTTTTTCTAGAATCAATTAATTCTTCTGAAAATGCTACTGGATTTGTGAACGATTCTTGAATCACAGAAACAATCGAGGAATGAGAGGAAAGACTTTGTTTCTTGACGATAAGTCTCGCGGTAATTGGATGAAGTTCACCTGCCTCGAATAAAATAACAGGAGATGGCTCATGACTCGATGTTACTGTTCCTAAAGGAATTGCGATACTTGTCGTCTCACTGGCAGCCACACAATAAACTGGCGTCTGATGTGGTTGCAATTTTGCCATCGGACTCGCAGTTTCTTCAATAACATCTTCAATATCGACAATCATTGCTTCTGGCTCTGAATCATCCATTAAAATTTCCTCTGACACCTCTTCCTCCGCTAACGTTTGCTCCGAATTCACTCTCTTTGCTAGAATCAAAAGCAAAAATTTAAAAAAAAACTACGAATTTTTTTATTTTCGATTGTTGGTAAAAAACCATTTTAGTCCTTTTTTAAAAAGAAAACTCGAAAATTAGTATTAAAATATTAAACACTATTGAAAGTATTGAAAGTAGATAAGAATTGAAAATGAAGAAGAATTGAAAATTAAAATTGAGAATAATTGTGATTGCCTTGAGCGTCCAATTCCTGGACATCGTTTAACGATAAACTGGAGAGTTGACGAATCGGAGTTTCCTCACGTGTACTGACAACAATACTGCCAACTGATTTGGAACGTTTGAGAATAGGTCGCATTCCCTTTTCATCTAAAAATGAAAAATAAAATTCAAAATTGGGATAATTTTCCCCCATATGAATTTATTTTCTTTGAAAGAATAAATCTCACGTTGCGATTCTGTGGGCGTCGCATCTGCAGAGATTCTATAAGCGGGATTTAAAAATCTAAAAGTAGATAACTCCGGCGATATTCCTTGACTCTTTTCCCATTCGTACAACTTCCGTGTAAATTCCTGTGATATTCCTTCAAATCGAAAAAATCCCGTTGGCGTGTGTACGAGAACTTCCCTTTTTCGCGGTGACGAATCGCCAGCATTACGTTTCAGCACGGATAATCTTTGATTAGAAACATATTTTGTTCAAATTAAAAATCATGCGCTTTCAAAAAATTATAATTATAATAAAATAATAAAAACAGGATTGCCACAAGTTGGAACTTTGAATTGAATTAATTTAACTTAAATTAAATTACAATCACAATTAAATTAAAATTAAAATAAATAAATAAAATTAAAAAAGTTAAAGAAATTCTTCTAAAAAATTCAATTCTTTTCAAAAAAATTTAATAAAACTCTTCCCAGAATTAAATTATTTTTATAAATAATAAAATTCTTCTCAGGAATTCAATTATTTTCAATAGAATTTTAATAAAATTTCTTAAAAGAATTTAATTATTTTCAAACATCGAAAGAATTCAATTACATTTTTGATTATTTACATTCTAATATTCTATTATTTAAATAATTACATTCTTCAAAAAAATTAATTATTTGCAAACATTTTTACAAAATTCCTCGAAGCAATTCAATTGAAAATTCAATTTTCAAAAATTTAAATAAAATTCTTCATAAAAATTCAATTATTTTTACACATAATAACAAAATTCTTCGCAGGAATTCAATTATTTTCAATACAATTTAAGTCAAATTCAGCAAAAGAATTCAATTATTTTCAAAAATTTTCAAAATAATTCAATTATTTAATAAATAATAAAATTTTCTTCACAGAAATTCAATTATTTAAGTTTCAATTTCAATTATAAAGAAACTACATTATTTTCAAGGAATTCAAAGAATTACTTCAAAGCAATCCAATTATTTTAAATAATTGTAATAAATCGAGAAATAAATTATTTTCAAATTCTTCAGAAGAATTTTATTATTTTAATAAATAATGAAATTCTTTGTGTGAATTCAATTATTTTAAAAAATGTTGATAAACCTCTTCAAAGGAATTAAATTACATTCAATTATTATAATATAATTTTTTTATGTGCAAGAATTCAATGATTTTTAATAAATTAATTTTAAAATTCAAAACATTTAAAATGAAAAATAATTTAAAAAGTTTAGAAACAAATAAGTAAACTTAAACTAACTTCAAACTGTGAACAGATTATCAGAATACAACGATTATTAATTAATAATAGATAGAATCAGATTGAATTTCGAAATGTTTCACATTGAAGTTTAAAAAAATTGAATTTTAAATCATTTTAATTAAAAATTCTGAAAAAGTTAGTTTTTTACAGAAATTTTTGTTTAATTTTTTTTCAAATTGATTGAATTTTTAAATATTTAATTGAAAAATTTTACCTAGTCGAATTTTTGTAATTATAATTTATAAAAAGAATAATTGTAAACAAGTGGATTTAAGAATTACTTTAGGTTAATTTTTCTATTTGAATAATTAAATTCTCAATTAATTGAATAATTTCTATTAAAAATTGTTAAAAATAATTGATTTAGAGAAGAATTTTATTTAAAAAGTTTAGAAAATTATTTAATGGGAATCTTGAAAATAATTTTGGAGAAGTTACTGTAATAATTCTTGTAAATTACTGAATGTCAAAGATTATAAAAATTTGAAAATTTTAATTCCTATGGAAAAATATTGACTGTGATTAAAAATATATTTCTTAGAAAAACCTATTGATAACTTGAATAACTTTACAATTAATAATATTCGTAAATAAATGTAATAAAAAATTTTTTTTGTGTATCTAATCATTTTTAAAGTGAATCCAAAATATTCTTTACGGTCAGGGAAAAGTGTCAAAATTCTGTCTGGAAATCAGAAAAAAAATCAAATTTTTGTGGCAACCCAGATAATAAAAATGATAATAATAAAATTTAAGAAGATGAAGAATATAATCTAGAGAGTAAAAAATTCAAAAAAATTGAAATCGTCACCTAGCTTCTCTATCCAGAATTTTATTTCTTCGCTTTTGTAACTTGGGCTGTACTTTTTCAATTTTACCTAGAAGTTTCTCTAATGGCTGAAATTCTTTTTCATCCAGTGTTTTCCAAACTTTACTATTCCTAAATGATTTATTCGAATTTGAATCTCCTCTTTTCCCCGCTTCATGTTCATCATCATTCCTTGCCGCCTTTATCTTCTTCCATTCTTCCAATTTTTTCAGGAATTCCTCCGAAAGATGTGGTTTACTCGATGATTCACCATCGGTTTTTGATTCGGATTTTGCCGGAGCACGCCAAATTTGCCAATCGGTCAATCGTCGTTTAAAAATCTGTTGCTCAGGCGTTGTTGTACCAGTTGTACCTTTTTTTATACGTTTCCATTCGTCTAATTTTTTCTTAAATTCTGGCGTCAATTGTCCTTCACCAATTAACAATGCATTCGATGAATCTTTATCGCGTATCAATTTACATCGTGAATTATTATTATTGTTGTTATTGTTATTATTATTATTATTCTCCTGATGAAGATTCGATTGTGGTAGATTCGTAGGCGATGTTGATTTCAATTTTTCCCATTCGCTTAATTTCCGATAAAATTCTGCACTTAATTTGTCATGAAGTATTTGATAGTTTCTTTGAATTTCCGCTTGAACATTGGAACTTGCATCGGTTTCCAAATCTTCTGCACTTGCACTGTAACTTTCGCCAATGTCTGCTTCTGAAAAAAGAATAGTATTAAAATTTATTTATTTTTTTCAATTCACAGTTATATCTATGAGGAATGCGAAATATTCCTGAAATAGTTTCGTGAATGTTGAGCTTGAATAATTAACGTAATGTCTGTTTTTTAATTTAAAATTTTTTTGGGGGAAAGTTCTGACTAAAATACATAAGCGAGAAGCCTGGAAAACGTCGAGTTAATTTATGGATGTATTCTTAGAAGGAGAACTTCCCTGAATCTTCATTTGAGAAGCTTTTTTTATTTCTTCTTCAATAAATCATAAATTAAATTTTTCTAATCTGGGTTTTATATAAGATAAAAACTAAAAAAAGAAATTTTGATTGTTCAGGGAAATAATATTTTGTTACAGTAAGGAGAAAATAATTGTGTGTGTGTAAATGTAAAATGAATAATTTCGGAAAAATGTTTCTTTTTATCTGACACGTGTTTCTCCTCGAGATTCTTGAGGCGACTTTGAAAAAAAATATTTCTTCAATCGCCATAAAGATGAGTATTTTGCGTTATCTAAAAATATTTTTGCTTGTGTAATCGATATTACCGACGAAATAACTTCAATCACGTCTACTCTATAAACCTTGAATTCAAAGCTATTTTTATAAAAAGTGGAAAATCAACTGGCGCATTATAACGAATTTTGTTAAATGATTGTTTTTGCCAGTTTGGTGTCGATTTAGCCAAACGCAATATCCATAAAGGAAATCACATTTCACATTATTTTTGCTCCGATTTTCATGACATAAATATTTTTCACATTTTGCTGGAAATTCTCTGTAAAAGAAATAGAAATTATTTCTAATAATTCGAATTTAGTAGTATTTTATTAATTTATTAATTTCTTAAATATTTAATTTAATTAATTTGATAAATTTTATTCATACTTTCGTAATTTTGATTTTTTCTTTTTGAAATAATTTTTAATTCTTTACGCTCAATGCTGTTTCTAGAATTTTACATATATACAAAATTGAGCGATTCCGGAACTGCTATCAACTTTAACTTTTGCTTCCTCGAAATTCCTAAAGTCTCATAAATCTGAGATTGATTTAGAGATTCATAAATGACAAGGAGGTCTGGCACGGGAATAAGAAAACAGCTGCTGCAGTTCGACATTCAAAAAGCTAGGTGAAGTTCACTTAGATGTTCTGGCATCGAGAATGAACATTAAAAATTATTTTTTTTAAATCGAAGACTAGAAATTTTACCACCGGAAATAATGTCAATAAAAAGCAATGTCAAAAGTAGAAGAATAAGTAGAGATTAGAGAATTAAAAAAAAAGTTCATCAATTAAAAAAAAATCCACTCCTAAAAATAAATCGTGACAAAATTAAAAAATCTGAATAGAAATAGAGTGAAATGATAAATAAAAATAAATCAACTCCATGAAAATGAAACCGAAATGAAAATATTTTTCTCTTTCTCACAAATTGAATTTCCTTTTGGCACAGTTTCCGTGTTACATTTCAATTATCAAAACTTCGTCTGTCATTTATTACTAACCGAAAAAAAAATGAAGAGATCTGTCACAACTTTTGACGTTCAAAATTTTGTCAAAATAACTTGTTTAGTATGTTAGTTTCCAAATTTTCCGTACCCATAATTCATCATAGTTGTTTCGAAAATTTGAAATATTTACTAGTTCGATATGCCAGCAAGAAAACGTGCAACAAAGTGATAAAAGAAAATTTGAAATCAGAAGGAAAAATTGAAATTAATGAACGTAATCGATGCGATGAAAATCGAGCAGCACTTGCAAAATGTCCAAAGAAGGAGAAAACTTGCAAAACTGATAAACCAAAAGTAGTTTCTCCCTCTCTAAATAAAGCTTTTATTTTTGGTGTCAGAAAATTTTCATTTCTAAATTTAACAAAACGTTAAAGTATTGTTTCTACTGCGCGTCAAGTTTATTATTGTAAATTTTGAAGGATTTCAAATTCAACGTTTATGAAACTGAGTTATGAGTAATTTCATATATCAAATATATTTCATATATTTCGTTTGGAATTTCAAAACAGGATAATTATATTCCATTTTATATTATTTTAATAGCGCGCCGCAACTTTATTACCCACTTTTCGAATTATTAAAATATTTTTAAATTAAAAACTACTTAAACGATTCAAATTAAAATTTTTTAATTTCTCTTCAGTGTAACTCGAGAATATCTGACGTTTATCTCCAATCTCTAAGATCCGTGGAGGAAAATGCGAAGAAATTGTCAAATTTCGTGGAAAATTCGACGAATCTCATTATAAAATCCTACGAGAAGGAAGTGAATCACAAAAAAACGGAGCAAGCCGCAAAGAGAAAGAAATTTTTAAAAATTATCAACGACAAACTACAAGAATTAATCAAATTAGACGGTTTTTGCGGTATAAAAAAGCGAAATCAAGCGTGGATGATAAATTACAAAGTATTCGACGAACTGAAATATTGCAATTGCGAAAAGCCCAAGGATATCAAATTTCTACAAAACGAAAAAGAAAAATTAATCTCCGAAACAAAATTAACCACAAATAGTGCCATTGATTTAATTAAAATTTGTCGAAAATGCGAAACGCCAAATTCCTTAAAGGATTGTGTCGAGGAAAATACGAAAAAAGCAATCGAAATTCTTGAAGAGTCCAATGAAAAAGTTCTCGAAGAAATTGATGAGTTAAAAAATTATAAAATCAAAGCGGTGAAGAATTTTTCCGATTCCTTAGAAAGTGTCACAGAATCCTACACAACAAAAATAGAAGATTTTTCCAAAAATTTATCACGTTCGATCACCTTTATCAAAAAGCAGAAAAAAATGATAAGGATATTGCGAAAAAAATTGGAAAAAGAGAATAAAATGAAAAAATAAATAAAAAAGAAAGAAAAAAAGAAAGGAGAGAAAAAGACCAAAAAAATTGTAAAAAAAAAAAAAATTTGACTATTTTACTTACCGTCGAAGAATGAAGAAACTCTACTTGGACTTGGAGGAACGGAAACAGTGTTAGTGAGAAAAGCTCTTTTCACTTTGTGCCACTTTGAATCTTGTCTTTGCAGTCTTCGAAAATTTAAATATTTTTAATAAATTTTTTAAATTAATAAATTCGAAAATTTAAAAATTACAATTATTTTGTAATAAAAAGGCCTAAATTACATTTTTATTACAAAATAACTACAAAAAACCAAATATTAACTGTAATTAAAATTTGCATTTTCGAAAATTTATTATCATTATTGAAGAAATTATTTCATTTCAATATTTATGAATAATTTTAATTGCAAGTATTTTGTAACAGAAAGGCAAAAACTACATATAATTTTATCACATAATAATTACAAAAAAAAGGTTTTATCAACAAGCAAATATTATATTTAATTCCAATTTTAATTTTCAAAATTTCAATATAAATTTAAATAAATATGGGTTTTCGGAAATTTAAATTTAAAAATTACAATTATTTTGTTATAAAAAAAGGTCGAAATTAAAATCTTATTTCAAAATAAACACAAAAACAGTTTTAAAAAAAACCAAATATTAATTTTCATTTTCATTTTCGAAAATTTCGTATCATTATTAAAGAAATTATTTTATTACAATTTTTAAAAAGTAATTTTAATTAGAATTTTAATTTTTCAAAGTTTCCTATGAATTCTGAAGAAATTGTTTAATTTTTATTTTTAAAATCAATTTTAATTACAATTAGTGTGTAATAAAAAAGGACTAAATTACAACTTTGTTACAAAGTAATTACAATAAACGTTTTTAACAAGAAGCAAATATTAATTTCAATTTTCAAAAATTTAATCAAATTTAATGAATTAAAATAAATAAGTTCGAAAATTTAAATTGAATAATCATAAATGTTTTGTAATTTAAAGGCCGAAATTACAGTTTTTTTTAGAAAATAATTGCAGAAAACGGTTTTAAAAATAGCAAATATTAATTTTATCTACAATTTTAATTTTCGAAAATTGATTATAAATATTCAAGAAATTATTAACTTTAAACTTTTACAAACAATTTGAATTGCAATTAATTTGTAATAAAATTGCCTAAATTACACTTTTTTGAAAATAATTACAAAAAGGGTTTTAAAAAAAAGCAATAATATTAATTTTCAAATATTCAAATAAATTTAAATAAAGAAATTCGAAAATTTAAATTTAATAATTACAATATTTTGTAATAAAATGGCCTAAATTACAATATTTTTCACAAAATAATTACAAAAGACCATTTTAACAAAAAGCAAATATTAAAAATTGCATCTTCAAGTTTAATTTTCGAAAATTCACTTTAAATATTGGAAAATTTATTTAATTTAAATTTCAAACAATTAATTTTTAATTAGAAACGATTTCAATTGCGATTTTAAGTATAGCAATTTTAATTACCTTCAATAAGTGATTGGAAAATGCAATATTTTGAGGTATCAGAACATCGCCGTCTAGAGATCGACTTCGACGAGAGGAATCATCATTCGTAACGTCTTCTTTACTTCTCACAGGCAATTGACCAGAGCGTGGCCTTTTGTTGACACCTAAAAAGATCGAATTCACGAAATTAGTACTTTTTTTTATTAATTTCACTTATTTAAATTCTCTAATTTTACATATTTTCCATGAAGAATATTTTTTGAAAATTAAACACAAATTCACGAAATTAATTTTTTTTCGATTAATAACAATTATTTACATACCCTAAAATTTATATATTTCTTTTTGCAAATATTGAAAATTAATTAAAGAATATTTTAAAAACTTTGCATATACAAATTTATGAAATTAGTTTTTATTTATTAATTACAATTATTTAAATTCTCTAATTTTACATAAAATTTCTTATTGCAAATATTTTTTGAAAATTAAAAAGAAAAACTCTCTTTTTAACACAATTAGGACACGCAATTAAAGTTTCTTTTTAATTACTTCACGAATTAATAATAATAATAATTAATAATTATTAATAATTCTCTAATTTTAAATATATTTTTTGCAGATATTGAAAATTAAAAAGAAACGGAATTAGTTTTTTTTTATTAATTACAATTATTATTTCAATTTTTTAATTTTATTAGTTCTCTTTGCAATTATATTTTTTGAAAATGAAAAAGAGAGTTTGGGCACTAAATTCGTTTATTTTTATTAAATTACAATTATTGCAATTCTCTAATTTTATTTATTTTTCTTCGCAGATATTTTTTGAAAATTAAAAATATCACACAAATTCACGAAATGAGTTTTTCTCATTTTTTATAATTATTTAAATTCTTTAGTTTTATATATTTCTTTTTGCAAATATTTTTTGAAAAAAAGAGAGTTTGGACACAAAGTGGCTAGAATAAAAATTCAAAGTTGAAATATAAATAAATAAATATCACTAAAAAAAAAAGTTGCGGTTCATTAAGAAATTTTATCTAAATGAAAAAAGAGAATATAAATAAATAAATAAAAATAAATAAACACGAATAGAAAAGTTGAATTATTGTGCTAAATCTGGTGCTAAATCCAGCCAAAAATCTATTTTAACATAAAGCTATAAACGTTTCAGTTCGAACGAGAGAAGTGTATAGAGTCAATCACCCTCACCTTGGAAAACTTCGTCGGTCGAGGAAGATGAAGACAAAGTACTCGGACTGGGTGGTCCGGAATGATCACCAGTTCTTGGCGAGGACCCAGACCCAGTGGAAGTGTCATTGTTGTCCGGAACTTTAAGAAATCTCATGATCTCAGGATCAATTGTCTCAACAGTTCCGGCCTTCTCCCACTTGAATGCAGCCTTGACTTTGGTCCACTTCGATACCTTCGGTCCACCGACAATCGACATTCGTTTCTTATTTCCCAATCCACCTGGATTAATTTGCGACAAACGCATCGCCGGATTTTCAATTCCAATCGATCGACTCCTCTGTCTCATTATTGGTGGTGAACGAAAATTCTTCTTCGTCGCCGTTGTCGTTGTCGTCGTCAAATCCGGTCCACTGGAGAGTATCGCATTCAATAATGATGCGGCAAAACCAACATCTTCCTCGGGCAATACAACATCCTCACCATTAAGCAAAGCCCTCTCAACTTCACGATCAGCATTTCTCAACGCTTTTATTCTCTCCAATTCCCTCAGTCTTCGGAACATTTTCGAATTTCGATCGCGAAGATTAATCACTTGCTCCATGAGAAGGAAGAGCTTTTCCAAATGATCGAAAGCCTCCTCAGTGCCGTCGAAGTTTGCCGCGAAACTCGAGGCTGAACGAAATATGGAACCGGTATTACTTTCGGTCGACGGTCGACGATTTCGGAGATAATCGAGAAATTCCTTTTTCAAATTCTCATTTTCTTTGTGCTTCACAAAGGCCTCGTCGAAGACGTTCGTCTCCATTGGATCCGGCGGTGGTGTTGGCAACTTCTCCAAATCAATCATCTTCTCCCGACCACGTCTCTTCTTGTAGATCTTCGCCTTTCTTCTCTGCCTCTCACATTGAGAGAGATTTTTCCTCTTCTCCTGCTCCTCACATCTCTCAGGAATCTTTGATTTTGCATATTTGGAAATTTGAATTTTCGGACTTTGACATTGTGACACTGTCAATAGGGAATTCACCTTGTCAGCCATTTGATTCAATTGTAATCATTTCTTGAATTAATTAGTTTTTGATTTTGTCAGCTATTCCTGATTCATTATTATTATTCGGAAAGGAGTTTTGCACTTAGAACTTTTCTTGAATCATCACAATAATAAGGTAAATAAAATAAATAAAACACCACATGGCTGTTGTTCACTTCCGTTTCCCGAGCACAAACTCGAAAAACTAAGAGGTCACGAATCATGAGGAGAGATGTCGACGAGGGCAGTCCAACTAAACTGACATCGCTGGCGATGATCCAAGAGACGAGAAAAGAGCTTGGTAGCGCCCTCAACTTGGAAACACGTCTGAAAATGCAGGCAGTGTTGTAACGTGGGTCGTTAACGATTGCAAGGCTGGCATCAAGGTTAATCTATTGAAGAGGTGGCAACCTCCTAATCTCAAACCTGGGCTCAATGACACTTGATCACCTGACGTCAAGAGAATCTTCATCCAAAAAATTTTACCCTCTCGCCACTATTCTCTATTTTTGAATTTATCCGAAAGATTTTTCAATTCAAACATTGCAATTTTTCTTAAATACAAATTCAAGAATTATCAACAATTTTTATCAAATGGAGAATTGTCATTGACCTGCGACGAATGAATTCTTCCTCATCAGGACGAGAACAATTATTTCCGGTATTGTAGAAAAAGAAAATTCGATTGAAGAATAAATCGTTGACAGGGGGAAAGTATTGCACTTTGGTTGGTTATTTTGGGCGATGAGCGTCGACATATTTCCGCCGGGATGTCCAGACTCGAGGTGGGCACACTCTGGTTGACGGGTAACGTCGAGAATGGTGAAAGCCCGAAAGCTACCACCGCGTGTACAAGGAGAAAGCCGTCTGTGGATTTTGAAAGACTGTGCGATGGGTGAGCATGCGCCTCACTTGAAACAATTTCTTTCTTTCTTCTTCTTCTTCTTCCTCCTCCGCCTTCGCAGTTTCAATTTTCTCTTCTATTTCTTCTCATCATCATCACCATCATCATCTTCTTCTTCTTTTTCTTCCTTTTCTTTTTATTCTTCTTGTGCAATGGCCAAAATAGCCATACGGAAGATACCTCCCTCCGGAGTGCTCGAAAGTTTGCGATAGAAAATCGTATAGCCACCACATTCTTCAAAGGTGTTTATTTACACGAAATATTCTCTGATTTCTCATCTCGACGAGTATGATTAATTTCACCTTTCCAAATTCTTTCATTCAAAGAATATTTAATTTTTAAAAAAAAGTTATTTTTAACACTTCCGGGTTTAATTTTGTCTCGAATTTTTGCAAAGTTAGAGAAGAAATTTATCATTCAAAAGGGTTTACTTTCAAAGTTTTCTTTTGGAATAAAATAACCCTTAAAATCTTAATTTGGATCATTTTTCTCTCCCTTTTCTTGCAGGGTTGCCACAGGTCAGGAAAAAGTCAGAGAATTTTATCAAAAATACTGGAAACATTAAATTTCTAGAATTCATAAGAAAAAATTCTGAATTTTGTTGTATTTTAAAAGAAAATATTCAATTTTACTTTAAATTCTTTCTACATGCTTCGCACTCGATAATTAATTCCAAAAAAGAGTAGCAAAAAGTATATATTTAAAACTGATAAAAAGAAGTAAAAAATTAGCTATCAAAAAATTAAATTTGACGACTCAATTTTTTCATAATTTCAAAATTAAATTACATTCAAAAATAGAATAATTTTTTAAAATAAATATATTTAAATTAAAATAAATATTTAAATTCAATAAATTCTTGTTAAGTAGACACTTTTACGAGAATTCAATTGTTTTGATACAAAAATAAATAATTTATTAAACAATTGAATATTTCTTAAAATTGAATTCTTCTAAAAAACATTAACAAAATTTATTTAAATAATTTAGAATTAAATTAACTAAATAAGTGAATGCCTGTAAAAATTTCATTATTTATGCAAATAATAGACAAAAAGAAAAAAAAAATTAGTAAAAATACAAATTCAATTGTTTTGAAGAAAATTTAAGTTCGAACAAGGAATTTAATTAAAATTGTGCTTAAAATTATTGAATTCTGATAAATAGTTTATCAAAATTTTTTTTAAATAATTTTAGTTCTTTTGAAGAATTTTAATAAAATTTTAACGAAAATTCATTTTAAATTATATTAAAAAAATTTTATTAGAATTTTTAAAAATAATTGAATTCTTACGAAGAATTTCATTAAAATTTGTTGAAAATAATTAAATTCTTTCAAGAAATTTAATTAAAAATGTATTGAAAATAATAATTAAATTCTAATAAACGAATTGTATCAAATTTTTTAAAAATAATTTAATTATTGCAAAGAATTTAATAAAAATTTATTTTGTATTATTGAATTCTTTTGGGAAATTTTTAATTAAAATATTAGATATTGAAAATAATTGAATTTCAAAGAATTTTAAAAAATAATTAAAAAGTTAACGAATAACTTTACTTAAAAATTAAAAAAATATTTGAACTTCACAAAATTTGCGTTTACAATTTTTATAAATTATTATTATTATTAATTAATTTATTATTACTATTTACACAATTTATTATTTTTAAACTTTTCAACTTCAATTTTTGAATAATTCCAGATTCAAAATTTAAGAAATTTATTTATTGACTTATTAATTAATTATTATATATTATTTTCAAAAGTTTATATAAGCATCTTTGCACATATTCCATTATTTTCATAAATAGAAAAATTCATTGCAGAAATTTAATTATTTTAAATACAATTTTAATAAAATTCTATGTAAGAATTGAATTATGTATTTTCAATATACAATTTTAATTAAAATCGTCGAAAAAATTTGCAAGAATTCAGTTATAATAAAAATTTATCGAAAGAATTCCTTTTTTTAAAATTGTAAAAAATTCCTCGCAAAAGTACAATTATTTTCATAAATAATTAAATTTTTTAGATAAATTTAATTATTTTGAATATAATTTAAATAAAATTCTTCGCACAAAATCAATTATTTTCATAGATTATTAAATTCTTAAATTAATTCTTAAATTAATAAAATTCTTCGCAGGAAATCAATTATTTTCATAGATAATTAAATTCTTTAGATGAATTAGAATTTATCTGTTGTCAATACAATTATAATTCAATTCCTCAAAAGAATTTAATTTCTAGAAATTTATAGAAAATTCTTCAAAATAATTCAATTTTTTCAAAAATTTTAATAAATTTCTATGCAAAAATTAAATTATATAAAATTCAAAATTATGAAAAAGTCACAAAAATTACAAAAGTAATATCAAAAATTCAGAGAAAAGATGAAAATTCTGTCTGGAAATCAGGAAAAACTAAATTCAAATTTTTTGTGGCAACCCCTAATTTTTCTTCTCCTAAAACAAAGTCTCTTTTAGAATAAAATTTCCCTCAACTTCAAAAATAGTTTCCGCAACTTTCGTTATTCCTATGAATTTTCTTTTTCTCGAAGAGCTTTTAATTTTTGATGAATGCGAGTGTGGCGATGATTTCGATTTCAAAATTCGAAAGCTTTTAAATGTATAGATAACATGAGAAATTGTATAGTTTGATATTTTTGAAGTATATTGATGTTGTTGGATTTTTAAAAATAAAATGCACTCAGTCTTTGTAGGAGATTCATTGATTTTATATCAACTTGCGTGAAAATCGAGAAATAAAAAAAAATTTTTTTTTTTATTCTAAAAAGAATAACCAATTAACGCAGAGAGTATATAAGCTGTTGAAAGCAAAAGTGCTTTAAGTCAAACACTTCACTTTTTTCTTTCCTTAAGAAAGTTAACTAAACAAACTTTGACATTTCTAAATAAACTTTCATGAATTCTATCCATCAAGCAGAATATTCTAAATTTATAGTTATTGTTATCTTCGATTTGTTACAGAATTGTAACAGATTTCATTTGGCACAGAATTGTAACGGTTTCTATTTGGTACTCAATTGTAACAGAAGAAAATATTTACCAGAAAAATATTTATCGAGCAATTGAATTTTTAGTGAGTAAATTAAATTTCAAGGAATTTCCTTCCAAAAATAAAATTCGGAGTCAATAGAATCTAAATGATTTCTATTTAAGAAAGAAAAAATCAGCCTTCTTGAAAAAAAATGAAGATAGAAAGAAAACCTTGCTTTATAAGGAAGCCAAAAGAATATTAAAAAAAAACAAATTGGAGAAAATAACGAAGAATAAGTTTACGGATAAAAGATCTCTTCATTTCGGTAAATTTAGAAATGATCTGAAATTATATGGAAACGAATTACGAACGTGGAGAGCGATTATTTTTAATTTCCTAGAATAGAGGTCAGTTAAGGGCTAAAAGAAGAAGCACATATACATACTCATTTCCTAATTATGGCGTGCAAGGTTTGATCTTGCAACGAGTTAAGAACTTATAATACCGAACGTCGAAAGCTGCGCCAGTTACGTTCGAACTTTGTTACCATCACGAACGACAACGACAACGACGACTTGAAGCTAAGCCAAGGTTCAGGCCAGTTTCAAATTATGAATGAAGCCGATACACCAAAGCGTTCGAAGAAAAATCTCCACTTATCTCACAATATACATATATTTATATATAAAGAAAGCCATTGAATTCAACCTCTGAAACTCATTGACAAATTATTACTTTTCACAGAATTTAATAAGATTCATTATAATAAAAGAAGTAAAAGTAAATCTTCTTTTTTAGATAAAAAAAATTGTCCTTAAATATACATGAAAAAAATTTACTTTGGAAAAAAATGTAAAGAATTAAATTTTGAAAAGAAGAAAACTTCAATTGACAAAAATTAATTAATAATATTTACAAAATGATTAATTAAACAAATTAAAATAATTTAATGTAATATAATTTTAAAATTGGCAGACAATTGTGCAGGCTTCGTACTCGACAATTAATTTTTAAACAAAAGTAGCTTAAAGTAGCTTTAAGACTGAAAAAAGAAGTAAAAACGTATCTTTTGAAATTGAATTATTCCCAAAAGTTCACAACTAAAAAAAAAAATTAAAAAACTAAAAATTCACTTCAAATATTAAATTTTTATCTAAAATTTTAACTGAAATTCAATTTTAAATCAATTCTTATTAGAAAGTTCTACGAGAATTCAATTATTTTAATAAAATAATAAATAAATTATTGAATAATTGAATATTTCTTAAAATTAAATTCTCATAAAGAATAAATATTAATTTTTATTTAATTTTCTCATTAAATTATCAAAATTTCTTAAAATAATTGAATTATTAGGAAGAATTTCATTAAAATTTGTTCAAAATAATTAAATTCTTTCAAGAATTTTAATTAAAAATGTATTGAAAATAATGATTAAATTCTAATAAACAAATTATATCAAAGTTTTTTAAAAAAAATAATTGAATTATTGCGAAGGATTGTTATAAAATTTTCAAGAATAATTGCATTTTTCGAGGAAATAATTCAAAATTTTATTAAAAATAATTGAAATCCTCGAAAAGAATTTTATTATTTACGAAAATCATTGAATTCTTGCAACGAATTTTATTAAAATATTTAAAAAAATAATTGAATTCCTGAGAAAAATTTTATTAGAATTTAAAAAAGAAATAGAATTCGTGAAAAGAATTTTATTAAAATTTATCAAAATAATAATTGAATTCATGCAACGAATTTTATTAGAATTTTAAAAAATAATTGAATTCTTGAGAAGAATTTTATTTTTTATGAAAATAATTGAATTCTTGTAACGAATTTTATTTTAATTTTTCAAAATAATAGATTTCGTGAAAAGAATTTTATTATTTATAAAAATAATTGAATTCCTGAGAAGAATTTTATTATTCATGAGAATAATTGAATTTATGCAACAAATTTTATTAGAATTTTAAAAAATAATTGAATTCTTGCAGCGAATTTTATTAGAATTTTTAAAAATAATTGAATTTTTTGCAAAGAAGTTTTATCAAAATCTTTTTAAATAATTGATTTTTTTCGAAAAATTTTATAAAAATTTTTTTTTTAATATTTGAATTCTTGTGAAAATTATATTATTTATGAAAATAATTGAACATTTGCAAGAAATTTTATAAAAATTTTGTTTAAATAATTGAATTCTTTTGGGGAATATTTTATTAAAATATTAAATATTAAAAATAATAAATTGAATTTCGAAAATTTTTTTTAATGTTATTGAATCGTTTCAAAGAATTTTTTTAAAATTTATTGAATTATTTCTAAGAATTTTATTAAAATTTTTTAAAAATAATCTTTTTATTTTAACTATTAGCGAATTGAAAATACCGTAAATTCTTAAACTAAACATAGAAAAAAAGTAGCAGCTTTTAGTGTCATAAATCTAAAAAAAAGTTTCCAAATAGTAGCAAATCGTAAAAAAGTAGTAAATAGTAGGTTTTAGCAGATGAGTACGAAGCCTGATCGTGCAAAAAATTTAATTAAAAAGAAACAAATTTTGAAAAATAAAAAATAAGTGACAAAAATAATAGGAAAATAATTTAATTTAGTTCAATTTAAAAATTTGCGAACTAGTAGATATTAAATTAAAAATTCGAAAAATTACTACATAGATTGAAAATGATTCAAAATTTTGAAAAAATATATTAAGTGAAAAAACTAATTTAATTTAGTGCAATTTCAAAAATTTGCGGACCAGCTACAGATTTTAAATTGAAAACTCCGAAAAGTGTCAGATTGAAAATAATTCAATTTTTCCATCAATAAAACTATATGTAATTTGAATAAATTTCACATAATAAATTTTTAAATAGGCCACTACTTTCTGCAGACGAGCCCACTATATTCTTATTTAAAGTTATTAATCTGTTTATTTCAGTCTTCTATACCGTTTAAACCGCCTCCGCTTCCAGATTCAACTTCGACTCGACACTGGACATACAAAATGGGTTTTTTGACTTTTTTCGTAGACTCCAGTTGAAAATTCCCTCTCTCGAAACAGAAAATAATCTTCGACATCATTCCTGCATTGGTGCGTTCGTCAAATCGGGAATAGGAATCGTTGTAATTACAGTACCTGCGAATATACAATTTTCCATTTAATTAAAATTCAAATTCTAATTTATAATTAAAAAATTAATTGAAATTTAAATTGGGACAATAAACACATAATATAAAAAATATAAACATAATGAAAACATAATATAAACATAATAAGAAAATAGTATAAAGAAAAAAAGAAAAGAAAACTTGATACAATAAATAAAATTGTCATTCATTTCGATAAATGCGAGGAATTTCAACTCGTGTTGAAGATGGAGATATTTTCAATTTTAAATATAGCAAGCCGCTAAAAGTGGAGTCTTACCAACCTATCATTATGCCAGATGCAATGTAAAGTGTCGTTAAACAGGGTAACTTCATAAAAGATTTCATGAAGAATCCAACCAGGTGCGGAAGAATTCTTGCGAAACCCATAATCGTGCCTCTAAATCAAATATAATATAATAAGTAAAGTATTCTTTTTTTCTTTCTTTCATTTTTTTTTCATTTTCTAAAATTAGATCAGCCTTAAAATGTCTCTCGACTCTAATATAATTGACACATATATATATATCTTCATTAAGTTCTTCTAAAAATAATTCACATCTAAGACACACCTCAGGGCGGTGGGATAGTTTTCCAGTAGGAATAATGTCACTGTCGTGTAGCTTGTCGCAAAGGCTGATAAAATAGCGACTGATAAAATAATCCTGATAACATGGCTAGTCACAAAGGTAAAGGTGATCATTGCCGTACTTCCAATTAATCCCGAAGATACTGCAAATAAAAGGGTCCATTATATAAACAAAAAATTATATTCAATTTTGTGAATCGATTCATTTCATTTTTTTTTTTTAATTATATTTTACTGTAAATAAATAAATAAAAAATAAATGAATAATTAAAAAATAAATAAAGTAAAGTAAATAAATAAAATAAAAATTCTAATTCAAAATTAATGAATTTTGAATTAGAATTTTTATTTATTTATTTAATGAATCAAATTGTAAATAAATTAAAGAGTTATTAAATCAAAGGGGGAAATGCCTCGATACTTTCAACTATATCCAGAAAAAAATTTAAATATTCCATAAAATTTTTTTTTGAAATATTTGTGAGAAATTCAATAATTATAAAATAAAATGGGACAGAAAATATTGTGAGCTCTTTGCATTTTTATTGCTCCTAAAAATTGATAGAATTTTTAACTAAAATTCTCCTCTAGATTATTCTATTTAATTTTTAATAATTTTTGAGAAAGTAACTATTTAAAGAAAAAAAGAAATTTACCTCAAATAATTCTAAAATCCACTTGTTTATAATTTTCAGTTAAATATATATTCAAAAATTCAACTAATTTCAAAATAATTGAAATAAAAAATTTCCAAAAACTATAATTATTTAGAAAATTTTAATTAAAATTTTAATTTTCTAAAATTCTAATTTGAGATTCAATTATTTATAAAAATTGTAAACGTATCTCTTCTAAATTCAATTGTTTTTTAAATTAAAAAGTTATTTATTAAATAATTTATTATAGTTCTTCAAGCATTAAATTCAAAATTTAATATTCATTTTAATATTCAAAATATTAAAAAATTATATTTAATATAATTTTTTGTGAGGACTTCAAAAAAATAAATGAGTCAAAAAATATATTGTGATCGCTTTTGAATTCTTTATTTCTGTAATTGATAGATTTTGAAATCCGTGTGAAATTTTGTAGAAAATATTTTTTTGTATCCAGAAAAAAAAATTGACGAATCAAAACTTTAATTTTTACTAATAATTTTTTAATTTAATTTAATTTAATTTAAACTATAATTTAAAAAAAATAATGATAGATAATAATGATGATTTTATTAACTATAATTTAATTTTTATTATTTTTGAAGCATTTTTTTCAAAACTTATTTTCAGGCTAAAACCACTAAAAAAATACTATCGTTTTTCAATTTTTGTGTTTGAAAATTAATTTATTTTTTTAATAATTCAAATCATAATTTTTTAATATTTTTAATTTTTCATAAGAAAAATTAAGATCTGAATTATTAGAAAAATAAATAAATGAATTTTCAAACATGAAATTAAATGATAAATAGTATTTTTTTTTAGTATTTTTAGCCTAAAGATAAGTTTAAAAAAAGAATGATTCAAAAATACTATTGTTATTTAAATTTTTGTTTGAAAATTCATTTGTTTATTTTTCTTATAATTATGATCATAATTTGTTAATGTTTGTTAATATTTTTCTTACAATATAAAAAATTATGATTTGAAATTAGTTATAAGAAAACAAATGAATTTTCGAAGAAAAAATTGCACAATAACATTTTTTCAACTTTTTTTTTAGCAAAAAAACAATTTGTTTCAAAAAAATGCTTCAAAAATAGTAAAAGTCAAATTTTTCATTCGGCAATTTTTTCTGGATACAAAAACATATTTTCTACAAAATCACGCATGAATTTTAAAATCTACCAATTTTTTATTAGAAAAAAATAAAAATTCAAAAGGAATCTAAATATTTTCTGACTCATTTTCTCTTATGACCATTGAATTCCGCACAAAAAATTACCATATAAATAATTTTATGGAAGATTTAAAATATTTTCCTGATATTAGTTAAAAATATCGACGAACTCTCCTCTTAAATTGTAATTGAATTAAATATTTCTTAACTTAAATTGCAATTGAATTAAATAGTTATTAAATTAAATTATAATCGAATTAAACAGTCGTTAAATTAAATTGGAATTAAATTAGTTTGTAATTGAATTAAATTATTAAATTAAATTATAATTAAACTAAATAGTAAAAATTAAGAAATACGTTACTTAAAAATAATCGTCGGCCAAATCTATCGACACCAAATATAAGAAAAAGTTCGCCAAGAATGAAACTTAGCGATAAAAGTAAAAAGTTTCGGAAATATTCATTATTTTCTTGATGGCAATTGTTGAAGAAAGACATAGCGATAGATCCTGAATTTGAAATGCAAGTGTCGTTGTTCATCAAGAGAGAAAATTCATTCAGATTTTGAGTGTCGTTCAAAATTTTCATGTTCCAAAGAGCCGGCCAAATGAATCTGAAAATTAGAAATTAGATTTATTATCAAAACTATTTTTAAATAAGTAACTTATTTAAAAACGTAAGTACTTTAATAATAAAACTTATAAATAAATATAATTTGAATAAAATAAAATATTATAAGTTAGTAACAAATAATAGCAGTCAATTCCAAGTTAATATAATTTACTTTAAAATCAGTTACTTGTTAATTTAAATTTGATTACTGAGTATAAATATTTTTAAAATATAGTTCGAGAATAACATTATTTATAATTTTGTATTAATTAATTAATTAATTTATTTATTTATTAATATGATATAATTGATGTGTTGGAAAAATTTCTATTTGATGCGACTAAAAAATAATTAATTTATTATTAGAAAAATTATATCACTTTTAATTAACAATTTTAAGTTAATTTTAGTCAAAACGAAACTAGTAAAATGAATGTTTTTGAATAATCGACATTGAACGAAAATTTTATGAAGGTAATGTCTATCATTTTAAAATGTAGTTTGCTTCCTGAAATTTATCATCTATGCTAATACAAATTCTCAAATATCATGTTAAAGATTTTCACATAAATTCATTGTACGACTTTATCCATGTTTATCTTTTGAGTTGTTGCACTTGGCAACAACGAAGACGTAAAGCTACAGCTTATAGTTGCCCAGAGATGAAAATAAACTGTAAAGATATTATGTCTATAAAATATTCTTAGACTGCATTTTGTTTAAAGAAAATTGTCGTTTTGCTTCCTGAAATATAAAAATACTGAACATTTTAAAAACTCAAATATTATACAAATCGCGATATAAAATTGCAATAAATCTCAAACGTTCTTTTTTCTGAAATAAATACCGTTTTTTTTAACGATCTTCGGAATATTGTTTGCTTAATATTTTTTTCTAAGTGAAAAACTAACTTTCTTATTTGGAAAGTGAAGGGAATGTTTAATATCAATAAGAAAAAAAAACAAATAGAAAGTATAATTGTGGATAAAAACCCTGGAAATTGAAGACAACAGGCAACGATGGACAAGAAAGTGATTCGCAAGAATGGCGGAGTGAATATTCTTTGTACTCGTTGTCGATTTTTTGAAAAACATTTACAAACGATTTGCTTTACGGTTCGAATCTCGTCTGAAAGTTCATCATCATCATCTTCTGGTTGTATAGATCCTTCGACATTAGAAACCTGTAATAAAATTTTAATTAAATAAATAAAATTCTTCGAAGGAATTCAAATATTCTCAACAATTTTGATAAAATTCTTCACAAGAATTCAAGGATTTTCAATACATTAATATTTAAAAATTTAGAAGATTTAAAAAGAAAAATTGAATTAAATTCAATGAAATATAATTCTATTATTTTTCAATACATTAATTTTCAAAATTTTAGTAGATTTAAAAAGAAAAATTGAATTGAATTGAATTAAATATAATTCAATTGTTTGTATTAAATAGAAATTATCATACTTGATATTTATCAGCGTGTCTGGAAAAATTGATAGCGTACATTTGTCTTAAAACTGCGAGTGCCCGTTCAGGTTGACGTCTATAAATAAGATATCGTGGACTCAATGGCAAGAGGCCGATTACACAGGATACTAATAAAACAGGAACAGCTCCTAATCCAGCAACAACACGCCACGAACTTGGTCTCAATTCTTTTTCTTGCATTTTTATCGCCGATGGTACCAAACTCCACAGCATTCCTATATTTATAATTTATTCCATTAAAATACAAAAGTTAAAAATTATTATTATAAATAAATTTTTAATAAACAAAATTGAATGAAATAATAATTTTCTTGTTCTCCAAAACTAAATAGAATTAGAAATTTTATTCAATTTTTATACTAGAAATTTTATTCAAATCTTGTATTAGTATTTTTATTAAATTTTTGAACTAGTATTTTTATTCAATTTTTGAACTAGTATTTTTATTAAATTTTTGTACCAGTATTTTTATTAAATTTTTGTACTAGTATTTTTATTAAATTTCTGTACCAGTTTTTTTTTTTATTCAATTTTTGTATTAGTATTTTAATTCAATTCTCGTCTTAGAATTTATTATGTAAATTAATTATGATTCATATTTACCCAAAGAAGTCAAATAGCCAACGATCCATAAAAAATCAATTACAGCAAGACACGATCCTCGCTTTCTCGATGGTAAACATTCAATTAAATAGATTCTTATTGCTGCATTGTTACCTGCTACTCTGTGCAAAATTGTCTTCAAATAGATTGCATTATAAATAATAATAAAAAAATATTTCTTTAGCGTAATTTAACTACTATTTGCTCAATTATATCCACGAGTTTATAATTTTATTCTTTCTTATTATTATTCATTTTTACGCTTATTTTAATGAACTATTGTATTATTTGATGAGTTTCTTTTTTAATATTTCCACAACTACTTCTTACTGTTATTATTAAAATTAATTTTATGGTTAAAATAAATTGAATATAAGGTAACATACCCGATTCCGATGACAAAGACTGACAAATTAATCAGAAAAAAACTCTGAGCAAGCAGGAGACTCAGTGAACCGCAAAATATAACAATCATCGTCACGGGAATTGTTTCCTTTCTTCCATGTGTGTCAATTAAAGTGCCAAATAATAATCCTCCAAACGCCATTCCTGAAAAATTATTCTTATTATTATTCAAAAACATTAAAATTAAATTAATTCAATTTATTTAATTAATTAATTAAAAAATTACAAAATATAATAGAAAATTATTTTCATATATCTTGTTCAAGTATTTTTCCCTCTTATAAATTTATTGTGAAAATTTTCAACATTTCTTTAATGATTTATTTCTTTTAAAAAATTTCTCTAAAGATTTATTTGTTTTAAAGATTTCTTTTGAGATTTATTTATTTTTGAAATATTTCTAAACCTTCTATTAAGATTTATTTGTTTTAAAGAATTGATTATTATTTTAGTGTCAGTATTGTCCAAAAATATGTTCAAATAAATAAATTATTAATACCGAGAGATGAAGTCGCATTCATTGTCATTATATCATCTTTGTTATAATTAAGATCACAGGCGAGCAAGGGAGCTACCAATAATATAATTAGTGACGCACCAGCCTCTGCCATTGTGCAAAAACCACACAAACTGATAATGAAGAAATTAAATAAACCCCATCCTAGAAAAAAAATTCTTATTAGTACAAAAAAAAAATATTCCTGATAAGAATTTTTCATTTCTTTCAATTTAGAATTCTAATTATTATAAAAATATAATTACCTGTTTTCGAAACAAGAGTTTCATATTCCTCTGACATATTTTTGCCCTAATTATTTTTTTTAAAAAAAGAAAAGAATTTATCTATTAAAGGTTAAGTTGAAAATTCCAATTTTGCACATAAGTTCAGACAATTCGAAACAAAAGTCGAAAATATTTTTCAATTAAGAAGTAAATTCAAGGAAAATGTGTTTTATAATAAATAATTTTCAAATAATTAAAATAAACCGAAAAAAGAATAATAATATTAATAATATTGAAAATAAATTGTAAGTTACAATGTAAGACATTGTATAAATAAATAAACAATAACAAGAATAATAATAATACTAAAAACAATAATATTAATAATAATATGTAGAATAAAATTTCTATTAAAAAAATTTTATTTAAAATTTATAGATTATAGAAATTTTTTCTTTTCCTTCCTTCTCGTTTTCGTTTTATATTAACAAAAACTAAAGAAATGTGGAATTTTCAATGAATTCCAATGGAATTACGTAACAGCTGGACACACGAATGCTCAAAGAATATAATTATATCATTCTTAATGAGACCCGCGTCACAATCAAAGCTTCTCCTGACCTTGTATAATCTTTCGTTACGAGAAAACGATAAGAATGCAAATTTTTTTCTTCCGTATAATTAATTATTCTGTAATCAATATACAGAACAATTAATTCTCATGTTTCTTAAAAAAAAAAGCACACGGGGCTTATATTTAAATCTAATTTGATAATTGATGGTCTTAAAAGATAAAGGTGAGTATTTATTTGACAAATATAAAAAGTCATGTTTTTTTTTTTATTACAAAAGACCGATTTTTTTTATTTAGAGACGCAAAAAAAACATTAAAATGTCAAAATATCGCAGTACACAAATATGCGATTTCTCTTTTTCTCTTCTATTTACTATAAATAAAAAAAAAACTTTAAAGTTCCTTAGAACTTATTTTGTACTAATAGGAAAATAACAGACATTGTGATATGGAGAATATGGTCACACTAAAATAATTTAAGATCATTTTAAGCACTTTCAAAGTATTCTTTTGATCCCTTAACATCTGGTTTCATGGATTTCTTTCCTGGTTTCCAGTTAGCTGGACAAACTTCACCATTTTTATCAGTGAATTGGAATGCTTGTACTAAACGCAATGTTTCATCCACGGATCTAAAATGAAAAATTTACTTATTTCGATGAATTTTTTTTTTGTTATTTCTCAAACCAAGCAAAAGAAAGATTTGTTCAAGCGTTAATAATAAGCTGCAAAAGAGGCACAAAAAAGCGTTTATAGACTTCCGATTCTGAAATAGATTCTAGAAAGTGATAAACTTCAGTTGATAGAACAATTTTAAGAAAAAGAAAAAAGACAAGTTTGCGGAAAATACAAACATTACATCTAGATGAATATTGCATAATTATATTTATGTAATAAAAAAAAGTGTTTAAAATAAATAAACAAAATTTGTAAACAAAACAAACAGGAAACCAAGATTTATATCCCAAAGAAGATAATTACTACAACAGGATTGCCACAATTTCTTGATTCTAATTCACACTCTAAATGATTAGATACAAAAAAAACTGTTTCATTTATTTGTGAATGTCTAAAATTGTAAAATTTTTCGAAAATATCAATAAAAGAAGAATTAAAATTGAAATGAAATTCAATTCAATTTATTTTTTTCCTGTTTTATTTTAAATAAATTTTTAATTATTATTTTTTCATAAGAATTAAAATTTGTAAAAAATTCCAAACCTTTTGAAATTCAATAATTTATCAAAATTGCTACTGTAATTTCTTCAAAACTATTTTCAAGATTTGAATTCAATTATTTTTATTAATTTTTGAGAAAGTTCTTCGAGAATTCAATTATCTAGTGAAAAAAAAGAAAGTTCAGCTAAAATAATTCTGAAATCGACTTATTTACAATTTACTTTTACGAAATTTTTATTTAAAGCTTTTCAATTAAATATATATTCAAAAATTAAACTAATTAAAAAAAAATTTGAACAACAATTTTTCAAAAAACTAATTAAAATTATTTAAAATTCAAATTTTCTAAAATTTTCGGTATTTTTATCTAAAATTTATAAATTATAAAAAAAATTCTAAAATTTCAAATAAATATATAAAATATATAAAATTTGTAAATGCATCTCTTTTCAAATTCAACTGTTTTTGAAATTTTTAAGAAAAATGATTCATTAATAAATCATTTTTTAATTGAATAAATAAATTATTATAAATAAATTCAATTACTTATATAAACAGTAAATGCATCTCTTCTAAGATTTAATTATTGTTTGGAATTCTTAAGTAAAATTATATTCATTAAATAATTTATAAGTAATAATTTATGATTGTTCATAAAGAATTAAATTATAAATTCAATAAAATCTTTTGTCTTTGTAATTTTTTCTGAGGAATTCAATGTTTATAAAATAAATTGGATTAGAAAATATTTTGATCCCTTTTCAATTTGTATTTTTCCTAAAAGTTCATAAATTTTGAAATCCATGCGTACTATTGTAGAAAATGTTTTTATATCTACAAAAAAAATTTGACGAATGAAAAATTTAATTTTTACTATTTTTGAAGCATTTTTTTTGTAAAAAAATTTATAAGCTAAAAATGCTATAAAAAATACTTTTGTTATTCAACTCTTTTATTTTTTTAATTCATTTGTTTATTTTTACAACTAATTTCAGATCATAATTTTTTTATATTACTTATATTTTTTACAGAAAAAATTATGATTTTAAATAAGTTAGAAAAATGAATTTTTAAATAAAAAAATTCAATAAGAATAACATTTTTAGCTTCAAAACAAATCATAAAAAGAAAAAGGCTTAAAAAATAGTAAAAATTAAATTTCCCATTCGGCAATTTAGTTTTTAGTTGGAAAAACATATTTGCTATAAAATTACACATGGATTTTAAAATCTACCAATTTAAGGAAAAAAAGATTCAAAAGGGGATCAAAATATTTTCTGACTCATTTTATTTTATGGCATTCTGAATTCCTTACTAAAAATTACCATAAAAATAATTTGATAAATAATTATAAAATATTTTCTTTACATAGTTAAAAATATTGGTGTAATTATTAATTATTGACAGAAATAGAAAAAACTTAAGGTCTTGTAAAAAAATTCTTGGCAATTTTAAAGTTTTGTAATGCAAAGAAAAAGAAATTTAAGAATTACATTTTTTAAATATTTACAAAGGTTGCTGGACACTAAACACCAGAATTTTGCTTATATTTAAAATTAATGTAATTTTCCTTTTAAAAATTTAAAGTTTCCAATAATTTTGATAAAATTTTTTGACGTTTCCCTAAATTCCCTGACCTGTGGCAATCACGTACAAAAATATTACCCCAAAGTTTTGAACGTTCAAAAAAACGAGATTTATTTCTTCTTCAAATTAAATGTTTATGACAATAATTTTTCGCCACTATTAAAAAAAATAATTATAAGGTTTCTAAATGCAAATGTATAATTAAATTTTTTAATTTTTATTTATTAATGAATTAAAATTAATCGGTAATTTATGAAAATATTTCGTTCATTTGAACGTTCAGAAGATTATGGAGACAAACAAAAAAATACCAGAACTATTTCTAGAATAAACAAAAATAATAGCATAGAATTTAAAGCATTACAAAAAATGATAAAAAATTAATTATCTACCTTCCCACGGGGAGATCATTGATTGTAATTTGCCTCAAATTCTGCTTATCATCGATGATAAAAAGTCCCCGGAAGGGAATACCACTTTCCTCATCGAGAACACCATAGTCGCGGGAAACTTTCGAACTCTTATCGGCAAGAAGGGGAATATTCATTTCGCCAAGACCACCTTGTTTACGGGGTGTATTCACCCATGCAAGATGACAGAAATGAGAGTCAGTCGAGGCTGCAACCAATTCACAGCCAATATCACGGAATTCCTGGGCACGATCGGAAAATGCAATAATTTCCGTTGGACAAACAAAGGTGCTAAAAAATGAAAATCAAAAAATTATCAAAGAAAAATATTTACTTTTCATTCACTAATATTTTAGAGAAAAATTTTGATTATACTTACAAATCCAGAGGGTAGAAAAATAGAATGACATATTTGCCCTTGTAGTCGGAAAGAGAAATCTCCTTGAATTGCCCGTTAACAACGGCCATTCCTTTGAAGCATGGAGCTGGCTTTTGAAGTGCTGGGACTGGCATTGTGAATGATTTTATCTGGGAAGAACGTTAATTATAAGTTACGGATATTGCTTATTCTATTTTCATTCAATTTCCAATTAAATTCAAATAGAATATTCCGACAATATCAAAGTAAAGAATTTAAATTAAATTCCTAAAATGATTCATTTTAGTTTAATTTTACTTTATTTTATTTCAGAATTTTCTTATGAATTCTAGAAATTAAAAATTTTTTCCAATACAACAAAACCCAATTTCTATCAATTTCTTTCATTTCATAAATTTCTTCACTAATTCTATTTAAAAATTAAATAAATTATTCCTAGTTTACTTTAAGAAAATGGAGAAAGACAACATTCTATTTAAAAAATTATTTTATTATATAACAAACTTTATAAAGTTAACAATTTTTTTTATTTATTCATAAAATGACCCTGTTGAGGAAAACTTGAAGTGAATGGTTTTTAATAGTTTGAAAATAGTATTAACTTGAAATATAGGTCGGGGAATGTATCACAAGAGTGTACTTCTTGAAGATCATTAAAATGTTTTTTCAAGAATTAATTTTTTCTTCGATAAATGCCAAAGAGGGAAATAAATAAATTCTAACGCATTAAACATACGCTATTCGAAAATTAAGAGAAAAAAAATAAAAAGAATTGACATAAATTAATGTTTTTAGAGATAATCGAGTTAATACGATAAGGATGACGGGAAACTCGGAATATTTTTTTTTTATCAATTGCCATGTGTGTACAATGACTGATATCAATATTAGATCATTATTTAACATCATATGAACTTGAAAATTAAGAATAAGTAAACTATTCATTTCCGTAATTTATTTCTCATTTAGTTAAATGTCTTCAAAAAAATTTTCAAAAACACTCTTCTTTAATTATTCTTAAAATTATTTTTCTATTTGTTTTTTTAATTTAAAAAAATTTTTTTTTACTTTTTTTATTTATAATTAAGTTACAATAATATTAAATAAATAAATTACAATATTAAATAAATAAATTACAACATTAAACAAATGAATCGCAATATTGAATAAATAAATTAAAATAAAGATTAAATAAATAAATAAATTACAATATTTACAAATACAATTTAGCAAAATTAATATGACAATTAGTCATCAAAAAAGTCCAAGTATTTAAAACAATTTTGTTAAAGAAATGGTTCTCGGTAATCAGAGTAGTAACTTAAATATTCAAATAGCGAAGAAAAAAATGAATTTTAAAAATTAATGCACAAAAGTGTGAATATTTATGTTTCTTTCAACACTTCAAAAAATGCAAAAGAACAATTCAGCATTTTTCCATTGTTTCTAATTCAATCTAATTTAACGGAATTGCACTTTTAGAAAAGTTAGTAACAAAAAGTTTAATTTTTAAGGTAACTATATATAATCAATAAATGACAAGAAATTTTGTCACAGTGTGAATAATAGAAATTTTAATAAATTGATCAATAAAAGAGAATAAATCGCCCTTTGTAAAAAATTAATTGTTCCATAAATATGAAATTTTTATCGTAGTTATTAAAATACACTTTAGTGTATAACTATAGAAAATAACCAAGAACAATGAATAATTTATACATTCTTTTCGAATTATAACGTTTTCGATTAAAATTTTCCAAGTGCTTTCGATTTTGGAATTAAGTAACAGAAAAAAAATAAAAATTTACAATTTTGTTCACTATTGTGCAATTTTTACAGCAAAACAATTGAATGTACATATTATTTACTATTATTGCAAGAAAATTCGCAATGTGGGATAATTGTTACCAAGAAACAAGATACAATCATTAAAAGGTATACATTATTCTAATACTATTTTGAAAAAGTAATTCCAAACGAATTAGTTCCTGACCTTCAATTGATACAATCTAACAAATGGATGTCCATAGATATAATTAATATTTATGTAGAGGGGGATTAAAGGAGTATGGTTTAAAAACTATTTATATCAACGTTTCATATTAAAATTACGTAAGATGAAACTTTAGGGACGCTTTGTTTCAAGTCAGTATCCAGGTCCTTTTCTTTCTTTGTTCAAAAACCGTTATACGACAAAAGAAATGGCTGACGGATAATAATTTTCAGAGGGCAAATGTTAAAAGTCAGGGAAAAATGATGAAAAACTAGCATAAATTAACCGAAATTGTTAGTGTTTGCCAAAAGAAAATGTAATTAATGATTTAACTGAATAGAGTTATAATGAAAAACTATACCTGTAATTTCCAATGAAACTGGAGAATAATCTGTAGATCTCAACTTCTAACGACGAGCTCTAAATTACGAATGAATCAAGAATGACTAGCCGGCGTTCACCGGTTTTTACAGAACTCTCTCTTTGTCAAAACGTAGAAGACCAACAACTATTGGAAATATTGTCACGTTTTGTGGGTAATTTACCAGAAGTGCAAAGAAATTACACGTAATTTACCGTAACGAAATGTAGTATACTTAAATTAAATTAACAACATTACCTTTACAAAGGGTATTTTTTATTATTTTATTATATATATTAGTACTATATCATTAAACTATATCTCGTACTTATTTATACAAACATTTTGGTTATGTAAACAAAAACAAAGCAGACAATGTTTGTTTTGCAAAATCTGTAAAATTGTTGAACCCATGGCGGGAATTTCAATTTTTAATTTTTCTTTCTTATCTTTACTACAACAAATTATAAATTTTATTTGCAAAAGTAATACCAATTGCATTATTTATAAATATAATGAAAAAAGAAAATTCTTTTATTAATAGATTTTTAATAATAATTGAAAATAATTTAAATATGCCGCCAGGGTAACTTTACCAGATCTCTTTCCTAAATTGATCTACCTTCCCAACCCTGGTGCCTGCAAGACGCATGCGTAAACATCTTCGAAATCTGTCAAAATATTGCAAAATATTTTGTCATTTTTTCTACTTTTATACACGTGGGACAAAAGTTGATAAAATAGAAATAATGTGTATCAAAATTATTAATTTTTCCACCACTATTGAATATTTGGGAAAAGTAAACAAAAATAATATCAACCGGCTAACTTAACCTCAAAATATGTTGAAAATCCAACTTTAGGTTATTTCGGTATTTATTTGTTATTTACGAGAATATATTTTAGTAGTAGTGAATAACACGTGGTAGATAAAATAAATCTTCGAAATGATTTAATTTTTTTGGAGAAAAAAAAAATGATGAAATTTAAGTGATGTGAATCGAGCAATATACATACTTTGCACGTTTATGTATGTATGTATGTGTATCATGATCATCATTTTGTCAACGCTCAGAAGTGGAAAAGACAGAGCTGAACGCAGAAGCATTTACTGTTGATCATGACCAGTAATGATCGGGGGTTTAAGTCTTATATTTATCGCAATGTTGACTTTTGATTAGTGAACAATTGTAAGTTGTGGGTAAACGATTGCGTTTGTTGAAAGTTCGTATGGCTGGAGAGGCGTGGAGAAAATATGGCTACGGTTTTCGACAGCCCGTTTCTTTCAAACAGGTTACGCCAAATAGAAGAGCGCTATGAGGAACCGTCGACCTTCGGCGTTTGCGACTGCACAAGTTACAGTTATTTAGCATTGAGTGTGGTCTTGTTCACGGTCGGTACAGCGATCACAATTTTGGCACTTGGCGATGTTGCCGAGGGACATGTTTTTTCAAATTTCGATCACATGTGGTTTGTCGGCCCAATTTTTATTTGTTCCGGGCTGATGGTCGCCGTGAAATGTATGCTCTACCTCAGAAGGAAGTCTGTGATACAAATGATTTTCCATCAGAGACAACTTTTTCGTGTAAGTAAATTAATAGCCTTGACCTTCTCATTTTTATACCTATATATTTACAAATTGTGTGACAAAAATTATTGACATTTAGCTTTATCAAATTTTATCGATGATTATTTTAAAGTCATCAGCTGATATTGCTTATCAATTTTGCAAGTTATCTTTCCTTTTTCGCATGTTCCAATAAATTCTCCGTTGCTTTAAAGTCTTTAAAAAAACGTGCTTGAAATAAACAAAACTTCATTAATTCCTTCTTTCTTTGTTGTCGCGATTTAAGTTCGACTTAAATTTTTACACGCAACGAGGAACAATTTTATTTTTAACTATTCAAAATATTTTGAGGAGTTTTCAAATTCTGTTCTTTTTTTTTCCTTCCTTTTTTTTATATTCAGAATGTAAATTTCAATTAAAATATTGAATATTTAGAAATATGAACAAATGTGTAACATTTTTAGAAATGTTTCATAATGAACGTGTTTGAATTTTTTTTTTTCAAATGCATTCTTATAAGGAATAAGTGCTCTTTTATCTTAATCGCAATTACCTATTTGCGTAAATAAGTGTGACGTTATTATTAACGATTATAATGCACTTGAAGTTCTTCTGTCTTGAAAGTTTTAAACTTCAAATGATATACTTAATAATTTTATTGTAAATTCCTTCACGAAATAATTGAGGCAAGAGAAATATTTTTAATCGAAAGAAAATAAAATTCAGAGAAGAAAGCAATTTTCTACAAATATTAGTTTAATGTTAGTAATGTTAGTAATTAATTGTAATTAATAATTAATAATAATTAATAGAAATCAATAGTACTTCATTTTAGTAAATAATAATTCATAGCAATTGATAATAATTATTAGTAATTAGTAATTAATATTCTAATTTTATATATTCTTATTTTTCACAATTTCCGTTAATTTATTCTATAGCCATTAAAAAAGCATAATTTTTATTTCTTGAAGCAGAATTTGATTTATTGAGAGAGAAAAAAAGTTGTCACTATTTTTATATTGATTAACACGATGATTAATTTACTATTTTTGTCAATGTAAATTTTCCAATAAACTTGTTGATAATTGTTATTAAGTACTAATTGTATTTGCAACAAATTAACAAAAGTTATAAAATTTCTGTCATAAGACTGTAATTTTCAGAGCATTGGTTATTAAGTTATTATTTTTATCCTTATTTTAATTGAGAAGATATACTGTTATTTGATTTGAAATTCTAAATTCCATGCAAATGTTTCAGATAAAAAAATTCAAAGACAGATATTGGAATCTATTCAATATTTTTACGGAAAAAACAGTTATTTTTTTTCTCTAAAAATGTACGCCTGCCTTTAATATAAAATTACATATCGATTTTTTTAGCTAACAGAAAAAACGAAAAGAAACTAAAAGAAAAAAACTAACAGAAACTAAAAGAAAAAACAAAATAATAGCTAAAAGCAACTAAAATAAAAATATTTAATTAAAAAAAATTGTTTATTTAAATTGAAATAATTTAATAATAATTAATTAATTGAAATTTTATTTAGCACTTGCAAGAATTGGCCGGTGCACAAGGGATGAGTGGATCCAGTTCAGGAACACCTGGCCCACCTTCGTATGATGTAATAACACAAGGTCAAGGACCCAGTGATCTTCCACCCCCTTCGTATGCAGAAGCCATTGCACTATTGCAACAAGCCGGAGTTCATGGTGAGGAAGTTGTTAATTTCCGCAAAATAGTACAATTATTTTAATTGTATAGAATTCTTAATAATTTAACTTTACTATGAATATTACAAAACAATTCAGGACTTTTTTGTTGAATTGTTCTTTTTTCTTTTCTTCTTTTCATTGTCCAATGATAATAATTTCATGAGTCACTGTAAGTTTTTTTTCTTTTTTTTTTTTTCATAAAAGAAGCTTCATAAAATTATGAAAAATGATTCATTAACATTAATATTCTTCTATTTAGCATCACCTTTTAAATTTATATATCAGCATAAATTTAATTTTTCCATTTTTACAATTTTGTTTTCTAAATTCAGTTAATATACGCAATTTTCCAATAGGGATTTTTTAATTCAAAATGGAAAAGTAAATTTGTCAAATTGATAAAGTAGTAATGCTCAAGTAATATAATAATTTCTAATCTTTTTATTATCATTTTTCTATACAAATTTTTGATTGTGTCGAAAATTATTTCCACGAAAGAAATAAATTAGCTTTATTTTTTCAAAAAAGTAATTTTAATTTCGAGAGACAAAAAAATATGTATAAAATCTATCATTGTTATATAGAACAGTGTTACGTGAATTGATTTTTATTGCATCCACTTAAATTGCCTGTTATTATGTATTAAATTTTCTTTTTTAAATTCTAAAAGCATTCTAAATCAAAATTTAATCATGACAGTTATGTATAAAATCATGAAGCATTTTTTGTTTAAAGATTCATTTGAATTAATGTTTTAAGCCATAAAATCTTTTCTAGGATAAATTCAAATACAGTTCAAAAAACTATCTTCTTTTTTTGTACCTTTTTTTAGAATTAGTGTTAATTATTACCTACATTCTTTACTGTTTTCGAAACAAAATTGAAAGTGAATATTTTCTTGTCGCTTATTGTGTTAACAGATGCGAAACTTGAGAGTTGTGCAACTCTGTGCTGTGCAGATGAAGTGGGTGAAACCACAAGAATGAAGCCATAAAATAGTTACAAAGAAAAAAAGCTTCGTTTTTTTTCAAAATTTGAGGAATATACCTATCATTTTAATGAGACTGCAATATTGTCAAGTCAAGATATTAACACTAAATAGTCTGCTCATGGCTATAAACGCAAAAGAAAAAAAAGGAGGAGTGTAATAATTATAAATGATAAGGAAAAAAGCAACAAACAGTATAGTTGAATTTTTTTGTAATTATAGTTGTCTCAGTACAAAAATAATTGAACTACGAATTAGCAAATTTAATCTTCAGATTTTACTTAAATATTCAGATATAAGTACAAAGACAAAATGGATTGAAACAATTCGTTAAGAGTTGTGGATTAAAATTCCTTTTTATTGATCGAATAAGAAATGGAATTGCTTAAAACGGTTCTTCTTAATCAAAAGATCGTGCCCATTGCTTTATTAGCATTTTAAAAACTATAGTTGCATTATTCTAATATTCATTGACTTCCAACAGACGTGTAAGTACTGAATCAACTATTAAATGGGAATATATAGATTTTATATTATTTTATACTGTACACGTGAGAGATGAGATTGGTAATACAATTTTTATTTTTAATTGTATATTTCCGTTAAAATGTGTATTTTACTAACATTACAAAAAAGCACAATTCACTTTAAAAAACAAAGTATGCATATATTTTCTTCTACACAACTATGTTACTTAAAAATCATTTATCGAAATGTTCAATTCTCCGAAAGTGATTAATCGTTAATGTTAAATCACTAAATTTAATTACTTTTTCTTAATTGAATTTAAATTAATTAAAATTAATTTTTGAAAAAAATTAATTTTTAAAAAAAAATACCACGTAAAACAAGAAAAATGCCGATAAACTATTCAGAATGATTGTTAATAATTATTTTCAATGGAGTGTTGTAAAAAAGAACGTGTATTTTTTATTGTCGCAGATTTATATTCACACACCGGAAAAAAAGTCAGGAAACCAAGCCTCTAAACATTAAAGTAATTATGTCGTACCAAATCGAAGTGGTGCTAATTGTTAACGAATGAGAACAAATTTATCGACTGTTTATTTACTGGTTGTATTATAGCGAATTCATTCATTCGAAAGAAATGAAAACGAAATAAAGGAAAAATAGACGAAGGAAAAAAAAATTATTCGTAAGCGAGTAAATATTTAATGGAACACTGATGAATTTATCACATTTTTTTTTCATTCAGTTTCATTAGAAAATAGGAATTGTCAATTTAACCATTATGAACTTTGTTCTTTGCACCTTTTTAAAGTGTCTTTCAACGAATTTAATTTTTATGTCAGCATTTTTTTTTCGTTCACAAGAAATTGTAAATCGAAATATAATTTCATCAATTTGATTGGATTAATCTTTTTTTATTCTTCGTCTCTTTTTTCATAAGAAATAATCACAGTTCAAATATTTGAAATAATATTTTTTGCGACGAATTTTTAATAGTAAAAAAAATATATAAAGTTTCCGGAAATGTTACATTGTTCGATATTGAAGAAAAAATATATAGAATATTATTACCCAAATGCTTTTTATTTGGGATTAAACTGTTACAATGACTTAAAGGAAAAACAAACTGGCATACTCTATACAAAATAATAATTATAATAATAACAATAATCTATTTTTCGTGATTTTAGGAATTTGAATACTGTACGAATTACTGAATAATACATATGTAATCTTACTTAATTACAAACAAAAAAACCACATGTGACACGATTTTGTCGAGATCAAGAAATAAATTATAATTACTATATTTCAAGTATTTAAATTCTATAAAAAAAAAATTGATGTAAAGAAAAAATATACATGTAAAAGTGAAGAAATATTCTACGATATTATTCGTTATTTATACAAATTCAACGAGAAATATTTTCATGTTTCAATCTCCATGGATTTGAAATAATGTTATCAAACACCAAGTGATGTTCTAGTGCTAAATATCATACATTATGAACTTTTATATCTTTTTATTGAAATGTTGAACTACGAAACAGTGTCACATGTCGTCATTATTGTCAATCGACAAAAGTAATATTATAGTTGTTAAGACTGTATATATATATATTATATAATTCCAAATGCGTGATGTTGATGATGAAATCAATGAGAATTTTCCGAACATTTTCTCAAAAAAAAAAAAAAAAAAAAAAAAAAACCAATAGTCTTTTAAGCAAAAAAATAAATGAAAAAAAAACGTATTTTTGTATAAAATAATATACAATTAAGACTGCTGTTGCCTTAAATAAGAAATGCAGGTTTAAGACACAGATCATTGAGGGAAGATAGCAATACTTGTTTATGCCTATGCTTCTGATAACAGTTCAGACAGTATTAAATCAAACAAAAATTATGTGTGTTACATTCATCGAGAATCGCACAAACTCTTATTGATAAAAAAGAAATATTTTAATTAGAAAGAGAAATTATTTCTTTCAGCTGATGTTTTTAATTAATTGCTTGAAACACAACTTTCATTTGAAACATTTTATTTCAATTTATAAGAATTGAATCAAAATATTCGTTTTTTACTTTTTTTACATTTAATTGAATGTACTTCATTGTTGAAAATTCATCTATTTATAGTTAATATAATTAATAAACAATTATACAATTAATACAATTAATTATAATTAATAAATTATTAATTATAACATAATGAAATGTTGATTATAATTGATAAACTATCGTATAATTAATAATTTAATTAATTATAAATAGATTGTATAGCAATTAAATTCATATTTCTTAAACTACTACGCGTTATGCATTCTAGCAGATTTATTTTGTGCCATTATAGATTGTAACGTAAGGAAAAAGAAACTTTTGTCTTTGTAAAATTTTTGCCTGAAAAAAAGAAGAGATTACGCTATTCTCGACGGAGTTGTAAACGTGCAGATAACGTACAAGTGAAATATAAATGTTAGATTATTATCTTTTTTTTTTGTATCAGGCAATTGTAATTTTTTTTTTTTTTTTGTTTTTTTTTTCGAAATCAAATTTATTCGATGTTTTTTCTACTTTTAAAAGAAGTGTCGAAGTGATTACAAATTTACTGTGTAAATAATTGTGATAACACAATTTAAAAAGAAAATTATATGTCATTATATTTCGCGTTGCGATGCCAAAATGGGGCATAGTTCTTTTTTTTTTGCAAAACTACGGAACGAATCTTTCCGTGAAATCTAATTTTTATCGCTATTTAATGTGATGTTTTTGTATATATATATTATAATAAAATATGTATAGTTTAAAAAAATGTGATTTATTATTTTTAATTAAAGTCCGTAAAAACCCGTTTTTTTGGAAAAAGGTTCCGTAAAGTCCGTAATTTGAATCAAAAAGAATGAAAAATTCGTAAATTGTACGATATAATTTGGAGAATTTTAGAGAAATTATAAATGATTGCAGAAATTCAATTATTTACAAAAGTAATCAAATTCTCTGCAAAAATTCAATTATGTTCAAAAATTTTTTTAAATTCTCATTAAAATTTCAATTATCTTTAGAAATAATTAAATTCTTCTCAGAAATTCAATTATTTTCAAAAAATTTCCTCAATTCAATGCTTTTCAATATATCTAGGTACTATTTTCATAAAATTTTCCAAAAGAATTGAATTATTTACGAAAAAATTTAATAAAATTCTATACAAACTTTCAATTATTTTCAAAAAATAATAAAAATTTCACAGAAATTTCATTATTTACAAATTTTTTTAATAAATTCAATCAATTATTTTCGTAAATAATAAAATTATTTTTAGGAATTCAATTATTTTCATAAATAATAAAACTCATCGCAGAATTTCAATTATTTTGAATACAATTTTAATCAAATTTCTCAAAAAATTTAATTATTCTTAAAATTTTTTATTAAAATTCGTCAAAAGAATTCAATTATTTAAAAATTTATAGATAAAATTCTTTATGAGAATTCAATTTCAAGAAACATGCAATTATTCAATAAATTGTTATTTTTGTATTTAAAATTTAAATAATTGAATTCTAGTAGAATTTTCTCATAAAAATTGATTTAAAAATGGATTTCAATTAAAATTTTAAATTATAATTAAATTTTGAAAATTTTTTAGATTAAAATCTTTGAAAATTTGAATTTTTCATATTTTTAACTAACAATTCTGTGGAATTAATTTTTTTTGATAAACTTTAATTGTGGATTTTTTTAAAAATTATTTAAAGTTTTTATTTTCTAATAATTATATATTTAATTGAAGAATTTACGAATAATTTAAATTTTGTAAAATTGAATAATTGTGAACAAATGAATTTGAAAATTCTTAAAGAACTTTTCCAAAAATTATTAAAAATAATAATGGATGAAAGAAAAGTTACAAATTATTGTAAAAATTCAATTATTTTCAAGAATAATAATATTCCTTGCAAAATTTATATATTGTTCAAAAGTAATAAAATTCTTCTTAGAGATTCAATTATTTTCACAAATAATAAAAGTCATTGCAGAATTTAAATTAGTTTTAATACAATTTTGATCAAATTTCTCGAAAAATGTAATTATTCTTAAAGATTTTATTAAAATTCGTTGATAGAATTCAATTATTTGAAAATTTGTTGATAAATATTCTTTATTGGAATTGAATTTTAAGAAACATTCAATTATTCAATAAATTATTTATTTTTGTATTTAAATAATTGAATTCTAGTAGAATTTTCTAATAAAAATTGATTTTAAAATTGATTATTAAAAGCAATATAGTGTGAATTTTTAGAAATAATTGAATTTTGAAAAAGTTGAATTGAATTTTTTTTAATATTAATTTAAGTTTTTATTTTCTAATATTTATTTAATTTAAGAATTTACGAATAATTGAAATTTCTTAAAATTGAATATTATAAACAAATGGATTTAAAAATTGTCAAAGAACGTTTTCGAAAATTATTAAAAATAATCGATTTAAAGAAGAATTTTAGTTAACAATTCTTGAAAATAATAATTGAATTGTTAATAATTTTGTCACTCGGTGCACGGAGAGAAAAATCAAGGCTTTTCCCCATGAAAAAATATGCATTTAACGCGTGAAAATTATCACAGTAAAAATGCAGGACGCTCACGGGTTTTCCCGGTGAGATTCTTGCAACGAGCTAAGGCCAATAGAGGCTAAGGCATGGCCTAACCGCTAAACGCAAGAAATTCATCTGGAAATCCGGTGAAACTGCTACCTGAAAAAGGCATTAATTGAAGTCACGGGAAAAAGCCTTGTATTTTCTCTCCGTGTGATCTTTGATTATTATAAAACATAAAGAAGTCGATCACTCCGAGTCGAAGACTCGGAGTTATCGATATCTTCATGTTTTTTAGTTATGAAAAATTTAATTTGTAGTTTTAAGTAAAATGTTCTCTTATTTGACTCGGACTGGTTATATTTTTGTCAGTAATTGGTCCGTATCAAGAAATGAGAAGAAAGAAAATATTAATAAAAAGTTCATAAAAATAATGTTTAAAAATATTATAATACAATTTATAAAATTAGGAAATCTATTTAGAGTTGAATTAATAAATTATAAAAAAAAACTTCCGAAAACTGTTTATCCGCCTTTTATTAAATAACGTGATACGTGTAAAATACATCATAGATCTAAGGGAAGTAGATAATAAAAAGAATTGTGTACAAGACCATTGCAGTGAAGATTTTTGTTTTCCTTTTTGTTGTTGTTCTTTTTTTCTTGCCTTTTTAGAGAAAGAATATTAAGACTGAGCAACGGCGAGCATTTCTTCTTGATGAATAAGATGTGTTGTATGATTAACAAGACCCATGAGTTTCGATAGAGATGCTGCCCAGGCATCCAAAAGTGCCGCCGGCTCTTGAGTGCCAGTAAATCGAACAACGCCAGCTGGACGATCAGTGCGAGCGCTAATTATACCAGTCTCTACCAAATTGCACAAGCACGCTTCCGTTTCCTCCACAGGCAAATCCAAAAGTTCAGCCATACGTGTTAATGTTATTTTCGTGTAATATTTCGCCATTATTCTAATATTCTGGTGGAGAAAAATGAAAAAGTTATCAATATTTTTTTAAATATATCTATAGGAAAACAATAATTAAACAGAAAAGGAAAATTAATTTTTCTCACATGTTCAACAACACGATTCCTGAGATCAGCCCATCGTTTACGACCTTCTTCAGTTGAAGCTGTGAAAACTTCGGTTGCTCGTAAATCTCTTTCATAAATTTCACACAATCCTGACCATTTAATGAGTTCTGGATTCACAAATAATCGAAGTAATTCCCTGAAAAACAAAGAATCAATTGAAAAATTTCGAAATTTATAATCTGATAATTTTTGTAATCTACATTTTAATTTTTTCGAAAAATTTGTAAATTAAACTGAAAATAATTTAATTTCCATAAAGAATTTTATTATTTATTAAATAATTGAATTAGTTTTCAAGAATTTTAATCAAAAATTTGAAAATAATTCAATTTTTTTGCAGAATTTTATTAAATTTGTATTGAAAATAATTGAATTCCAGCGGGGAATTTTATTATTTGTAAAAAAAATTGAAGTCTTGCGATAAATTCAATTAAAATTTTTGAAAATACCTGTAAATAGGCACTTCTTCTAAAAGCTTATCAGCGAGTAATCTGTGAGTGAGATCAGCTTGTTCTGGTTCATGTGGAGCCAAAACCAAATATAAAACAGCGCGCGACAGAGATGTATGTCTTTTTTCAGGATCATCGCGAACAGCTGGTGTTTCCAAAACGGCTCGATTATGACGGCAAAGTTCAAGATGCCATCCTTCGTGACGCGCCAATTCCATCATTAAACTGAGAAATTATTTAATTAAACAAAATTAGAATAAACCAAATCGAAAAAGAAAATACTGGAAAACTAAAAAATCATTTGAATAATAAACATACTCGTAGTATTTCAATTTTAAAGTCTGGGATTCTTCATTATTTTCATCCTCGAAGAATTTAATATTGATTTTCTTTGCGATTATTTGTGTACGAATAAAGTCTTTCTTCATTAGGCACAAACGCATTTGTTCCAAGATGAGAGAAGCCTTTTCCTTTCGTGACATACTGCCGTAAGTCTCCACCTGATTAATTAAAATTATACGATTTTTATTTCTTATCATAAATTCTTATTGTGAAAAAATGATTAATTGTTAATAAAAACATTAATATTATTGAAAAATAATAATTAATTGTTAACAAAAACATTAATATTATTGAAAAATATTAACATTACTCAAAATATTAATATTATTACAAATTATTAACAAATATGAATATTTAAAAATTCATTTTAACTTTTTAAATTATTAAGATATTATTTTCTTGCAAGAATAGTTAGAGAAAAATATTTTTAGCAGATTTTAATTATTCGCATGTTACCTGCAACTCCATCATAACGCTTGCTGCTTCTGTAACATCTCCGTCTTCTTCCTTAAGTTTCGCTAAACGATGAGTAAGTCTTGCTCTCTCAACTTCTACGTAAATCTAAAAAGTAATTTCAATATTTTTAAAATTCCACTCAATTGTTTAATATAATTTAATGTAAATTAATTCGGGGGAAATTTTAAATACTATGCGGAGTAATTTAATTAAATAAATAAATTTTAAAGGAATTCGTACCTTTCCTTCTGTTACTGAACGTAATGTTTCTATGAGTTTAATCATTGTTTCTCTATCAGGAGTCTTGTCTACATAACTGCAGCATTCTTGTACCATTTTTGTTACAGATTGTTTTAATTGCGAGCGTCTCTTCGATAAAAGTACTATATGTTCATTGAGAGCTGCCCAATTTTTTGCCTCCAAGCAAATTTCGACAATTGCCACGAGAACTCTTGATGTGGAAACCATATCAGCACCCTGAAATTGGGAAAAATTTGTTTCGTTTCCAAATATTTTCGTAAAGATGATTTAAATTTAGAAATTAAATATTTTGTCAACAAGTTTTACATTTACAAATCGAATATATTGTCAAGAAGTTTTCTATTTACAAATTAAATATTTTATCAAGTTTTATATTTAAAAATTAAATATGTTGTCAAAAAGTTTTATATTTATCAAAAAAATACTTATTTATTTCTCTAAATTATAATATTCCAGTTTTTCTTAAATCAATAAATGAAACACTTACTGTTCTAGTCAATTTTTCGAGTGCCAATAATTGATCCAGAGCATCGTGCATTTTTCCCTCAAGAGCCATTTTTTTACATTCTGGAATCTTTGTGTCACAATTAGTGCTGTAGTCCACTTCCATTTTCACAATTTTTCCACCCTCCGTAGCTGTATCTGCCATTTTTGCTTATCTTTCTGTACCTTAAAAATATTTAGTCATCAAAGATCAAAATGAAAACAATTTTCCACTTATATTTAAACCCAAATAAATACAATTTATTAATAAACGAATTTTTCTCTTCTTCAATAACAAACAATATTAACCAAAATAGTTTATTTACAAATTTCAATATTAGAAAATCAAAGTATTAAAATTAATATTTAAAACACATATCTATAGAAAATAAATTCAATATTTTTAAATATACAACATTGCATTATGTACTCTGAAAACAAATGCAAAGAAACCATTTTTGGAGCAACATTACAAAGCACATTTAAAAAAATAATATCAAAATTAAAAACATTCTTACAGTTTAATTAATAAACGACGACAAAGAATGATTAATAATTAAAATGTATCTCTTATAATTATTATCCAAAATTGTTTATTTACTGAATATTATTTGAATTAAATTGTCAACAAGTGAGGTTATGTTTAGAGAAGTCATTTGTTTCTTTTATTGAATTCTTAATTAAAACAATGAAAGATAAAACGGAAAACTTTAAATATTAAAAACAATTAGTTTATATACTTACGGAAATTAATAAAACGATGTACAAATGTCAAAAAAATGGAGAAATCACTTAAAATTTAAAGCCCACGCTCATAGGTTAGGAAAAACTGAAAATGAATGAAAATTCATCTGTCATTCACTAAAGAACTTTCTCTTGTAAATTTCCAATGGAACAATATAATTGGCTGGAAATTCGACTTTAGAATAGTAACAACAAATGATTGTTTACCATTTGATAATATGAATGTAAAGATCGTTGCTGATTTGTGAAAACCGGAAAGTCGTTGATGTGAAACCACCTTTATACTTTTGAAAACTGATTCGACGTCCATAGGGTGTGTTTAGGTTTTTCCACCAATTAAAAGCAATTTCCCCGTGGAGGTAAAATTTAAATAATGATAGTGTAATTATTAAATTTGTTTTCTGAAATAATGAATATAAGGGAAAGAAATATATATGAGGAGTAAAGTAAAACGTTTGAAATTGATATATAATAGTTCTTGGAGAAATAATTGTAAAGAGGAGACGAAATTAAAGAAATGCGTCAAAATTGCAGGTTATGGGTAAAACTTAAGCTTCAACTACCGACCCGCGTCTATTTAAAACGTTTTATACACATGCCATTTTAAATAGAGGCGCTTTATTTTACCAATAAGAGCATTTTTGTAGCGCAAGCGCAGTTACGTTTGGGGACGGCAGTGAATGTGCATGTCAGTAGCCATTCGACCGCCTTCAACAACACATAAAACTTTTCAATGCACATCCACACCATCTCATGCAAGCAAACAAGAAACTCTCGCTGCTCGTGTTCTCTGGTTTCTCATTTCTTTGTGTTAGTGAGTGTGAGCTTGTGTGTGTGCGTGCGCGCTGACAATGAGCCGCGACTGTGATAAGTAATCCGCGAAACCCTTCCTTGTCGTCGCAAACGCGTAGTGGCAGTGGAGAAAGATAGGTGCGAGTTGAAGTGTGACTGGGCGAGTCTTCTACTTTAATGACTCGCGTTTTACGTGGGCCGCAAGGAGCCGGAGTTGATCGGAATGTACCAATTCAATATACCACCCAAGTTCTACGAGCTGTGTCGCCTTTGTTTATCGTCGGACGGTGTTAGGTTTCCCATATTCGAGGATGAAGGCTCAGAGGGGAATTACGCCGACAAGATCCTGACGTGCCTTTCAATTACGGTAAGGATCTATGTCTCATCATTATGAGAATATCATGTCCTCATCTAGGCTTGATTATCGAAAATAGACGCAACATCTGGGGGCCCCTGTGTTCTCCCTTGGAACACACATATATATATTCCATGTATGTGCATTCGTGTGTGTGCGCGTGCCACGGGAGAAAGTTTGGCAAGAAAAGATGTGTTCGCGAGATAAGCCGCTACTCGCGGGGATTTAAAATGGCAGTGATAAGCTGGTTCGAGTTGACTGTCGCTGTTTTATACAAGCTTGCTTTGGCTCTTACCTGTCTTCCTTGTGCTTGTTGTATAAAGAGGGGATTGGGACGTTAGGGGAGCTCCTTATTTGGACGGCCCTGTTATCAAGTTTCACACGCGGACTCACTCCTTGTCAGAAGATCCGCGTCGATAGCTTTCTTTTTTAACCAAAGGAGCTCCAAATCAAACTACTCGTTTTCAGATAACTTATATTTATGTTTCATTATAAACACACGTGTATTTTGTATATCTTTTGTTTTGATAACTCATTACGATTTTTTTCCTATTGCTAGATATTTTGTTAAACAAAATCCGTTAAATTTTTCTAACTGTCTTTATTTAGCATATTTTACATGTCAGATTTTCTTTCGTCGCCGAATTTCAGCTGTCAGATTCTGACAGAATTTTCTTTGTCTTTGCCTCTGCAAGATGATCTAAATTTAAGATATGAAGAATTCCTTTTGATAGGGGCTAAATTAACGGGACTTATTTTGCAAAAAGAAACACGTGGGACGAAAAAGACAAAGTCGTAGAAAAGAATAGTTGACTCTAGTTTCGCCTGGTTTTTATTTTTAGCATTTAGATAAGAGATACTGATGTATAAATAGAAATTTTATTAGTTTCTTAAGTGCTCTATTGGTTCTCCTGTTTGTTTCCATAGAAAGTAATACGTTTCTTTTTCTGTTTTATTTTTATTTCTCTTTTTTAAAGTAGAATTTAAATTTTATAAAATTTACCAAATTTATGAAATTTAGCAAATATCAAATTTACTATTATTTGACTTTTCGATTTTGATTCTCAAGTGTGTAACACGTTTTTCTTGCGCGTTTCAATATGTTTCATCATATTTAATCAAATATCTAAAATTTTTATCTAAATTTATTCTATTTTCATGACTAATCCATAAAATTATGTGTTAATGGTCTATCTTCGTATACAGTGTACTATTGTAAATAAATGAAATCATCTCCATTATCATTTTCATCTCTCTGAAAGTTTTTATTAGAAACTGTCAGTTTAGCAGTAGGAGTTTGTCTATAATAAACAAATGACATTTTTTTACCATTTTTCGTATGCTTAGAATACTATTTAACAAAAATAGTACAGGGTTGCCTCAAGTCAGGGAAATTAGGGAAAAGTGAGGGATTTTTATTAAAAGTACTGGAAAAAACTAAATTTTTAGAATTTATAAGAACATTTTGAATTTTTGTGTTTTTTGTTACTGATGTTCTTTAGGGTCAGGGAAAAAGTGAAAATTTTGTCTGTAAATCAGGGAAAAACAAAATTAAAGTTTTGTTTAAAAACAAAATTTTTTTCGCGAAAAGGACAATTTCGTTTATTGCATTAAAAGATTTTGACGGTCTTGACTGGTACCCTTGAAGTAGTATCATGGAAACACATTTGATTCGTATTTCTAATGCTAAAAATAGTCTTTACCCCATGTGGTGGAAAGATAAGCTGATGTTATTTCAGACAACTTGAAATATACATCTATATATATGCAATTGTCGGTGTAGAATAAAAATTTCCTTCTCAAAATTGTTATCAAATTAAAATACATATATATTTTCTACCACTATTTAATAATAAGAAAGAGGGAAAATTTATGAATGACTTACCTTCGTTATGGTTATTGGTATTTTCTTTGAAAAGAAAATGAGGTACCAAAAGTGAGATAAAATCTTTACGCAGATTATGGGATTATGTACCTACCTGCTTGTTGTCTTATCTAAAAATCTCTGCTTTACAACAAATGCCTTTAATAATTATTTTCTGTGTGAAAGAAAAACAAATATATATTTTTTTCATTTTCAGGTGAAAGATGGCGACTCATTGCCACCAATCCTTTGCCATCATTGCAAATACAAATTGGACGTGCTACACAATTTTCGTGAAGTCTCACGAAAATCCGACGTCATACTCAAACAGTACCTGGATTATGCCAAGCAATTATCATCGCTCGACGATCAGGTAAATTGAAAATCATTTGATATTTTTTAAAAAACAATTTTCCACATTAAATCATCATCATCTATTCATAAATAATAATTACCCTTGGGCTCTCTCTCTATCTTTATGAAAATCGTCTTTTTTAACAGCGCAATGAAAATTGTAATAGTTGCCTGCAAAGTCTTTAGAAATTAGATCATAAAATCAATGTACAAAAAAATGAATGTAATTATTGTATATACATTTTTTTTTCTCCATTTTTTTTGTGTCGATTATAAAAATTCTCTCGGGAATTAAATTAAATTTTCGCCAATGAATTAAATAATAAAAAGGGGGGCTGTGAGCAAATATTAGTCGCTGATTAACAACTGGAAATCGACCTAATGTGCTGACAGTGGTAGGCAGTCACTCTGTTCCAAGTAATGATGCAACTGAGAATGTGCAACATGTGCAATCTGATTGCAGATAAGACAATTTAATCGTGTGTATATTACGCGTTCCGTACATATGTCGATGTGTGCGGAATACTATTTATTTGCGTCTATGCCCTGATATATCAGTAATTATGTAAGACATCTCAAGGTCTCCCTTAATACAGTCTACTTTAACCTTATCAGCTTGACCCTGATTTCTGCATAAAAGAGAAAGAAAATTCACATTAGTCTCACTGTAATGGTGACCAACTCATTGAATTCCACCTTTATAATTCCATCATTTTTTTCTTCCAAACGATTTTTCCAATGAATCACATAAACACTTTTTGTTTTTAGTCCTGATTTTTTTTTCTTGAATAAATTCTTAATTTTGTCAGAAAATTAAGTTACAAGACAATTTAGTTACAAGACAATTTCGAAATCAGGGTTGCCACAGGTCTGGGAAATCAGGGAATTGAGGGAAAAGTCCAGGGAAAGTAGAATTGGTCAAGGGAAAAGTCGGGGAATTTTATTAAAATTGGTGGAAAAAATTAGATGTTTAGAATTTATAAGAAAATTCCGAATTTCTGAAAAAACATTAAATTTCTTCTATTTCTGATGATAATAATTATTTATTTTAAATACCTTAATTCTATTGAAAAACTGACATAAAGTTATTACTTATAAATCATTTAATGAAGTATTTTTTTGCAAAATTTTAATTTCAATTCTGTTGGAATTTGTTCTAATTTTTAAAAAATAACGCAATTATTCGAAAGAATTTAACTAATTTGATGAATATTAAAATTCTTTCTAAAAATTAAATTATTTTCAAAAAGTTTTTAAAAATTCTTGTCAACATTTTTTATTATTTTTATAAATCTTTTATTATAGCAAAATTCTTCGCCGAAATTCAATTATTTTCATAAATTACAATATTTCTCTCAAGAAATCAATTTTCAAAATTAATAAATTTCTTCGCAGAAATTGAATTATTTTCAAAAGTATAATAAAATTTGATTGTTTTTAAAATTTTTAATAAAATTCATGGCAAAATTTCAATTATTTTCAAGAAATTTTCTTAATTCAATGATTTTTACTATTCCACTATTTTAATAAAATTTCCCAAAAAGATTCAATTATTTAAAAATAATTTTGACAAAGTTCTACATGAATATTCAATTATTTTCTAAAATAATGAAAATTTCACAGGGATTCAATTATTGAATAAATGCAATATATTTTTATTTGAAACTTTTTTTTATAAAATTCTTCGCAATAATTCAATTATTTTCATAAATAATAAAACTCATTGCAGAATTTCAATTATTTTTAATACAATTTTTATTGAATTCAATTATTTAAAAATTTGTTGATAAAATTATCTATAAGAATTAAATTTTAAGAAAAATTGAATTATTCAAGTATTGCAATAATTTAATTCTCGTAGAATTTTCTAATAAAAATTGATTTAAAAATTAATTTCAGTTAAAATTGTAGATAATAATTGAATTTTGGAGAAGATACTAATAATTGCAATTTTCAGAAATAATTAGATTTTGTAAAAGTTTTATAAATTAAAATCTTTGAAAATTTGAATTTTTCATTTTCATAAATTATAAAATTTTTTAGAGCAATTCAATTATTTTAAATACAATTTTAATAAAATTTCTCGAAGGAACACAATTTTTTATAAATATTAATTAAATTCGATTATTTTCAAGAATTTTAATATAAATTCAATTATTTTCAACAATTTTGATGAAATTCTTTTATAAAAATCATTTTTTAAATTTTTAATAAAATTCTTTCAAAAAATTCAGATAAAATTCTTTGAATAAATTCAATTATTTTTATAAATTGTAAAATCCTCTGCAAGAATTCAATTATTTTCATTGATCAATTATTTCATTTTTTTAAAATATTAATTAAATTCTATTATTTTCAAGAATTTTAATATAAATTCAATTATTTTCGACAATTTTAATAAAATTCTTTTAAAAAAAACATTTTTTAAATTTTTAATAAAATTCCTTCAAAAAATTCAATTATTTTTATAAATTATAAAATCCTCTGCTGGAATTCAATTATTTTCATAAATAAGAATATTCTTCGCAAGATTAAAATATTTTCATAAATAAAAAAATATTTCGGAGAAATTCAATTATTTTTAATACAATTTTAATAACTTTTCTCAAAAGAACCATTTATTTTTAATTAATATTATTTAAATTAAATTATTTTCAAGAGTTTTAATAAAAATCAATTTTTTTATAAATTTTAAAATTCTTGTCAAGAATTCAATTATTTTTGTAAATAATAAAATTCTTCTGAGAAATTTAATTATTTTCAATTCAATTTTAATTAAGTTTCTGGGAAAAAATGCAATTATATTGAAGATAATTTTAATAAAATTTCTCTAACAGGTTCAATTTATTTTTAAAAATTCTTTGTAAATTTCAATTATTTTCAAAATTTTCAATTAAAATGATTTTTAAAAGAATTACATTATTTTTATGAAATTTAATGAAATTCTTTAAAAAAATGTAATTATATTTACAAAATCTCTAATAAATTTGTTTAAAAGAATTTTATTTTCTATGAATAATTTTAATATAATTTAATAGGAAATTTATTAATGACAATTAATAATAAACACGATTATTTTAAGAACTTAAAAGAAAACCATCATAAAATTATAAAACATGAAGAAAGCGATTACTCCGAGTCGAAGACTGGGAGTCATCGATATCTTCATGTTTTATAATAAAAATAAATAATTCTTATAAGTAATTGAATCTCAAAAGGTTTGAATTTGAAATTATTGAAAATCTTAATTCCTGTGGAAAAATATTAATGATTAAATATTTATTTGAAAATTAAGTTATTGGTGTTTTTGAATAATTTTACAATTTCAGAAATTCGTAAATAAATGCAATAGAGCATTTTTTGGAGTATTTAATAATTTGTATCTTTTTTCTTTTTTAGTATTTTTTGTATTTTTTGAGTATCTAATAATTTTTAAAGTGAATCAGAATATTTTTAGGGTGAGAGGGAAAAAGTAAAAATTTTATCAGGGAAATCAGGGAAAAAAGAAAATAAAATGTTTGTGGCAATCCTGCCGAAACACAATAGTGAGAAAGACAAATGGCACATACGACGACTCCTCCTTCAGAAAGGAGATTCTCCGGCGATGGAGGAAGTAACGTTGTTCCATAAATTCCGTTTTTGCAGGAAAAGTCTTTCTCCACTGCCAAAGTTGCAGAAATAAGCCCGCTCCAATCGTTTCTTCAGCTAAACAAAACGCTGTTCAACGAGGAGCCTAATTCTCCGGCCAGCATTAATCAAAACGTTATACCTCAGACGCAAACGCATCACCTTGAATTACGGGCCCAGGATAACAACGAGCAGGAAAATGTCAAGTGCGAGCCAGACGATGATTCATGTTCAAATAGTTCGGATCCAGATCGTTTAGAAATTGAGGATCGCGAGGAACTTGATACTGATGGTGAGGAAAATGGTTACGACATGACTGTTAATAAGAGGATTAAATTGGAAAATAACTACGATAATACTAAAGCAAGTACATCGCCAAATAGAAGTCCAATTAATCGAATGGACACACCCGAAAGTAATTGCTCCGATTCGCATATTGATCAGGAAACTACGAAACTTTGGCAACAGTTGACCAGGTGAGACATTTTATTGGTATTTTATCATTATCTTCGTTCAGCATTTTTTTTTTTTTTTTCATTTCTTATAATCACATTCTTTTCAATTATTAAACGAACATTCGATTTTATTATACTTCTCTTTTTTGTTAACTTTTTATTCATTTTTTGCAGTGATTGGAGATTTATTATTTACTATCATTTGAGATTTCATCTCGTATTTACTTATTTCGGAAATAGAAAATAAAAAAGAATGGAAATGAGAATACGAATAAAATTAAAACCTTTTTCGACAACAGTAGATAGTGTCATCGTCAATTAAATTCTTGCATAATTTTTCAATGTTTGAAAAGAGATAAAGTATTGAATATTTATTTTGCTCGGATTACAAAACGATTGTTAGTATTTTTTTGTGACAAATTAATTTCTTTAATGAGAAACAAATTTCTTTTGATTTCATAAATATTTTTTTTAATTAAAATTTATTTTTCTTTAACAATTTTTTTTATTTACAATTCATTTTTGTTTTATTTTATTTCTTTTTCGTTTGATTATTATTCATTTTTTATTTTTATCTTCCTAAAGTTTTGAACATTCAAGAAAAAGGGCAAATTTTGTTAATTCTTTTTAATTTACAATATTTACATTTTATAAGAATTATTTTGTACATTAAACAAAATTAATTTTAAACAAAATTTTTAATTTATATTATTTTTCATTTCATTAGATTAATTTTTGAAAATATTAATAAAAAAAAATTCGTTCACTTGAACATTCAAAACTTTAGGGAAATTTTTTTATTTTATTTTTCATTCATTTTTTATTTCATTTGTCATTGAATTTTTATTTTATTATTATACGAATTTAAAAATAGTTCACTTGTTAATTAATTAATTAATATTATTTTTTGTTTTCAAAAATTTCAATAAAATTCTTTATAATAATTCAATTATTTTCATAACTAATAAAATTCTTCGTAAAGATTCAATTATTTTCATAAATAATCATATTTTTCGCAGAAATTCAATTATTTTTAAAAGTTCTGACAAAATTCTTTATAATAATTCAATTATTTTCATAAATAATAAAGTTTTTCGCAGGAATACAATTATTTTCTAAAATTTTAATAAAATTTATCGAAGAAATTCAATTATTTTCAAAAATTTTAATAACATATTCTTCAAAACAATTCAATTATTTTCGAAAATTTTTGTAAAATTTTCCCCAAGAATTCAATTATTTTCATAAATAATTAGATTCTTCACAGGAATTAAATTGAATTTTTAAAAGTTCTGACAAAATTCTTTATAATAATTCAGTTATTTTCATAAATAATTAAGTTCTTCGCAGGAATTCAATTATTTTTAAAAATTTTGATAAAATTCATCGGAAGAATTTAATTATTTAAAAAAATTTTAATAAAAATCTTTAAAACAATTCAAATATTTTTAAAAATTTTAGTAAAATTCTCCCCAAAAATTCAATTATTTTCATAAATAATCAGATTCTTCACAGGAATTAAATTGAATTTTTAAAAGTTATGACAAAATTCTTTATAACAATTCAATTATTTTCATAAATACCAAAATTCTTCATAATAATTTAATTATTTTCATAAATAATAACGTTCTTCGCAGGAATTCAATTATTTTATAAAATTTTAATAAAATTCTTCAAAACAATTCAATTATTTTCAAAAAATTTAGTAAAATTCTTCCCAAGAATTCAATTATTTTCATAAATTGAAAATTTTTTTACGAGATATCAATTATTTTCAAAAATAATAAGATTTTTTGCAAAAATTCAATTATTTTTAAAAATTTCATTAAAATTCTTTGAAATAATTCAATTATTTTCAAAAATTTTATACAAATTCTCCACAAGAATCAAATAATTTTGTAGATTCAAAATTACAAAAATTACAGTAATTCTAAAAATTTTTTTAACAAAACTGTTATCTTTCTAAATTAATAAAATGCACTTATTAACGTAAAATTATAAAAATAAACTAATTTCTAAATTTTTCTTGCAAAGTTTTGAATTTTAAAATAAAAGAAATTTTAATTTAATGTTTTAAATATTACTTGAATAATAACAAAAATTAATTGAACAAAATTGTGTGTTAAAATGAAAAGTAAAATAATTGTTTTTGATTTATATAATTTTTTGAAATTTAATTTATTTTAAATTTATCAAATTTAAAGAAAAATATTTCAAAAAAATCAAAAATTATAAAGAAAAGGAATTAGAAAACAAAAAAGTAAAGAAATACAACTGTAACTTTAAATTATGAACAGACATCTGAATTAAAACGATTTTAATATATATAGATTTTTATTTATTTAAAAAAATATTTTTGAAGAATTAAACTATTTTTATTGTAAATAAATAAATATTTATATTTAATTTGAAAATTTCAATCATTTGCCGATAAACACAATTATTTTAGTCAATTTACGGTTAAAATTGTAAATTGTGTTAAATGTTTTCATTTTATCTAAGTTCTCATTGTGTATTTTTTATCATTGATTTTTAATTTGACAATTTCCTAATTACTAAATTTGTTTTCAAATTTTTACTGGTTTCTCATTAAGTATCATTAACACCTGACCTAATTACCTTAATTTGTATTCACTTATGTATTTTTAATTTTATTGTTTACATTTTTAAAATACGTTTTTGAAATAATTTTTGTTAATTTTACAAAAATAATTGTAAAATATTAAAATTTTACAAATTTATAATAAAAAAATAATAATTATAAATATACATTATGTATATATATAAATATATAGATTTAAATATAAAATTATAATTATAATAAAGTCAATAGATAAAATTATCAAAAATAAGAGAAGAATGAAAATATTGCAAAATGCATATTTAGAAATTGCAACAAAGAAGAGAATTTTCATTTCAAAACGAAAGGGCAGAGATATATTTACATTGACTCAGCTCGAAAATCAAATATTTGACTAGCTTTATCAAGTAGCTGGTTTCTTACTTAGAATATAACGTTTGTTTCAGTCTCCCGTTTATATAGATAAGATATGACTTTTACCCACCTGTTATTTGGAATAAAAATATGCCACTTGATAAACATATTTAATTACTATCATTTTACTACCGTTTCCTTAAATAATATTTACATTCCAATTTTCTCTCTTCTTGTTTTCTATTTTTTTCCTTTTTTTGTCTTTCTTCTCTTTGTTTACTTTTTTTTTTCTTTTTGAAGGGAATTGATTAAAAATTTGTTCTCTTTTTTTGTTCAAAGCAGCAATAGAAATCTCGAAATCACCAGGACGAACGGTGACAAGCTGAACAATGGCTTCTCAGGGGAGGCAACAAATCTTTTACGATCGCTTATTAACAATCGGCAAATCGGTATCACCGCTGTCGATTCCGATGGAGTTTCACCTCAAATCAGATTTTACAGGGACACTCAAGGAACGACCGTTGAACGAACAATGCCAGATTGCTCGGTTCTTGGGAATCGAACAAATATATCGTGTATAGAAAACAAGGTTTGTATTCCAATTTTTTTTTTACTAGTCAAAAACTTACAATTTAAATATTTACAATTCAAAAATTTTCAATTTAAAAATAAAGTAACGGTTAAAAAATTTTTAAATTTTCTAAAAACTATAAACTAATACTTATACGTTAATAATTAAAAATTTCCTCTTTCAACAAATTGTAGATACAGTTGTGTTATTTTCAAAGAGAAAGAAATTAGAAAGCGAAATCATCAATTTCATTGAAAGGAAAGTCCCTTTGTTGGTGGAAAATTTGAATTTCTGTCCCCCATTGATAATTCAGAAGGACTTGTCGAAATATTCATTTTAAATTATTAAGAGTGGAATGGTGGATATGAAGATGATTGTTAGGTTTGCAACTATAAGGCTTTTCTGTTCGTCAAGGAAAAATGGAAGTCAGAAAATGCTTTTGTAGACTTAAGGCTATTGCTCTTTGATTGTATATACTGCGCAAATATGAGATGGCCGCCCTTAAAGAAGAGCTTGCATTTTGTCCAGTGCAAATATACAGTGCTAGTAAAGAAATCCAGGTATAGAAAGAAGGCAGGTCAGGTGACCCTTAGCTCGTCTTGACAAGGGATCCCTTGGGGCCCACTATTCAAGGCCCACCTGCCTGCAGGTAAAGAAGGCCTTCAAGGCCTTGCCAGATAATAGATAACTGGAAAGTTCTTTGTGATAGGCCATAAGCGGCGGACCCACTGAATTTACTGTGTCAACCCGCTGTTAACAGATGTTCAGATAAGCCCGGTTTCAAAGGATTTTAAAATCGGAGCCTTTGTCCCGCGAAAAGGAAATTTCAAATTCTCTTTATCTCTCTCTTTCTCACTCTCTCGCTCTTAACAATAATAATAATAATAATAGTTCACGGTAGTAGTAACTACCTTTTGTGGCATTTCCGAAACTTTTGGATAAACTTCTTTTTGTCTGATAACAGGTAGAAGTGGGAGATTCGTGGAAAGATCGTTCACGAAATTCTATATATTTCACATATCTCTCTGCTTCTCTTTTTTCAATTCACTAAAGAATTTTTTTTTCTTTCTTTTTTTTGGCTGTTGAGTTTGAGATTGATATTTCCTTTCACCTATTAACATAGAGGACTATCAGCTGAATGCTAGCTTAAAGTGTATCAACCATGAAAGAAAAATTCCTATAATTATAGTAAATTGTAGTATTTTATTATTACTATATATTATTTATTTTATTCCATTTATTTCATATTTATTTATATAATTTTTGTTTTATTATGAATTTTTACAGAGCTTGAACTAGGTCCGTAAATTTGCTTGAAGTCCGTAAAAGTCAGTTTTTTTTTTGAAAAAAGGTCCGTAATGTAATTTGTTTTCAACAAGACAAAAAGTTCGTAAATTGTACGATATAATTTGGAGAATTTTTGAGAAATTACAAATGATTGAAGAAATTCAATTATTTTTAAAAGTAATAAAATTCTTCTCAAAAATTCAATTATGTTCAAAAATTTTTTTTAATTTACGTCAAAATTTTAATTATTCTTAGAAATAATAAAATTCTTCTCTAAAATTCAATTATTTTCGTAAAATTTTAATAAAATTCTTGACAAAATTTCAATTATTTTCAAAAAATTCCCTCAATTGAATGATTTTTAATATCTACTATTTTAATAAAATTTTCCAAAACAAATTCAATTGTTTACAAAAAATTTAATAAAATTCTACGCAAACATTTAATTATTTTCACAAAATAATAAAACTTTCACGGAATTTCAATTATTTTCATATGTAAATAATAAAATTTTTACAGGGATTTAATTATTAGGTGTCGTAAATAATAAAATTCTTTTTAGGGATTCAATTATTTTCACAAATAATAAAACTCATCGCAGAATTTCAATTATTTTAAATACAATTTTAATCAAATTTCTCAAAAAGTTTAATTATTCTTAAAATTTTTTATTAAAATTCGTCAAAAGAATTCAATTATTTAAAAATTTATTAATAAAATTCTTTCTGATAATTTAATTTTAAGAAACATGCAATTATTCAAATAAATTGTTTTTTTCTATTTAAATATAATTAAATTCTAGTAGAATTTTCTAGTAAAAATCGATTGAAAAATCGATTTCAGTTAAAAGTTTAAATTATAATTGAATATTAAAAGCATTAGAGCGTGAATTTTGAAAAGAAATTGAATTTTGAAAAGGTTTCAAATTAAAATCTTTGAAAATCTGAATTTTTCATATTTTTAACTAACATTTCTGTGGAATTAATTTTTTTTAAATTATATGAAATTATTATTTTCTAATATATATTTAATTGAAACATTTACGAATAATTGAAATTTTGTAAAATTTAATTCCAAACAATTGAATTTGAAAATTCTCAAAGAACTTTTTAGAAATTATTAAAGGTACAAAAGTTTGCAGAAATTCAATTATTTTTGAAAGTAATAAAATATTCTTCGCAGAAAGTCAATTATGTTCAAAATTTTTTTTAAATTCTCGACAAAATTTAAATTATTTTTATAAGTAATAAAATTCTAGACGAAATTTCAATTTTAAAATATTCCTTAATTCAATGATTTTCAATATCTAGTATTTTAATAAAGTTTTACAAAACAATTCAATTCTTTAAAAAAAAATTTAATAAAGTTTTACGCAAAAATTTAATTTATTTCATAAATAATAAAAATTTTACAAAAATTCAATTCTTTACAAATTTTTTAAAAAATTTCTTTGCAATAATTCAAGTACTTAAGAAAAATCAAATTTTTTACAGGATTAAATTATTTTTAATACATTTTTAATCAAATTTCTAGAAAAATGAAATTATTCTTAAAAATTGTATTAAAATTCGTCCAAAGAATTTAATATTTAAAAAATTTTTAATAAAATTCTTTATTAAAATTCAATTTTTTGAGAAACATTCAATTATTCAATAAATTATTTGTTTTCGTATTCAAATAATTGAATATTGAAAGCAATATAGCGTGAATTTTTAGAAATAATTAAATTTTGAAATTAATTTTTTTGAGAAAGTTTCATTGAATTTTTGTTGTATTGTTTGAAGTTTTTATTTTCTAATATATATTTAATTGAAGAATTTACGAATAATTGAAATTTCGTAAAATTGAATTTTGTAAACAAATGAATTTGAAAATTGTCAAAGAACTTTTTCGAAAATTATTAAAAATAATCGATTTAAAGGAGAATTTTAGTTAAAAATTCTTGAAAATAATAATTGAATTTATTTTATCACTAGGCCATCTTTAATTATTATAAAACATGAAGAAATCGATTTATTTATATAGTTTTGAGTAAAATGTTCTCTTATTTGACTCAGACTAGTTACACTTTTGTCAGTAATTGGTCCGTAATTTTTTATTTTTTGTCCGTAAAGTTCGTACTTTTAAATATTTTCTCTGGTTCGAGTCCTGATTTTTAATATCAAATTTTAATTTCATTTTTTTTCTACTATGGTAATGGAATTTTTTTCCCTGAGCTACAGAATAAACACAGAAATATGTTTTTATTTTGATATTCAAAAATATATCAATGTTTTATTGTTATTAATCAATAGAATGTTTTTTTAAAGATCGAAATTTACTTTCGGGTGTAATTTTTTCCGATAATTTATATTAAAGTAAAAATGTTTTTTACAGAGTGCCTCCATGGATAGTAATCCATCCAGTCCCGCGAGTATCGGCCGAAAGGAAACAAAAGGGAGACGAAAACAAAGTTATCCTAGCAAAGCGCCAACGAGTCCTGGAATTGTTAATTACCAACACGAGTCTAATGAAGAACAAGCTCAAGACTTCACTGCGTGGTCAACTAAAGCAAAGGTTAAGGCGAGTTATTTATTTCAAATTTCGATTAATTTCTATTTCCTTTTTTTTTTAGAGAGAGGGAGAAAAATAAAAATTCTTGATTTATAAATTGATAAACATTGAGATGAACTTATGGAATTTCCGTATTTGAGAAAAATTTCATAGAAATCTGATTAATTTAATTAATATTTTATTATTTGTTTATTTATTTATTAACATTTAATTGAACATTATAGACGGAAGATCAGAAGCAGCAAATCGATCAGCAAGGTGGTAATATGACGAAAAAAGTGGACATGTCTTGTACAAATTGTGGCACGATGACAACAACAATTTGGAGGCGAAACATGAAGGGTGAAATGGTTTGCAATGCGTGTGGCCTTTATTATAAATTGCATGGCATCAACCGTCCTGTTACGATGCGAAGGGATACCATTCATACCCGTAGACGACGACCTAAAGGAGAAAAACCCACAAGGCATCGAAGTGAGTCACTAATAAGCCAATCAATTAATTAAAAACGGTCAATTTCATTCCATACTGTGAAATGGGAAAAAAAGAACTTTATTTAATTTAGTTCGCACTTTTTTATCCTAGTTAGCAGTTTTCTTAAATTCTTTTCTATTTTTCAAAGAGAAAAATCTACTTACACTTTCTAAAAGTATTTCGAAAGTACTTCATATTTTACAAAAATGTAAATTAAATTATTTAATTTGGCTATTAAATTAAAATTTAGTTAATGGTTTTTTATTATAGTTGACAATTTTCTTAAATTCTTTTCTCTTTTTGTAAATACTGGGGTCTACTATTATTATGCAAATTACAACATTTTTTATTTACGAATTAAAATTTTTGGATAATTTTAATACAATTCTTCGAAACAATTCAATGATCTTCATAAATAGTAAAATTCTTTTGAAGATTTCAATTACATTCGTAAATAATAAAATTCTCCGGACGATTTCAATTATTTTCAAAAATTTTTTTAAAATTCTTCGCAAGAATTCAATTTTGATCATAAAAAATAGAATTCTTTAGAAAATTTAAATTATTTTCATTAATAATAAAATTATTCGGAGGATTTCCATTATTTTCAAAAATTTTAATCAAATTCTTCGCAAGAATTCAATTCTCATTATGAAAAATAAAATTCTTTAAAAGATTTCGATTTTTTTCTTAAATAATAAAATTAGGATTTCAATTATTTTCAAAAGTTTTAATAAAATTCTTCCTAAAAATTCAATTATCTTCATAAAAAATAAAATTATTTTGAAGATTTTAATTATTTTCTTAAATATTAAATTTCTTCGGAGGATTTCAATTTTTTTTTTAAATTTGAAACAAATTCTTTTCAAGAATTTGATTTTTTCATAAATAATTGAATTCTTTACAGAATTTTAATTATTTTTAAAAATTTGAATAAATTCTTGTCAAAAAATACTTCAAAAGAATTTAATTATTTACAAAAACTTTAATGAAAATTGTTTAAAATAATTTAATTTTCTAATAATAATTTAAATAAAATTTTCATAGTAAAATGATTCATTACAATTATTAAGAATATTGATTATATTCGATAAATTAATGAAATTTGGAAGAAATCAATTATTTTCAAAAACCTTTAATATTGTCTATTCTTCGAAAGAATTTAATTATTTTCTAAAAATTTTAATATAATTTAATAATAATTAAATGTTTAATTTCAATTATTAAGAAATACTATCATTTTAAAAACTTGAAAGAAATTGCTCATAAAATTCAATTACTTTCAAAATTTTCAATTGAAATTATTAAAGAAACTACATTATTTTTTAAAAAATTCAAAGAAATTCTTCAAAAGAATTTAATTAGGATTTTTAAAAATTTTAATAAAATTCTTGGCGAGAATTCAATTATTTTTATAAATTCAAAAATTCAATAAATAATAAAATTCCTTATAAAAATTCAATTATTTTCAAAAATTTTAATAAAATTCTTGGCAAAAATTCAATTATATTTTCATTACATTAATTTTAAAATTGAAAATATTTTAAAAGAAAAATTATTTAAAAAGTTAGGAAACAAAATAGCAAAGAACGACTAACTTCAAACTGCTAACAGATTACCGGAATACAACGATTATTAATATAGAAAGATTTTGAAGAATTATATTTTGAAAAATTATATTTTTTAAAATAAATTTCCATTAAATTTCAAAAACAAAGTATTAACAATTTTCTTAAATTCTTAAATAAAATTACAAAAAGTAATCTTTCTGGGACTTAATAAAGAAATTCTAAATTCTAAATTATAAATATTAACAATAATTATGTAGATGTATGGAATAATGTGAATAATTAATTTTAGTGTTGATTAAGAAAGAATGAAGTAAAGAATATTAATAAATAAAGAAGGAGGAATTAATAATTGAGAAAAATGATATTTAATGTAAATGATAATTACAGAGAAAGGGGACAATCTTCATCCAACACAGACTGATCATATGGACGCAGAAAGCGCTGACATGCTGGCTGCTCTTCGACGTCAAATTCAGCCTCATCTCATGATGGCAGCGCTAACAACACCTCCACGGATACCCAGTGCTCATGTTCCTCCATCTGCGCAGATGAATTATACCCTTCCGTTAACGAATTTCCTTCCGATGACCGTAAGTTAATTTTTTTTTTAAATAATACAAATTACACTAGATATTTATTATTCTATTATTTTTTCCATCCTCCTCGAGGATTCTACAACAATAACTAATGAATCAATAATTAACAATTAGAATATGAATTCGGATGGTCGGGATCATCGGATGTCTTCCGAAGATGGTGACGAAACGGAAGACGGTATTGAGGACAGTGTTTCGGATGTTCCATTAAATTTAGTTGCAACTTCTCTCTCGGAAGGAGCACACTGAAGAATCTCAACTGCCGATAAAATTTCGTCAATAGATATTACTTGTTCAATCAAATATTCTGGACAAATCAAGTTTTGTTTGGATAAAATGTACGAGGAACAATCTTCTTCAGAGTAAGTCTTATTTTTCTCGTGCAAAAACAAAAAATCTCGTATACTCTTTATTTCCAGAATCTTCCATATTGGATTGGAGCATAAATATATAAATATATATATTATAATATATAGAATTAAAGAGATCGTAAAATGAAAGAAAAGAATACACGAAAAAAAAGAACTATAATTACAATCTAGCCCGTGGTATAGAACGTGTCATGAAAAAAAAAGAAAGAAAGGATAAAAGGAAAACAAAAATGATATTAAAACACAGTATTAAAAATATAATGTTATTCAAAATATATGTACATATTTATACATACACTCGTATAATGCAAAAGCAAAAGAGTATTTTTATATGAAATTTTTCTATGTTCCGAACTTGAAGAGTTCAGGAAACTTGTATATAATACGCGCGACGATAATTTTTTTTCTCTCTTGACGTTCGATCTCAAAAAAAAGAAGAAGAAGATGAAGAAGCTCATTAACTTATAATCATGACAAATTATTACGCTTTCTATTTTATTTTTTTTTTTTTTTTTGGAGGAAAAGAAAAGTCTCTCGTATCGTTTTGTTCCACGGGCTGACAAATATTGTTCTCATCGTAATTTGATTGTAATACTCTCTCTCCGTTTTTAATTTTTCTCTTAATCGATTGGATTAGTGTCACTATTCGATACTTTTTTTTTATTCGTCATTTTAAAGTACATATTTATTTTTTAATAATGTTTAATGTAAATCGAGGTAGAGACTTACACGGTTTTTGTCCTTATTGTAAAATTACGGAGAATTTACTTACAGAGAATTGTATTATAGTGGATGTAGATAATCTTTTTTGATACGTTGATTTCGCCAGGTGGGCGTTTCAAGTTATATAGATACTCTTAAAAAAAAAATCTAACTCGTACGTACTTAAAACAAAAAAAAAAGAGAAGAAAAAGAAAATAGGCAAAAATTACATTTTTTGCTATGTGAGCCAACATTTTATAAAAGAAACGGTAGACGTACTTGATAACAATAATACTCGACGGATCAAATTTTGATCCAAAAAAACAAAATCTCATTCAGGATATTCCTAGGTGACATACGATTTTATATACAAAACGTTAAAAGTAACAAAGTTTATTGCTCTTTTGCCATCGTTTCCTAGATCGTGGCAATAAAAAAAATATATTTTTTCGCCAAAGTATACAAAAAGGGGGAGGAAAGTAATTTTTTACCTTCACGATTAAGTAGATCGTTTTAATTTTTTAATTCAGTAATAATTTTCTTTTTGAGTACTTTTAAAATATTTTTGGAATTCAATTTTTAAATTGCGGTGTTTTAAAAAAAGCATTTTTTCTATTTTTAAAATTGTGATAAGAAAATTTTTCGTGACGATTTTTATTTGTTTTTTTTTAGTATTTTGAAAGGGAAATAAATTTTTGTTATTTGAAATACGAATTAATTTTTCGAGTACTTCCGTCAATGCAGCTAATCAAGAATGTACAGATTATGTTTATAAGCGACCAAACAGGTATTAAGCAAAGTTAAATAGTGCATAATACTATGGCCAGTGCATCTACTCATATTATATTATACCTTAATATCGTATACCTAAACAACTTTGCCAAAAATAGATTTAGTTTTGTAACATAGATTATAGTTAAGGGCATACAACAAAAAACAAATTACGTTTTATTACTATTTTTTTTCTTTTCTTTCTTTCTTTATCTTCTCACAGATATTTTTTTTCTACGTCGTCTTTCTTCTTTGAACATAGTCCTGCATTGGCGGTGGTACTCAGTTATATTTTGACTTTATACAAATTTTTGGCTTTTGATTTTTTTGGACTTTATTGACTTTTGTGGAATTTATTGACTTTATTAACTTTATTGATTTTTATGGACTTTATTGACTTTTTTTTATTTTTTTTTTTACTTTATTTTGTTTTTATTTTGTCTTTTTATTGACTTTTTTTGTCTTTATTTTGACTTTATTTTGACTTTATAAAAAAAATCGTTTACTAGTAAAAAAAGGTCAAATTCTCACGTGATAGGAACGATGTGGCATTAGTCGTTATCCAAGGAGCCTTATATACACTCGTATAGATATATAAATAAATATATTATACATATATATATATATGTATACATTAATTGATACAAAAATGCATTATTAATATTCTATATATCAATACGATTAAAAATATTCCTTCATAAGAATTTACAAGTTCGCTGTGAAGTTAATTATTTTTTTTTAAATAATACGCGATTCAAAGACAAAATATTTTTTACCAAGTCTTTAGATTTAAAAAAAATATGTTAACATTTTTCGTCTTGTAACGATGAACACGATTTGTTAACATCGATGGATTTTAAATGAAAATTTATTATTTATGGAAAAATCAATTCATTCTCATAAGTAAAATTTTATTTTTTCAGTTCTCAATTTCTCAATTTGTCAATTTTCTGTTCTGCATTTTCAATTTGTCAATTTTTCAATTCTGAATTTTCAATTTGTTAATTTGCCAATTTTCAATTTGAAAATGAAAATTTAAAAAATACATAAATGGAAAGTTCGAAAAATACAGAAATGGAAATTTGAAGAATACAGAAATTGAATACAGAATAAAAAAGAATACAGAAATTGAAAAAATACAGAAAGAAAAATTCGAAAAGTACCAGAAATAAAATTTCATTTATGAAAATTAAGTTGATTTTGATTAAGTTGATTATCAAAAATTATTATTTAAATTTAAGAAAAGTTGAATAAAACTCCCATAATTATTAAATATAGTTAAGAAAAAAGAATTAAATTATTCTATTTATTAAAAACTATTCTCCGTAATTTGTTAATATTTTAATTTTAAACAATTTTTCGTGTTACAATTAACAATGATATTATTCTCTTGATATTAAAAAAAACTCTCGCGTTAACTTAATGTTACTTTAATATTTTTATATTAATACCTAACCCTTTTTTCTTTTCGCTTAAAACCCATCGATGTAATATGTAAATAGAAAATTAATTTTAATTCAATGAAGATTAAAAAATGTGTTCATCATTTACGAGAAAAAATTGAGATTATAAAAATTAAAATGTGAAATCAAAATTCAATTGGACTTGAAACTAATTGGTTTGAAAAATTTTTGAAAAATTTTTGAAAATTGTTATCCCTTTTTTATATTTTGTTACAAAGTTTAATGAAAAGAACAAATCCCGAAGAATCGCTGATAGCGGCATTGATATAGAGAAAACGGACAGTTTAATCGTTAGGCATTTTTTTTATGCTAGGTTTGGCTCACCTCGTATAATATTGTTAAAGCGTGACAATTTATCAATTATACATATATTTTACTTTTTAAGGAAGTAAGATTTCTCTCGTGTAGATTAAGTTTTATTAAGCTCTCTACTAATGCTGAATACTAGAAGATATTTTTATAACTTTATATCAACTGACCGAGTATTGCTATTTTATTAATGATATTAATTGATCTATGAATAAAAAAGAAAAAGCAAAATGTTAAAACTAGTGTCCTTATGACTTGTAAGTAGAATACTTACGAGAGAATGCCATGAGTTTTAAACAAATTTTTTTTTTTTTATTTAGCAGTGGTAGTTGAGGCTTCTTTATAGATTTTTTATATCAGTATTCCATACCTTTGATTTTAGTCGTTAAGTTGAAAAATTGACCCCTACTTAAAATGAAGAGAAAAAAAGAAAACCCCAACAACAATTACTTACTTAATTATTAAATTATTTAGTGTTTTTTTGTACTATTTTTACAACTTTTAATTATTATTATTATATTATTATTATTATTATTATTATTATTATTATTATTATTATTATTATTATTATTATTATTATTTAAACGATAACTTATTACTTTATTTTTATTTCTTCCTTCGTTTACACCAACATTTGCATAACATTTGGCAGCGACTGGCTTAATTTATTCTAGTTTATTCTACTTTAAGATTTTCATCTTATCGATTAATTTCTACGATCAATTATTTTCGAATTCATAATTAATTTCCCGTGACAATTTAGTCTTTATTTCCCATACGGACGGTCTCGTAATTTATTTGTAAAAAGAATATTTTTTTGGAAGAGAAAAAATCACGCCACGAACTTGTCAATTTGTTATAAAAAAAAAAAAATGCGTCGAGTGTAAATTGTATATATTATTACTATTATTATTATATGAAGCGAAAAAGAAAATTTCAAATATTTACTAAAAATGTAACAAAAGAGAAATTCTAAAAAGAAAAATTGAGAGAAACGAAAACTGTGCGCTCTTTATATTCGAAAGCATAAATATTCAAAAAAAAAATGTTTCAAACTGCAGTTTTAATGCAGCATTGTTCCGTCCGTTAAAAAGAAAATGAAAATGAAAATTCATCTTTTCAGAAACGCTTTGTTATTTAGAAATTTCAATTTACACGTAGATTAATTAGGTGTATAAATAATTAAGTATGCAGATACATGACATGCATTCACAGTGTTATTATATTATGTGAAAACACTTTTACCCCTGTTGCACGAATATTAATCCGAACTAATTGACTGAATATTATTTTTATATATCGAGACTCGTAAAAAAAATTTGAGAAATTTCGCAAAAGAGAAAAAGGAGTCAGAAATACAATTGAAAATCGAAATTTAGTGACAATTTTTTGAAAAATGTTGTAAAAGTCGATAAATTTTAGTTTTTTATTATTAAAGAAAATTATAGGTATTTTAACTGCTTCGTAGTATTTTTTTACTTTTTATTTATAAATTAATGTTCTTTGTAATTTTTTCAAATTCATCAATCTTTTTTATTTTATTTATTTATTTATTTAATTCCACACGAAAAAAATGCCCATAAAATCATTTATGTTTTTAATTTCATTTTAAGTTTTTCAAGTGGAGAATCTTTTATAATTTAACTCTTTCGAACCGAAACTCTTTTTTGCGTTAGAAAAAAATTGTAAATTTTACTCGCAATATTTTGTAATAAAAATAATCTTAATTTTTTAAAATCAAATTTAGTAATTCGAAATGAATTCGAAATTGATTCGAAATGAATTCGAAATTAAATCGAAATGAACTCGAAATGAATTCGAAATTGATTCGAAATTAATTCAAAATTGATTCGAAATGAATTCGAAACTTTAATATTGAATAAAGAAAAATGGTTCCAAAATGAAAAAGCGAAATGCAAAAAAGAAAAAATCAACTCTCATGTTACAAAGTCGAAAGGATTAAATCCACTCTTTTAAATTTTGGTTTTCCATAATAAATAATTATTGGACTGAGATTTTCTTTTGTTGGACATTTCTGACAATAATAATGTTTCAAAAAAAGTGACGAAATATTTTTAGAGACGTCTAGCGAATACTCTATTTAAAGAAAAAAATGGAAAATATTTTCAAATATTGAAATAAGAGGAAAATTAATGTACTGAGCAACTATTGTTTTTTTTTCGTCGTCTGAATAATTAAAAAAATACGAGCGAATATTTTTTTTTTTGTAAATGTAACCGAGCGATCATACAAATGTAGCAATAGCGAAAAATTACTTTTGTAATCCAGAACTACGGATAAGTTAAGTGGTTCGGGCTATAAGGTCAGCAGCTGTTGAGATTATTCAAGGTTGTGTGTATCATTATAAGTATTTTGAATTGTTGAATAGTTAATAGCGTTTAAGCGAACAAAAAGCGAGGTGAAAAATCTCATACTCGTCACCCAAGGGCTTTAGTCTCCATTAATATTTTTTTTTCCTTTTTTTTGCAAAACGAGACAATATTATTAAATTGCATTATCAATTTTTAAACACTTGATATTAAATCGTAATTTTTTCCTATTGTCATAATCTGCGCCTTGTACCATCGATCAGGATTTTTTTTTTCTTTTTTTCTGTTTTACTATATTTGTGTTGGAGTCTCGTCCACCTGCTCGCAAAACTGTGCAGGATCTTTATTTATATTTAAATATTATACATACTATATATTGAACATCAATAATTGATTTTTAAAAGAAACCTCCCATGACAGGTGTACCTAATTTATACGTGTAACATTGTATTACGAAGTATAACAAGCGATGGCATTGTGTTTTTTTTATATCATAAAAAGTAAACAATAACGCTGTTAGATTTTATAAGCTATTTATTCGGCTGCTATGTGATTTGTTAAAAAATTATTTTCAAAAAAAAAACTTTAAGAAAAAATAAATAATGAGAATGTAAAAAATTAAAAAACTCATGAGTGCCCAAAAAATCTTGGATGAAAGTCATACTCGATAAAATTGTTTACTTCAATATTTTGTAGAAAGAAATTTAAAAATGAAAATATAAAAAGCAGTATTTAAAAATGTATGACGATCGTCTGAGAAAATTTTTTCTAAAAAAAAAAATAATAACAAAAAATTAAATAAAAATAATGTAAACTGTGTCTGTTGTTCAGATTTTGTGACTTAAGAAGAGAGAGAATGTTCTTTGATATTTTTATTAAAAAAAAAAAATGGAAAATTGTTTTTAGAACGACAGATACAGGATTTTTTGAATGGGGACGATGGACCAGAATATGTAGAAATTATTGCGTTCGCTATTTTCGAAAGATACGCATTATAATGAACTTTTTGAAATATAAAAGCTAAATCGAAGCTGTATGATAATTGAGAATCTGAGAATTTAATTAACGTTAACATGTTTATTACCCGGGGAAGGGGGGAGGCATCGTATGCAAGGGCATTGTTGTGATACCACAGACGCAGCTTCATTAAAACTTCAATAAAAATAATGTGTTAATATTAATGATTTATTACTCACTATAATCCTTTAATTCGAAAATTAATTTTTCTTAAAATTTTCTAAATTAAAATAAGTTTTCTAAATTTCTATTAAGTTAATATTTATTAATTTTTTTCACACTTTATTATTTTTATTATTATTTTATTTCCGATTTATTATTATTATTTTTTTTGAAAGAAAACAAAAAGAAGACTAATTATACAAACAACTGTTTATAAATTATTTTATTCAATTATTTAGAAATTATTTTATTTTATAAATAAGTTAATTAACAATTTAAAATTGCGAGTTATTTAGAATTAATTATTTTATTTATTATTTGTAATTAGAACTAATTAACTTATTTATATTTAGAATTAATTAACATATTTATTATTTTTTGGAAATAATTATTTCATTTATTATTTATATTTATTAATTACATAATAATAATTTTTAAACTTTAACAAAAAAAAAATATTTTGGAGCATATTTCGAAAGTTTGAATTTGAAAACTTTTCCCGCCAGTGTCACGTGAGTTATGAGCATGCGCAGAGCGTTTTCCGTCAGGTCAAAAAACATTAAATTATTTTCCGAATTTCCCTAAATTGTTAATTGTTCGTTGAAAAACTATGTCGAACAGTAGTAAATAATTTAATAAATTTTCAACTTTTTAGTTATTTGTTAATCAAATGTTGAAAATAGTAACAAAATAAAAATAAGCAAGAAATTTCGTTTCCACAGTTGGCAACACTGCAAAGACCGTTTCCTCAGTTCAGCATTCGAAATGCTGTGTCGTACATTAGGATTCGTAATTTTTGCATAAAAAAGTGTTCTGTTTGTTAAATTTTATAAAAATTTGGTATTATTCGTGTAGTGGAAGTGAATCCGGTCGGTTTGATATAATAATTACGGAAGATTGATGCAAATTAGAAGTGATTTTGGAAATGAAAAAATTGCCTGTGTGAAACTCAGTGTCTCTGTGTGTTACATTTTTTGTCGCGATTATTTGTGCAAATCAGTGAATATCGTGTATATATTTCAATATGAATAAGGATTCGAAGGATATTATTGAAATTACAACGAATTGTTTGATATTATTTTGGATAATTGTGTAGTGCAGTGTGAAGTATTTGAGGTTATGTTTTCTTTTCGCGCAACAAAAGGCGCAATTTTGCGTTCCGCTGTTTCTTGTTTTCAATCAGTGTTTTGGCGGGAGTGTCAATTCCAATTCCAGTAGTTGGAAAATTCATGGATTATAGGATTTTTTCTTCTGTCACAAATTCACAAACTATTGGTGAGTTTTGTATTGAAGAATTATTAATAGTAAGTAATAGTAAAATTAAAAATCTGATGAATATTAAAATCTTTATGTATAAAAAAAATGTACTATTATCGCTAAATTTTTATACTATAAGGAGAAATTCTATTAATTCTGAAACTATTAGTTAATATTATCTTTTATTTATTAAAACTGATTATTAACGTTATTAACTTTATTAGTTTGGAAAACAATTTTCTTTTTAAGTCCCTATTTTGACTAGCGCTCACAACGTAGTTTCCGGTTTATTCCCCCTCTTGTCACTCCCTGCTTCCCCCTCTCTAGTCCGCCATAATTTTCGTTCGCTATTCATTTCCGTTAGTAGGTGCCATTACATTCGCCATTTTGATTTCCTTGTAGCAACAAGGTTTGCTCGGATTCTAATTTAATTAACAGTTTTTTTTTTGTAACGTGAAAAGTGTCCATTTTTTCTGAAAAGTAACTCTCGAACAGTGAAAATGAGTTACGGGCGTCCTCCACCCCGTATTGACGGGATGGTTTCGTTAAAAGTAGACAATTTGACATACCGAACGACGCCGGAGGATTTGCGTCGCGTTTTCGAAAGATGCGGCGAAGTTGGCGATATTTATATACCTCGTGATCGCTTCACTCGCGAGAGTCGTGGTTTTGCTTTTGTCAGGTAAGTCGAAAATTTACAAATTCTATAATTATTAAATTTGTGAGAATTTATTGAGACCTACTTGCGTGACGTCATGTAACGCTTTGTCACCGTTTGTCCTTTTCATCATTTTTCTTTCATGTTACTTCAAAAATATATACAAAAAAATATGTAAATATAATATACTTTAATCGAGGTTTTTTTTCCCCTCGAGAAATTTTTGAAATTTAAAATATAAAATCTTGGAGTTCTTTCAATAAAATTTTCAATTGTGTAAAATAATAATAATATTGAGAAGATAAAATATGAACAAATTGTCTATTGGAAGAAGATTCTATTAAGAAGCTTTGTTGCAGATTTTATGATAAAAGAGATGCTGAGGACGCACTTGATGCTATGGATGGTCGTCTTTTGGATGGTAGGGAATTGAGAGTGCAAATGGCTCGATATGGAAGACCAACTTCTCCGCACAGAAGTCGCGGCAGTCGTCGTCGTGGAAGGTAAAAATATGAATTCTATATTTAGAGAGCTTCAAGGTTCACTTGCTCTCTTATGCGGATTTATTTTATTCTTATTACATTTATCGATCTTGACCGGCTTCGAGTGAAACTTAAAATTAGGTAAAAAAAAACTGTAGAGAAAATTTGTATCAACCTTTCTTTTTTTTTTATTCAAGATCACGCAGTCGTAGCCGAGATCGCAGACGATCACGATCACGTTCCCGCTCCAGGTCACGAAGCCGCGATAGGGATCGCAAACGCTCTTACAGTCGTAGCCGCAGTCGTTCCCGTTCTGACAGCAAAAGTTCCCGAGGAAAGTCACATTCTCGCAGCAAATCTGCTGACAGACAAAAAGACAGTCGTTCTAAATCCAGGTACGTTTTTTGTCTAAATTTACAATTACTATTTAGTATTTTTTTTACTATCTAATTTAAAAAACAAATTTTTTACCTCATAGGGTTGCTACGCAACCTGAAAACTTGGAAATGTCAGGGAATTTTATAAACCTGGAAAAGTCGGGAAATTTTGTTCGAAATCCTGGAAAATTGTTGTTTTCTAAAGTTATTGTCTTTATTCTTGAAATCTAATTTCACTTAATTAAATATTTCAAAATTCAATTTTAAAAGAATTGCGTTTACAATTTTGATAAGTAGATGAACGTCAAAAGATTTAGACTTAAAATTTTGGAAAAAGTTAATTAGAAATATGAAAAGAACTTAGATTTAAAAAAAAAATTTTAACTAAAATTCTTCTGAAATTAGTTAAATTCTTTAATATATGTATATTTAATTGATTATTAAAAATAATGGATTTATAGAAGAATTTTAGTTAAAAACACTGAAACAAATTGAATTTTAAAGTAAAATTGATTGCAGAAATTCAATTATTTCAAAAAACTTTCTTCAATTCAATGATTTTTAATATCTACTACTTTAATAAAAAATTCCTAAAAGAATTCAATTAGTTAAAAAAAATGTTAATAAAATTCTACCCAAACATTTAATTATTTTCATAAATGATAAAAATTTCACAGGAATTCAATTATTTTTATAAATTTGTAATACAATTTTTTACAGGGATTCAATTATTATTTTCCTAAATAATAAAACTCAATGCTGAATTTCAATTATTTTTAATACAATTTTAATGGAATTCCTCGGAAAATGCAATTATTCTTCAAAATTTTATTAACATTTATCAAAGAAGTTCAATTATTTTAAAAAACCTTTGCTACAATTTATTTATTACATAGAATTTAATTATTATTTTCAATACATTTTTAATTAAATTTCTTTAAAGAATAAAATTATTTTCAAAACTTTTAATAAAATTCTTGTCAGAATTTCAATTATGTTTAAAAATTTACAAAAATTCTTGTCAAAATTTCAATTATATTTATAAATAATAAAATTTTGCTCCGAAATTCAATTATTTTCAAAACTTTTAATAAAATTCTTGGCAGAATTTCAATTATTTTTAATATAATTTTCATTAAATTTCACGAAAAATGCAACTATTCTTAAAAATTTTATTAAAATGTGTCAAGAGAATTTAATTATTTAAAAATTTGTTGATAAAATTCTTTATAAAAATTCAATTTTAGAAAACATTGAATTGTTTAATAAAATATTTATTTTTGTTGTTAAATAATTGAACTCTCGTAGTATTTTCTAATAAATATTGATTTAAAATTGAATTTCAAATTAAAATCTTTGAAAATTTGAACTTTTCATACTTTTAATTAAGAAGTCTATAAAAATAATTTTTCTCAATAAGTTTATTGGCATTTTTAAAAATTTTTTGAAGTTTTTAATTTCTAATATATTTAATTGAAGAATGGCAGAATAATCGAAATTTCGTAAAATTATTTTGCAAACAAAAGAATTTGAAAATTCACAAAGAACTTTTTCAAAAATTATTGAAAAAACCTGGAAATATCAGGGAATTTGAAAAGAACAAAAGCGTGGCAACCCTGTACCTTTAAAAGTTGTTTTACATATTTAATAAAGAAAAAATGATCTTTTATTAATTGATTAATTGAACAATAAACTCTTGCAGAGATTGAACGATTGCAGACAAAAATGGAGATATGTACAGGCATTATCGTGAAGTTCCTGCCTGAAAGCAGAATACAAAAAGGTATTCTATCATTCTATACCTAACAATACTTGGCACATTTAATATCTCCTTTTTACCATTTGCATATTAATTATGGTGACTTACAATTTTTTTTTTACCAAAAACAAGAAAAAAAAAATTAGTTTTTGCTTATAATTTTACTGTAATTATAAGATTGCGTTTTCTCCAACGGAATATCAAATAAATTTGCAAATTAAATTTTTATGCTATTCAAGTTTTTGATTGTTAAAGATCTACTTACCTACAATAGTTTCCGTTTTTCACATTTCTCTTTTTTGTTTTTATTTGCGGCTTATGATAAAGCACTTAAGTCTTCTTTTTTCATCATGTTTACGAACAAGTTTATTCTGTTAATGCCAAATTTATCCTACATCCAAAAAAAAATAGGGGCATGATAAATTTTAATTTTCACGATAGGCGAAATCGAAATAAATTTCTTTTTTTAGATTTTAGCAAAATGATGTACTAAGAGAAAAAAAATGTAAAATTTGATCGTAAACGTCCCTTTTAATTGATTTTTCGTATTTTTTTCAAGTCAGTCGACGCTATTGCTTCATTGTATATCGCAATATTCGTTTGGAAATCTCGATATTTGTCTTGTTGACTAATTAAATGGAAAAAAAATATCGAGGTTTCGATAAAATGTTTTTTTTCCTCGTTAGTTTCTTTTTTTTCTATCTTTCTCTTGATAATATAGAATTGGAAATTCTACGTCTGTAGCAACTCTAGACATAAGCACTGCGTTTCTGTATTGATTCAGGAAATTATAATATTATAATGTAAGTTTGTCATTTATAATAAAGCATAGCGAATTGAAAGCGCAAAAAAAATATTCTTTTCACGAATTAGTTAATTTTATTATTGTAGTGATCAGAGTAGAGAAAAAATATTCGGTTTTATATATTACGAAAAAATTTGTATTTATTTCGAATGATTGTAACTATTTTTAGAAATATTGTCATTTATCGAAAATTGAAAAAGTTATTTCTTTTTCTGATTCAACACTCACACATCCTCTGAAAACTAAAAAGTTTGAGGTAAAGTCTCCTCTTTTTAAAAGGCTGGTATTTATATCGAATTTTTTTCCTTTTTTTTTGAAATAGAGTTAGAGAATTTAGAGTAAAGACATTTTTTTTTTTGTTAAGAAAACTAGAACTTCGACAAAATATGGATGTGAAAAAGTTGTTCTCAATGACTAAGTTGTTATTTTATGGTGCCACAGGCGGTGGAAAGGAGTGGCGTGGCGAGTGGTAGCTGATGATGGGGTAGCTGAGAGTAAGCAGTAAGCCGAGTAGCAGGGCTGTCTAAGCAGTTTGCAGTAGCAAGCGGTTGGTGGTCTGGTGAATGCAGGTTCGCGAACCGTTGAACGAAAGTGAGAATCCGGTGTGTCTCTGGGGGGTGCAGAAAATAAAGAAAGAAAGAGAGAGAAAGAGAGTACGTGTCGAAAACGCTGATATATGCAGAACGCAGCCCGGAAAGTCACCAGACCTCGCGAGCAACAACACGTAAAAATCATACTTTTGAGCAAAAGGTTTAGGCTAGTCGATTAGGACATTTAATTAATGAATGAAAATTTTTCATTTAACACTTGCAGTTATCGTTGATTCCCCTTTTTTTCTATTTTCAAAATTATAACATAATTTTCCTCTAAAATTATCTTTTTTCACTTGATAAATTAAATCTTTTCTTCTGTAATAATTGATAATTATTATTATTATTATTAATTATCCGGGTGGCCACATGTCAGTAAAGTCAGGGAAATTTTAGGAAAAAACAAATTTTTGTCAGGGAAATTTAGAAAATTGGTATTTTTTCCACTTATTTTTAAAAAATGCGACTTTTTCGACTTTTCTTCCAAATATTGCAAAAAAAATATCATATTTTTGAGTATTAAATGTAACTCATTTCGATTTTTATAATGCGAAAAATAACTATAAACAAATCTTTCAAAAATTATTTTTGAATCATTTTTCTGTTTAAATTTTCAAAATATACAATTAAAAAGATTTTGAATTATTGAAATTTTGTAAAATTGAATTGAAAATCAACTTTTGAAGAATTTTAATTGTAAATTTTTAAAATAATTGAATTATCAAAAATTTTAAGGAAAAATTTATAAACGTAAATTTATAAATGAAAATGAATGAAAATTTGCTTCTAATTTTTTAAAATTTTAATATTTTTAATACTTTCAATTACATATTTCCGAATTCAAATACATACAAAAAATAATAACATTTCAGAATTATTTTTAATATTTTGGAGAAAAAAATAATGTTCAAAATATTTAATTAAAATTCATCAAGAAATTAGGTAATTAGTTTTTTTTTAATATTACAGAAATTCTTTTAAGAAATTCAATTGTTTTCGAAGAATCACATTAAAATATTTTTAAAAACTGCTTAATTATTAGATTTTTTTTATCATAATTTTTTAATATTTAATAATAATTGTAATTTTGAGAAATTTCATAAATTTTACCCCGTAAACTTTATGAAAACTTTCATAAACTCCGCAAACTTTCATATTTTTCTGTAAAAAGAATTTTATCAGGGAAAATAATTTTAATGTCAGTAGATTGTCAGGGAAATTGATAAATTAAAATTGTGACCACCCTGTTAATGATAGTTGCTTTCGTTATTTTCTGAATAGAAAATTGTTAAAGATTTTCAAGTATTTTAATTTTTCTACTTAAAAGAACTTTGTCAAAATTGTAAATTTTTAGTTTAAATTTAATTATTTTTATTTATTAACTAAATCCAAATTCAATTATATCCAAAGAATAGATTATAAAAAATCCAAACTAACAGTATTTTTCTATTTTGTTCGGAAATTGTAACTTGGAAACAACTAAAGTCTCACTGATCTCTGCATTTGTTAATTAATGAAAATTTTTTAATTAATCATTCGTTAATTAAAAAGAAAACATAATCGACTTATTATTTCCGAATGTCCAGCGATCGTAAAAAACCGTAATTTCCATTATTTCACATTTAAAAATTATTATTAATAATATTAAAAATGAAAAATAATAATTATTTTTTCCCAATTTAGAAAGTTTGATTTTTTTAATTCAATTTTTTTTCACTCTATTTTCCTAATTACGTAAAATTGTTTAACTCTTGGTAAAATTAAAAGTTTGCGAATAGAACTAGTTTTATATTTTTTTTCCATTTGAACATTTAAAAATATGTAATGATTTTTTTAAATCGCTGGACACTCTGGAATTGCAAAACCTTTTTTATCAGTCTTATTAGTAGAAAAATTTTTTTCTCTTGAGGTTTTTGTATTTTTTTTCTTACTCAATTTTTTTTTAGTTAATCGGGAATTAATTCAAAGTAATTTTTTAATTTTTCGAAATTTTAACTCAGCATTAATCTGTGGGAAAAATATCTAGAAACCTTTACGATACAATTTTTTAAAACTTTTGCATAATATTAATAAATATCAATATTTGTCTCTTAATTAATAATTCTTTAATATTTTCTAACTATTTCTAGAGTCAAAAATATCAGACTTTTAATTTATTAGATTATATTTAAAACTAATAATATAGGCACTTTTTTTTAAATTCTTCTTGTTGTAGTAGTTATCGATTTTTATTTCATACAAGAAGAAAGAACATTAAAATTCTATAGAAATTATTTTAGTATTTCTAATCTTTCTAAAGATAAAAAAAAACAAAAAGGAAAGGAAAAAAAATTTCACAGTAAATATTGAATTGAAATATAAAATTTTGTTTATTCATTTGAATTTCTTGAAAGCAGGAAATTATCATTTTTCAATAAAATGACAATCTAACACAATTATTATTTTTCAAAAGATGTATCGTAATCGTTTTAAGATTGCTGATTAATCGTAATAAGACGAATTCTCAGAATATCGAAATAGAAACGTAACCGTTGATTAAACGTTTTGGAAAATACTTTTTTTTTCTCCGGAATTTTTGAAACTATTTTTGAATTCGCTACTGCCTTGCAATCCACTACAGGGGTATATTGAATATGGGGTATTGTTTTCCCTTTTTATAATCAATATTCTTCTTTTTCAGAGTTTTAATACATTTACTGTATAAAAGCTGCGTAAGTATTTTGTAGAAATAATGCCAGAGTGCTGTTATTGCAAAAAATAAAAATTACAACACTCTAGTTTTTATTTCTTTTCAAAAAAAGATTAAAATTACATTAATACTTAATTAATGTAATTTCAAATACTAATTGATTTTTATTTACTATTTAATTCAAATTAAAAAGTTTAATTTGAAATTAAATGTTTTTTCAGCAAATATGAATAAATCACTTGTAGAGGCTTATTTAAATAATAAATACAAATATAATGAACTGGTTGTTTTTTATTAATCTCACCATTTTTATAAATTTATTAAAATTTATGCGAGTTTTTTTTTGTTATTTTGGTAAAAGTCTCTTTTATGTTAACTTATTACCATTATTTAATTTAAAAATCTGCGAATGTGACTTATGTGTTTAAATTACTCTAAATTTCTAGAGGCACACTTTTACATTACTATCTTAATCGAAGTAGATACTCAAAGAGCAACAGTGGTAAATATCACATATTTTTACTCTGAGATATTATTTATATATAAATTGATTTAAATGGCACTTTGCCCCTTGTGCGTAGAACTAACGAAAAAGAGTCAGCTAATTAGATTTTGTTGGTGACTTTTTTTCGTAAGCATTTATATATTTTGAGATCTCTTTCAAACTGGACTTGTTTTTTTTTGTTAATGTAAATATCACGGTTATCGACCCTCTATTGATATAATATTTAAAGTATTGAGTAAGGCTTGTTATAATTTTAAGTACTTAGCAATGTTATACTAGTAGTAAATAAAAAATAGAGATTCTAGTTATTAACAGTTTAAAAACTAGAGTCGATACTCCGAAGAATACTAAACTATGTTTTTCTTTCTATATAATAAAATTTACAAAACATTTCTAGTCTATTTGTAATGAGCTAGTAATAATTATTCTTATTTTGTAATTTGAAGCAAATTTCTAGTTTACAAGCAAGCTTGCGTGTTTGTGTGTTCATGTATTATCACAAAATGCGTAAATTTCTATTATTAGTAACGAATTTTTTTTTTCTTTTCAATTGACTCGATTTTTCTAAAGGCCTTTCTTTTCATCCTTAACTAATATTTTTGGTGCAATTATTCGTCCCGTTAAATAAAGAACGGCCACTATAACGTGACCGGCGAAATAGACACTCTTATAATATGCCAACGTCTCATCAAATTGGAGCAATTGAAACGATAGTCCTAAGTAAGCCATGCATGACATTTTCAAAACCCATAGGAGAGCACCCAGGAACATTTTTACCTGTTGAAAATAATTATTGTAAAAAATTTGAATTTTCGATCAAGAAAATTTAGTAAATTCAGGGCTCAAACTAGGTCCGTAAAAGTCAGTTTAAAAAAAAAAAAGGTCCGTAAAGTCCTTAATTTGATTGAGAAAAGACGAAGAATTCGTAAATTTTACAATATAATTTGGAGAATTGTAGAGAAAATACAAATGATTGCAAAAATTCAATTATTTTCAAAAGTAATAAAATTCTTCGCAGAAATTCAATTATTTTTAAAAATTTTCCTCAATTCAATCATTTTTTAATATCTACTATTTTAATAAAATTTTCCAAAAGAATTCAATTGTTTAAAAAAATGTAATAAAATTCTACGCAAACCTTTAACTATTTTCATTAAATAAAAAAAATTTACAGGGATTCAATTATTTTCGTAATTAATAAAATTCTTTTTAGGGATTCAATTATTTTTAGTACAATTTTACAGGAATTGCTTAAAAAATGTAATTATTCTTAAAAATATTATTAAAATTAGTCAAAAAAATTAAATTGTTTACAAATTTGTTGATACAATTCTTTATAAGAATTCAATTTTCAGAAACATGCAATTATTCAATTCTATTCGAATTTTCGAATAAAAATTGATTTAAAAATTATTTATTAATTAGAGAGTGAATTTTTAGAAATAACTGAATTTTGAAAAGGTTACAAATTAAAATCTTTGAAAATCTGAATTTTTCATATTTTCTTAACTAACAATTCTGTGGAATTAATCTTTTTAAAACAGTTTAATTAAATTTTTCTTATATTATTTTAATTTTTTATTTTCTAATATATTTAATTGAAGAATTTACAAATAATTGAAATTTTCTAAAATTGAATATTGTAAACAAATGATTTTGAAAATTCTCAAAGAACTTTTTCGAAAATTATTAAAAATAATCGATTTAAAGAAGAATTTTAGTTAAAAACACGAAAAATAGTTTTAATTTTGGAAAAGTTACAAATTATTGCAGAAATTTAATTATTTTCAAGAGAAATAATATTCTTTGCAAAAATTAAATATTGTTCAAAACTAATAAAATTCTTAGGGATTCAATTATTTTCACAAATAATGAAACTTATCGCGGAATTGATATTATTTTTACCACAATTTTAATCGAATTTCTCGAAAAATGCAATTATTCTTAAAAATTTTATTAAAATTCGGCAAATAAAATTCAAATATTTAAAAATCTGTTGATAAAATTCTTTATGGGAATTGAATTTTAAGAAACATTCAATTATTCAATAAATTGTTTTTTTTTTGTATTTAAATAATTGAATTCAAGCAGAATTTTCTAATAAAAATTTATTTAAAAGTGAATTTCAGTTAAAATTTTGCATAATAATTGAATATAGAATGAATTTTTATAAATAATTGAATTTTGAAAAAGTTTAATTGAATTTTCTTATATTATTTTAAGTTTTTATTTTCTAATATTTATTTAATTGAAAAATTTAAAAATAATTGAAAGTTTGTAAAATTGAATTGTAAACAAATGATTTTGAAAGTTCTTAAAGAACTTTTTTAAAAAATATTAAAAATAATGGATTTATAGAAGAATTTTAGTTAAAAACACGAAAAGAAATTTAATTTTGGAAAAGTTACAAATTATTTCAGAAATTCTCAATTATTTTCAAGAATAATAATATTCTTCGCAAAAATTAAATATTGTTCAAAAATAATAAAATTCTTTTTAGGGATTCAATTATTTGCACAAATAATAAAACTCATCGCAGAATTCCAATTATTTTTACTACAATTTTAATCGAATTTCTCGAAAAATGTAATTATTCTTAAAAATTTTATTAAAATTCGACAAAAGTAATTATTTTCAAAAATTTGTTGATAAAATTCTTTATGGGAATTGAATTTTAAGAAACATTAAATTATTCCATAAATTATTTATTTTTGTATTTAAATAATTGAATCCTAGTAGAACTTGCTAATAAAAATTTATTTAAAAATGAATTTCAGTTAAAATTTTAGATAATAATTGAATATTAAAAGCAATATAGCGTGAATTTTTAGAAATAATTGAATTTTGAAATTAATTTTTTTGAAAAAGTTTAATTGAAATTTTTTTGTATTATTTTAAGTTTGTATTTTCTAATATTTATTTAATTGAATAATTTACGAATAATTGGAATTTCGTAAAATTGCATTATAGTAAACAAATGGATTTGAAAATTGTCACAGAATTTTTTGGAAAATTGTTAAAAAATAATGGATTTAAAGAAGAATTTTAGTTGAAAATTATTGAAAATAATAATTGAATTGATAATGATTTTATCACTCGGTCTATTATATAAAACATGAAGAAATCGACCACTCCGAGTCTTCGACTCGGATCGATATCTTCATGTTTTATATAGTTATGAAAAATTTAATTAATAGTTTTAAGTAAAATACTCTCTTATTTGACTCGGACTGGTTATATTTTTGTCAGTAATTGGTCCGTAATTTTTCATTTTTAGTCCGTAAAGTCCGTGTTTTTAAATACTTTCACTGGTTCAAGTCCTGTAAATAATATTCACTTACGGGACTATTGTCAGGACATTGTTTGTAAATTTTCATGTAAATATCCTCCATGGGCAGAAAGAAAGTAATTTGGCTAATGCACAGAAAATATCCCGGTGCATAGCCATGCCATGCTGACGATAATAAAAATACAGCTGCCGTTCTTAGTCCTTTTATTGGAAATGGTTTATATACACAATTAGCCATCCAATATTGAACTGTTGTGTTCCAAACTTTCATTGCTGTTCTCACATTATTACATGTTTCCACTTTTTCCACATTCATATTGTGAACGGTTTCAAAATCGATGTCTTCTTTTTTTAGCTGATCTAAATCACTGGACCTGAAAACAAATAAAAGAGAAGGTTTAGATATATAAAAGTACAAACGGTAGATTGAAATAGAAAATCAATCCTTCGTCTGTGAGGAAAAAAAATAGAAAAATAATTAAAAGATAAATATATTTACAGAGTTTCGATGAGTTTATAATTTTTTGGTCCCAGACCGGAGACTGTTTCACTTTTCGTCGGATAACATCCCAAGCCAGCCATTTGGCAAACACATTCGGATAATATCATTCCAATGAACATTCTCATCCGAAATGTGACAAATGTTGGATAAATATAGACGAATCGGTAGAGGAAATTTCTGGTATTAAAGTCCTCCGTTAAGGCATACTGAAAAAAAAAATTAGGAATTTAATTATTTTTCATTGTTTTTATTTATTTTTTTTTTGCTTTAGAATTAGATTTTTAATTTACCTGTGCGGGAAATGCATTGCTCGTCACTAGAAATATAACTGCAAACACAGCAACTTGTTTTAGTTTGTACAAAGTTATTCCCAAAGGGTCAGAATATTCTGATATTGGCCTGTGCAAAGAATCCCAATACGTTCGATAACGATAATGAGGTCCTGCAATGAAAGCAATTTAAAAATAACTTTTCAACTATTTTTACAAATTCTGTGAATATAAAATAAATTGAAAAAAATTCAAGAAAATATTTTTATTTCTTTGAATTTTATTCAGGACCTTTTGGTCCTGCAATAGAAACCGTTTAAAAAAATAACTATTTTTGCAAATTCTGTGAAAAAAAAATAGATTGAAAAAAATTCAAAGAAATAAAAAGAATTGAAAAAAATAAAAAAAAATTGAAGAAAATGAAAAGAATTTAGGAAAATAAAAAAATTCAAGAGAATAAAAAGAATAGTTTACAACGTTTACAATAGGTATTATAATTAATATTAACCAGTTAAGACTCCCATGTAACTAAAGCCATAATGGAAGATGTCGAGGAAAGTAACGCGCTTTAATGCTTCTGATTTGAGTCCTCGTGGGTCATCCTCTGGAGCTGTTGCTGCAGCATTAATTTCAAACGCTACTCCCGAATGCCTTAGTGTCATCATCATCATAACCAAGCTCGTATGACCCGACACGGGTTCGAATCCAATTAAGTGACATAATCGCACGATAACCAATAGATAGAAGAACGTGAAGAAAATACTAACAGTGTGACATATCCTGAAAGAAAAAAATTAACACACTTTGAGTAAAATAAATCAGTAGAAATTAAATCAAAAAGTAAATTATAATTTAATTCAATTTTTGAATTATTAATTTTAGTCAGGCTTGTTCAAATTTAATTTTATTCCTAAAATTTCGAAAAGAATTTTTTTTGTTACTCCTTCTTAATCTAAATTTTATTTAAAAAATTCGTAACTAGGTAAATGTTTAATTTACAATATTTTTCATATTATTATTAGTATATAATAATTTTTGAAGCGATTCAAAAATTTTGAACGTTTAAATGAACGGAATATGTTTCATTAAAAATATTTACAAAAATTACCGATTGCAACAAAAAAGAAGAAACTTAAATTTTACATTTATAGAAACTTAATTAATTATTTTGCTAGTATGACTCAAAATTATTGTGATAAAATTTTAATTTTCAATTTTTTCAATTAAAATTTCAATGAATTTAATTAAAATTATTTTCAGAAATTTCTGATTGCAATAAAAATTAAAAACTCAATTTTTACATTTAGAAACTTTATAATTGATTTTTTTTAAACTTGACGAAAAATTATTCTAGTAATTTTAATTTGAAATTTCTTTCAAGAAAAAATTATTTTCAGAAAATTTTTGCTTGCAATAAACAATAAAATCTCAAGAAAGTTAATTAGAATTATTTTCTTAAATTTCTGATTACAAAAATAAAGTAAAAACTTAAATTTTACATTTAGAAACTTAATTGTTTTGAAAGTGTGACTTAAAATATTCTAATAAAATCTTAATTTGAAATTTCTTCAATAAAAAATTACAAGAAAAAATTATTTTCATAAAATTTTTGATTGCAATAAACAGTAAAAACTCAAATTTTACATTTAGAACCTTTATAATTAATGTTTTTGATATTTGGCGCAAAATTATTGCAATAAAATTTTAATTTGAAATTTCTTCAATTAAAATTCCGAGAAATTTAATTAGAATTATTTTCGTAAATTTCTGATTGAAATAAAAAGTGAAAACTTAAATTTTACATTTATAAACTTAGTTGTTTTGATAGTGTGACTTAAAATATATTGTAATAAAATTTTAAATTTAAATTTCTTCCAATAAAAATCCATGAAAAAATTATTTTTTAAAAATTTTTGATTGAAATAAATTAATAAACAGTAAAAACTCAAATTTTACAATTAGAAACTTTATAATTATAATTTTTTTTCAAAACTTGTTGAAAAATTTTTGTAATAAAATTTTATTTTGGAATTTTTTCAAATAAAAATTTCAATAAATTCAATTAAAATTATTTTCATAAATTTCTGATTGCAATAAAAAGTAAAAACTCAATTTTTACATTTAGAAACTTTATAATTGTTTTTTTTTAAACTTGACGAAACTTCTAGTAATTTTAATTTGAAATTTCTCAATTAAAACTTCCGAGAAAAAATTATTTTCTTATTCTGATTGCAATAAAAAGTGAAAACTTAAATTTTGCATTTAGAAACTTAATTAATTATAGTTTTTATAGCGTGATTCAAAATTATTGAAATAAAAATTTAATTTGATGAAGAAATAAATAAATTTCATTCGCATTTGAACATTTGGATCTTTAGAATCATTTTCGAAAAATATTTAAACGGAAAAAAATTTCCTCCTTTCAAAATTTTAGGAATAAAATTTATAAATAAATTACCAATATTATAATTGTCATTTTAAATTATTTGCTTTTTTTGTAATTTTAATACTGAAAATTATTTCCAATTTGATTTTTTTTTTAAATTTAAGAAATTATTTAAGTTCAAATAAAATTTATTTTCTTTTTGAAGAATAGTCGGAAAAAAAGCAAATAGAATATAAATTTTCCATAAAGAAACAATTTTTCTAAGCAATTACATTAATTTACATTACTTTAACTACCTGATTTAATTTAATTACCGTGTAAATAATTTTAAATAACGATTGCAATAAATATTTTAATCTGTTGAATTTTTTTACATTTATACAAATGATTTGTAAATTAAACTAAAATATTACTAGCGGATTAAATTAAATTTACACATTGTTTGTAATACGTTTTTCGAATATATTTACAATTTATATACTTTGTATTTTTATACTTTATATTGAGTATAAAAAGTATATTATAAAGTATTCTTTACTCTATACAGTAAAAATGAAAATACGCGTGTAATTTCAAATAATTTATGTTCAAACATTCCGAACTTCAAGAACATCAATAATATGCATGCACGTACAAATAATTAAAAGATATCGACCTTTAAGTATAAACGTGATTGTATAAAAAAAGTTTGATTACATAAAAGCTTCTTTTCATAAAATTCTATTACCTATTTTGTTGAAAATTGCACTATTATTTAATATTGTAATATTTTTCATCCATAAAAGAAAGCCATTACTCTTCGAATCTGATTTAGATTATTAATATCGAAAATTTTATCATGAAGAATAAATTTCAAAGAAAAAAAAAAATTTTTTTCACAGAGAATAAAAAATTTAAATTTACAGAATAGATAAAATAAAATTACTTGTGCGTAAAAGTAAGTATTAGTTTACATGTCAAAATAATTTTTTTATGAAACATTATTTTTTTTCAAAAGTAAAGTATTTTTTTTTCGAAGTAAAAAATAGAAAATAGAAGTAAAATTCTAAAAATAAAAATATAAGAATGGAAGAAATATTAGAATATTAAATTTTTATCTTATGGTGACTTTCTGAAAGTGCAAATTACTTTCTGAAAATTACAAATCAATATATGAAACTGGTTGTTAACGCATACATTTTACTATATATGTACAGTTTGTGAAACATGCGATGCGTAAATACCATTGATGGTGCTTTTTTAATACTTAAAAAATTATATATTCATCTCCTTTCGTTTTTTTTCATTCTGTTCTGGTTGTATCTCGCATTGCCTGCAATCATCATGATCCAAAGGTTGATCGTGACAACTTAAATAGACTTGGCCTGATAATGTTACAAAAGGAGTTATAATAGCAAATAGCAGAGAACGATTCTCCTACACTATTCTCACAAAATGCTCCAAGTTTTAAAAACGAAAATACAAAATAGAAAAGAAAATACAAAATAAATAGAAGAAAACAGAAATAAAGAAAATTATTAACTGAATGAAAAGAAAAAAAAAAGTTTGAAAGACATTTTTCTTTAATGCTTAACATACTGAATAAATTAAATCTCGCTTATAATTTTAATCATTCGAGAAACTATTAACAAAAAAAAATAATTGCTTACAATTTTATTCTATTTGCATTTTTCCGAATATTCTCAAAGAAGATATTTTCATTCGAATTTGAAACTTATTTTAAAAAAGAGAAACAAATAGGAAATAATTTCCAGCACTAAAATTTCGAATAGTTTTTAATCGAAAATGTTTCTTATTGTAATTATTGAATTTAATTCAGCAGTCGTCTTTAAAAATGATCGAAATAGCTTTTTGGGGATGTTCCCGTTTGTATATCTGCAATGCACAGTGCAATAACCCAAGCAATCAACCTATTTTTTTTCCTTTTTTTGAATTGTCACGTGACTACCATAAGTGTACATACTTCCAAGACAGCTGTGTAACGATGATGGCATTAACAAGGGTGCAGATGATCGGGTGAACCACATGACTTCCAGAAACAGTTGTTACCACCAACAATCCATATAATGTGCTGGCCCATTGTTTTGTGAAGGGATCTTTGATTTTTCGATAATATTGCCCAAACCAGATAGAAAGTAATAAAATTCCCAAATAAATAATATCTTCCAGAAGCATTTTACACTTGCGTTTGCGCCTTACTTTCCCGAAGTTCTATGCGGCTCACCGACCACGCCGCGACTGAATAAAATGATATTGGGTCTCTAAATGTACAGCATTTCTCAGTTGTGTCTGTAACTTGCAACATGACCGTGTGTATCTTGACGCTCTTCTTATATGAGGGAATAGAAAATTTTCTGGAAAAAAAGATTATTTTTTGGAAAAATTAAAAATTTCTAAATTTTTGGAGTTTGGAAATATTTTTCATAATATTTTTCTTTTCTCAATGGAAAAAAGAATTTTTTGTTGATTAAATAGAATTTTTGTTTGTGTTAGATTTATATGCTACTCTGGAATATATTGATTGGGTCTGAATTATCTGCTTGAATTTAACGAAATATTTGAAACATAAAAATTTTTCATGAAAATTTTAGCAACAAAATTTTTCAACATAAAAATTTTTTTGACTGAAAAATTATTTTTGTAGGTTTCTTATTTATTTCAATTTATTTTTTCCGTTCTTTCAATTTCCTTGTGAAACAAAAAATTTGTTTCACAGTTCATTATTTGACTCACAAGAATAAAATTTAATTTTTTTTTATATTATCAATATTATATTAAAAATAAATTCAATTTTATTTTCCTAAAGTTCTGAATGTTCTACGGAATGAAATTTATTTACTACTTTAAATTTAATTCTAAATCCTCGGTAACGCGTCAAAAAATGTAAAATTAGTAAATATTTTATTCACATTTTTGAAAATATTAAAATTTTTTGTTCTTTCGAATGTTCAGGACTTTTTTACTTAACATTTTTCAAGCTACAAATAATAAATTTTTACTCAAAAATTTTTATTCTTAAGAATTCAAATATTCATACAATTAAAATATTTATTAAATTTACATTTTTGATGCTATAAAAACTTTTTCTTTATCAGATAAAAATTTTGTTTGAATTCTTTTCACTTAAACAACGTTAATTTTTATCAGACTGGCATTTAATAATCTCCAATAAATTCTTTTTTTTAATCTACAAAAAAGTTGTGAAGACAAAAATCCTAAATTTCTGAATGTTCAAATAAACAAAATTTATTGATTTCCAATAAAATTTGAATTAAATTTCAAATTAAATTTTTATATAAAATAAAAATTTTGCATTAATACTGAAAAAAAATTAATTACTTAGATTCAGAATAAAAAATTTTTATTTTTGATGGCAATCAGAAATTTATAAAAATGGTTTTAATTGTATTCATTGAAATTTTTAATTAAAAAAAATTTCAAATTGAAATTTTGATTACTTAGTAAATTTATTTATACATTTTATTCCCAAAATTTTGAATGTTCAAAGTTTCAAATAAACGAAAAAATTTTTTTTTCTGTTTAAATATTTTCAGAAAATGATTCTAAAGTTTCAAATGTTTAAATGCTAATAAAATTTATTTATTTCTTCATCAAATTAAATTTTTTTCCAATAATTTTGAATCATGCTATAAAAACTATTAATAATTAAGTTTCTAAATGCAAAATTTAAGTTTTTACTTTTTATTGCAATCAAAAATTGATGAACATAATTTTAATTGAATTTATTGAAATTTTTAATTGAGAACATTTCAAATTAAAATTTTTTACAATAATTTTGCGTCAAGTATCCAAAAAATTAATTATAAAGTTTCTAAATGTAAAAATTGAGTTTTTAATTTTTATTACAATCAGTAATTTTCGTAAATATTTTTAATGGAAAATATTCCGTTCATTTCAACGTTCAAAACTTGAGAATCATTTGAAGCCAAATCTAAATTCATTGAATTAAATTGAACGAAATTTTGTCTGAATTTAGTTTAATAATTAATAGACACTATAGTTAATTAAATAATTAATCAATCAATGAATAAGAAAAGCAAATTATATCTTAATTTGCTCTCTGAATTAAATTGATTAATATCTTTAAATACTTTGATTGAATAACTAAATTCAAATTCAATAATCAATTGATGGAAAATTGTGTAAATTTAAATCATAAATATTGAACTCCGGTAAATTATGTTAATACTTGATTAATAATAATAGAATATTATTTATTTAATTATTCAAAAAATGAAATACATTTGAAATATTGGAAGATAACTCGTAATTATAGAGCAAATATCAAATAATATAATAAAATAAAGAATCAAGACATATATGCACGAAATCTTTTTTTTTACGTGAAATTTTTTTTATATCTTTCCCTGCATTTGTTAACAATCATTGTAACTATTTTTCTTTTAATATACGATGAATATAATTCAATATTCATATAACGCATCATAAAATATTAAGCTTGAATTATATATATGTATATAAATCATTCGAAAAAAAGTATTCATGCAAAAAAAAAAATTGGTATTATAGTAAAAATGATAAATCTAAATATTCCTTCATTATATAATAGTAAATTGAAACAAACCCAAAAAAAGACATCATAAAGCGAAGATAATTATATTGAATTACAGACAAACATCGAAAAAACTTAAAATAATGATAATAATAATAATAATAAAGCGGTAAACGAATAAGTCGATAATATAATGGCGTCGGAGATAATGGGCCTTTTATTTTTGTTTATAATTAAAATATACACTGTGTCATGGGTGAAACAAGCGAATAGTATTAATAGTAACAAAATATTCGTCATATTTTCTTTTGTTCCACACACTGTTTCTCTCTCTTTTTTATAAATCTATATTTGTCTCGCACACAGCAAATACAGTATACATAGTATACAGATTTAAATTCAAAAGCACCTTTAGCCTGGCTTAAAATCTTCCAGAATTACAACTTTATATTTATTTATTTTTTTTTTCAATAATTGATAATTAAAAACTTTTTTCCCTTTAAGCCAAACTGCTAATACTTTTGTGAATTCGCTTTTTTTTCCTCTTTTTTTTCATCATTATTGTATAATTTAAAAAAAAAAGATTAGGTCCGAAACAAGGTGTCAAAATGTATCGATGCACAAACTTCTGATACAATTGAGATGCATCTGAGTTTGTTAAATTTAATAAATGCTACAATTGCCAAAAAAATAATTTGTCTTAGATCTTATTAGGGTATTTTTTGTTTTTATTTATTTTTTTTAGTATTCTGGGCCTTTATTTACTCAAAAAAAAGTGTTTAAATCATTTAAATCGTAAGTGTACCTATTTGTAAGGTATACTATGGCCTCTATCACTAACAGTGATATGCTATATATATACGATAACTAGACTTTGCGCGATATGAAGAAATAATCTTCATATCATTTAAAGGGCTTGTTATATAATTTATAGTTACAAATGCGAAAGAAATGGTTAAAAAATTGTCCAGGCCAGTTCTGCCATGAGCGTTTCACCAGTCCATTTTTTTTTTATTTAAATTTTGACTCAAGAAAAACTTTATTTTTTTTTTTGTTGGATTTTCATACGGTGTTAATATTATCGCCATATTCGTATCATTTTCACACAGCACTAGGCAAAACAGCAACGCGTGAGTAGTAGAGAGTATTTTACTTTCTTTTTCCTGTCTCTTATTTTTTTTTTTTTTTTTTTTTTGTCTCATTAAAAGTCAAATTAGTTTTTCGAAAAGATTGATATCTCTCTCTCTCTCGCTGTTGCGTTATGTCGATGCCGCAAAAGTTCATATTTTAATTATACACTTTATTTTATTTATTTATTTTTTTTTTTTGAAATATTTTTACTTTTTTTCTAATTCCTAAATGTAAATATCTAATTCATATATAATATAATTGCGCGTTGTACACGCAGATTGAAAAATAATAAATGAGATGTAAATAATCACGTGGAAACGTGATTATCCACGTCTCGGTTTATATTCTTAAAAGTTAGAACCCTTAACTTGAGATTAACAATTACAGGAGAATATATAATGTTATTACAATCTTTATTTTTTTTTGTATTTATTTATTTTGAAAAAGGAAGAATAATAAAACAACAAGGTTCTAGGAACCTTGGAGGAGCGTCTCTCACTCTCTCTCACTCTCTCTCGTACGTAGACCGTACAAAACTCTAATTATGTACAGATCTATGTCGAGTACGGTTCACTTAAACTCGATTATTCTTGACGTGCAAGTAACACTGATGCATCTAAGGGTTCTTACTAACAGTAGAGTATTAAATTATTACATGTACAAATTAGTACTTAATTAAAAAAAGAAAAGAAACAAAAATATGGAGACAAATTTAACTGGTATCCTTTTCTGTAAATTCATTTTTTTTTCTATATAAATTATGCTCGGGCAGGTATCATGCAATAAAGTTGATTAAACTTTCTACAACCGGGGGGGAGGGGGGAAATGTATAATATGAAGTAAAATTTCCTTTTTTTAAAGATTTAAATTTTCGCATTCCTGCCATTGTACATATAAAAATAGGACAGTTTTTGAATTTTTTTTCATTTTTTTTTATTATTTTCTTTTTAGTATAATAGGAGGCAAAACGAACAGTGCCTTTTGCGAAAAGTTGGAAGGATACTTTTCTGGAAGAACTGCGAACCGTACAAATGACCAAGATGAATTAAATTGGCAACACCGGGTTTAATATTAATATATACTTAAAACTTTTGTCAGCTTTACAGTAAATGTACAGCGCACGATATTTATTTATTTTTTTTTCATTTTTTGTTTTTAAGGGACTATTTTTTGGAGGAATTCTCTGCTCAGTCTGCACAGCAAAAAAAAGCAGAGTCGATTTACCTCCTACTATACCCATAAAACGCCAAAAAAAAAAAAGAATTCACGTGTTCTTTTTTAGAGAAAAAAATTCATAAAACCATGATAATTAATATGGTTGATGTCTCTGAAATTGGCGTGGACCAGCACCTGGTCCATTTCTTGGTTTACCTGGCATATGACCGTATCCCATATTCTCGTAGCCCTCATAGCCAGCGTAATCATAGTTTGCGTACGGATCATCGTAGCCATGATAACCGTTGAAACCATCGCCGCTCATGTAACCGTAACCTCCGCCATAGCCGCCATAGCCAAATCCGGGTCCCCAAAATCCTTGAGCCCTTGGATCGGGATTGACCTTGACTTTTTTCACGTCAACTTCCTTGCCGTTGATTTTTTGTTTTGGAATCTTTAATAGCTTATAGACCACGTCTCTCGATTCAAAGGTAACGAAACAGAAACCCTTGCGTTGATTTTTTGTCTTGTCAAATGGAGCCTGTAACTCCACGACTGTTCCATATTGACCAAAATGCGTCTTGATATCATCGTCCGTGATGTCGGGAGTAAGTCCACCTACGAAAATCTTTCCGTGTTGCGCCTTTTTGCTCACTCGTTTCGGATCCACCTGGACATTTAAACATTATTGCAAATTACTCCTTTTATTTTTATTTGCTCGTTTTTTGAATTAGTGACTATTAACTCGTAAAATTTAATAAAAAAATCAGTCACTTATTTCAATTAGTCAACATTTTTACTAATTCAAATTTGGAGAGTAAATTTACTCTCTAAATTTGAATTAGTTACTGATTTTTTGCTTTTTAATTAGTAAATTTTACTAATAGTTTAATAGATAAATTACTAATTTTAAAGCAAAAAGTCAGTCACTAATTTCAATCAGTTAACATTTTTACTAGTTCAAATTTTAGAGAGTAAATTTACTCTCTAAAATTGAATTAGTGACAGATTTTTTGCTTTTTAATTAGTAAATTTTAGTAATAATTTAATAAATAAATTACCAATTTAAATTTAAAATTAGTCAATTTTAGTAATAAATTTGTAGATAACTATTAACTAGTAAAATTTACTAAGTTAAAAGCAAAAAGTCAGTCACTAATTTGAATTAGTCAACTTTTTTGTACTAATTCAAATTTAGAGAGTAAATTTACACTTTGAATTAGCGACTGATTTTTTGCTTTTTAATTAGTAAATTTTACTAATAAATTTATAGGAATTACTAATTTAAATTTAAAGTTAGTAAATTTTGTTAATAAATTAGTAAAAATAACTATTGACTAGTGAAATTTACTAAATTAAAAGCAAAAAGTAAGTCACTAATTGCAATTAGTTAACATTTTTGTACTAATTTAAATTTAAAATGTAGATACAAATTTTTTTTTTAATACTATTTTTGACTTTGTTAATTTATTATTCTTTTTACTTTATTTATTTATTATTCTACTTTTTTACTTTATTTATTTTTTACCATACTATTTTTTACTTCATTTATTTCAGGGATCACAGTAATTTTTTTTATATAATAGTGGGTAAGAAGGGAATTTTATTTTCCAAAAAGAGGAATTTCTAAAACCAGTAAAAATTATTCTATTAGAATAACGCATAAAATTTATTAACATTTTTTTTTACTTTACTGTTTTCGAAGGCAATTTTTTTTTAAAAATAGAAAAATTTACTTTAAAAATATTAACTAAAATTTAATCAAAAATGATTTGTAATAGTTAATTGTAACGTTAGAGGAAAATTTGATTAATTTTTATATAAAGAAAATTAACATTGAAGATAATAAATTTAGCTATTAAAAATCGTTATTTCCAGAGTAAATTCTATTGAAAATTAGTAAAATATACTTTGAATTCAGTAAAATTTATTCTGAAATTAATACAATCTGTCAAAAATTCCAAACAATTTTTATTTTTCTTTGAAGTAAAAGTTATTTTTTATTTGTTACCTTTTATGAAAAAATTTCTTAGTTTAAAGACTGGAAGTAATATAAAAAGATTTTTAAATTTCAAAATACTCTGATTTTTCCAAAGTTTGCGAAAAGTAAACTATTTTGTCTTCAAGCATAATTAAAAAATGCTTATAAAAACTTGTAAAAAAATGACAATTTTTACAAGTTTTTCTTAAAAATAAGGGGAAAAAGGGAGAAAATTTATGATTTCAGGTGTTTTAGGAAATTTTTATTAATTTAAGAGAAAAAGAGGAAAAAAGGTGATTAGGTTAAAAAAAAGGAACTATGATCCCTGTTATTGTTTATTTCCATTTATTTGCCATTTTTTTTTCATTTAAGAGATTAGAAATTATAGCAAAAATAAAATACGGTCCAACTCAATACTTTTGTCTCCCATAAACAAAAAAGCAGTTCAAGATGAAAAAGTATGTCAGTGAAAGTAGGGACCATCTTATTTTCCCCATATCGTGCCATTTAAAATTTTATTTAAATAAAAGTTGCAAATTTCCAAAAGAAAATAATTTGTAAATTTTTAGGTTATGTTACGTCAATTATTTAATTTTGTAATTTTTCATGATTTTGATTTTTATTAATTTTTTTAAAGAAAATTTTTAATAGTTCTCGTTGTGTAAAAAATATAAATAAAACTTAAATAAAAAAGTTTTTTAATTTATTTCAAAATACGAAAATCTTTTGTTTCCATTGTTTGATTTTTTCCAAAAAAAAATTCGTTATTGCAAATATTAAAAATTTGTATTTATAAACATTAATCGTATAGCATAAAAAATTACAGGTTAATCTAGAAATAAAAATTCAATTAAACAGTATTTTTCGAAGAAAGAATTCAAAGTAATGAACTGAAAATAAATTTCTATGAATGAGTGTTTGAGGTTAACCATTAGAATTAAATTATACTTCACACGTGCTCTAGGAATTTATAACAATAATTATTTTGCTCATTGTAATGACGTTTGAAACAATTGTACCTGTACAATTATTATAATATAAAAATTTGAATTTTTTATTAAAAATCCCTGTAAACAATTTTTTTTTAATATATTTCAGAGTTGAATTTATAAAAAAAACCGGAGAAGCGTCACTTTGTGTATTAAAAAATAAAAATAATTAACAATTAACAGTAAAAAGAAAGATTAAAAAATCAAATAATTGAATAATAGGAAAAGTTAAATAAAAATTACGATATAGCGGAAGTAACAAATTAAATAAAGAATTTGTTCAAGCATAGGGGAAAATTTAATTCTATTTTTTTGATTGATAATTATATACACGTGTTTAAATAAAATTAATTTTATTTCATGTAGGGAAAAAAAAATCATCAACTATTTCGTGTACGTTCCTGAATGCGTTTTTAGCATCGGGAACGCAACGTTAATTTTAGACAATGACGAAAGTACAATAAAAGCGTCTTGGGAATTATATGAAAAAAAGGGAGAAATGTGATATTTCCTTGATGGCGAAAGCAAAAAAAATGAAAAGAACTTTATTTCATTATCAGCATTTTGATACTAACCTTACGTTTGTTGATGTAATGTTCGCCTGACGCCAATAATTTGTCAATGGTTTTCGGATTCGTGAAGACCATAAATGCAAAACCTCGGGAAACTCCGGTATAGGGGTCAATTTTTACAGAGACGCTCTCAATATCGCCGAACTTGCCAAAATGTTCCCGGAGTTCATTTTCGGTTGTGTTCCTGGACAATCCACCAACAAAGAGTTTTCGCTCGTCATCCTTGCCAGGAATACCAGCCGTGGCCTGTGGATTTTGATTCTGTCCATCGGCTTGCTGCTGATTCTGATAAAAGTCTACTGCTGCCATACTTATGCGACGAGCACTGTTTCTCGAAGCCGATACGCGTTATTAAAATTATAATACGAAGAAAAGACTCACAAACTTTATCGGCTTTCCGTTTATGAAAAACTTACTAACAAAGTGATATCGGTTCTTTTAGTGAACCGGTGCCGGCTTACGATCGGGAAAGAGAACAGTAATGGTTTCCAATTCCTTTTACGTTATCAGCTATAGTCTTATTGGTCGTCTAAGACGGCACTTCTCAATCTTAACCAATCAAATTTTAAGATACAATGGAAAGCACCGGAAATATCAGACTGCTTCCGCCACGCTCTCGAGTCATTTCACAACCTAAAACTATTGAAATACTTTATTGAGAGAAGCATTATTTATTTAACATCATTAAAATTAAGACAAATGAAAAATAAGTTGTATTAATAATAATTTGTTCATTGGGAAGATTAAATTAAAAAATGAAGGAAGAATGTCGCGCCGAAATTATTGCAAAATTTGGCGGTGGGGAGAGACGCTAAACGCGCGTCTCGTCATGCGTTGTTTTGACGAAATTATTTATTGTTGTTTATTTGCTGAAATCTCAGAATAGAAATGATTATTTTATTTCCAATGAATCATTTATCAAGAATTTTCTAAGAAAAATAAAATCCCAGTAGTGATTTTTTGACATCTATAATTATTAATTATTGGAAAAGTAATAATTATTAATTGTTTTTTTAATATAAAAAAACTTTAATCACTTTAATGAATTCAAGTCTTTGTGAAATGTGAAATTAACCTAGAATATCGTTATTTCAGGTCATTGTCATTGAGTGTTGGAAACTTGTCCAGAAGTTCGGATACAAGGGAAAGTGAGAGAAGGATCAACCGTTGGTAAAGAAGGTTAGAACTTTTAAATCTCTTTTCTTTTGCATTTGTTTGTGATGACTTTTAGACTTTTAGTACAATTTGACAATAATTCTCTGAAATTATATGGAATTTAATAGTGATTATCTTGATTATTGTCGAAGAATAAGTGTTTATTCTGAATTATTGGATAAGTTAAATATTTTCTCAAGTTCAGTTGATTTGACTGATGAACATAACCTCAAATACATTGGAATAGCGCGACTTATTTGAAGGAATATTTTTATCTAATTTGGAAACAAACTGACACTAAAAGAAGAAAAAGAATTAAATAACGGTTCGTTTTTGTTTATTTACATATTTATTCCAACATTTATTGTTTTTTACTTTCTTTAAAATTGTTTAAATTTTTGTCCTTTGCGTGCAGTGCACGTGTTTTTTGCAAAATTCACAATTTTTAGAACTTTAGTTTACAAAATTAATTGTAAAATTAAAATACTATTTAAATTTATAAAATAATTGTGAAATAAAAAAGGATTGTGAATTGTCTAAAATAGTGTAAAGTTATTTTGATATTTTACTATGGAAATATTGATAAATTTGTAATTGTGATAAATTATTAAAATACAATCGTATTGTTGGCGATTTTGTTTCCTATTTGTGAATTTTTTTTAAGTTTACCAAACTCGTGGATAAATTACACAAATTTATTATTATTATTTATATTTATATTATTATTTTAGTATTATTATTATTATTTTTTTTTGCAATTTGATGCAATATTCTAATGCAATATTTACTTAAGAATTTTAAACAATTCACACGTCTTTTGATTTCATTTCAATTTTATAAATTCACTAAATATTTATAAATATTTTTAAATAATTAAAAATTTTAATATTTTAATTTAATTAATTAAATTATATTACATTAGATTAAACTGAATATAAAATAAAATATTACATTAATTAATTAAATAAAATTAAACATAAAATTAATTAGTTAAATTAAATTAAATTTAAAAAAAATGAATTTAAAGAAAATTTGTCCCTAAATATTATTTATAGTTTTATAATAATTTTTATAAAATAATTTTCTAAAATTAACAAAATCATGAATAAAAAATCGACTCATTGAAAGAAATAAATTAACAATTTTTTTTACAGAAAATATTTTACGATTTATCAGGGGAAATTTATGTTAAAAAGTAAAGTTTCCAGAACTTTTGACAGTTAAAAAAAATTTATAATATTATATGAAATTCAGTACAAGCTGTATTAAAGTTTAAAACTGTTTAGCAATTCTTGGCATATTTTTTGTAAATTTTTTTCAACGCTAAATAGATATATAACTGTTTCCATTTAAAAATTGCGAATAAAAAGATTATAAAATCTTTTTATTCACTTTTTTCCATCTGTAAGAGACGTGTGTATTGTAAAGTGATTCTTTTGTTTAACTTTTTTGAATAGATTTTGTTTCCGAAACTTTAATTCAATTGTTTTGTAAGAAAACAAAAAATTATGTTAAACAGAATTTATTTTTTCAATAATTTTTATTTTATATAGGTTTTGTAAATTTGTTTTTTTATTTGTACCTATTCAATTTTTTCTTTCGGTAATTCTATTCCTTTTTTTTTTAGACATTTATATCTGTAAATTTAGTATAAAATATAAAATATGATTTTTATAAAAATTTTTTGAAATAATTTATTCTCTGGAAAATGCATTTTACTTTAAAATTTTATTCAATTTTTGTCAGTGACATACTTTTGCGTTGTTAATCACGCCAGTTGCACTTTTCTCTTTAAGTAGTAACGTTCTTTACGCGTCAGCCACTCTACTGTGCATATAAACTTGGTTAAACTCCTTGTTTAACTGAATATATTTGACTCTCTAATTTTTTTCAAATTTATCTCATTAAATATTTTGAAAATTCAATCTCTACAATGTGTGTATCTTTTTTTAAAACTTTTTTCTAGCGCGATATTAGATTTCGTATAAAAATTTATCTTGGGGGCATTTATTTTCAAAAAAGTGTATATAATTAAATAAAAAGCAGTTAATTTATTTCTTTCTTTTTTCAATGTGAATTAGATTTTGTCTGTTTTTTTAAGTTATAACTTTTGTGTCGATAAAATTTTTCCGATTTGTTATTTACTGGACATTTTTGTTTAAATGTACTTGAAATTCGCAATAATTGTAGTAGACGAAATTTTTATTTCGATTGGAGTGTCATTTAGTCGAATTTATTATTTATTATTAATTTTTGGTGGTAAAGAATTTAATTTTCAACATTTCCAGGGTTGTCACAGGTCAGAGAAATCAGGGAAAAGTCCAGGGAAAGTGAAATCGATCAGAAAAATCAAAAAAATGTCAGGGAATTTTATCAAAACTATTTTAGAGAATTATTTCTCTGCATCTACTTTATAAATTATTAACTAAAGTTTTAAATGTTCAAAATGAACGATATTTATTAATTTCATTTTAAAATTTAAATTTTATAATAATAATATTGCGTCATATATTTAAAATATAATTTATAAAAGTTCCAAATTATTTGATTTTTGATTTTTATTGCAGTGAGTAATTTTGAAAATATTTATAAATTGAAAAAATATTTCGTGTATTTGAACGTTCTGAATTTTTTTAGCATAATTTTAGGAAAAGCCACAAATTAGTGTATTCGTGTATTTTCCAGTGTAAACAACAATATAAAAAAATTACAGAAAACATCTAAAAACATAGAATATCGGAAAAGAAGTAATAACAATTTTTTGTTAAATTTTAAATTTATAAAAATTATTAAGAATTCTGAAAGAATTTAAATTTTAAAGAATTTCATTTACAAATTTTCACAGTTTATAATTCTGAAAAAATTAAATTTTTCAAAAATTTAAATTTTATTTTGTAAGAATAATTAAATTTTCGAAAATAATTATTGACCAATTTAAAAAAAAATGGAATTTTGAAGAATTTTATTAATAATTATGAAAAATTTAATTATTGAAGAATTTCAATTTTGTTTTGTTTAAATAATTTAATTTTTTTGAAAATTATTAATAGTACTATTTTTAAAAATAAATTACTGACTGCAGAAGTTAAAAACTTTAAATTTTACATTTAGGAATTTTATAATTAATTTTTTTTATGTAGTGCGACGTAAAATTATTGCAATAAAAATGTAATTTTAGGGAGAAATGACTAAATTTCGTCCATATTTGATCATTCAGAAATTTAGGTTCATTGTTTGTTTTATAAAAATACGAAATAATGGAATTGAAATAACATTTGTTCCAATTGTTTCTCGAATTTTTCTAAAAGAAAATTGTACATTTAAAGGAGTTTTATTCAATATTTTCCATTCACGTTATACTTTAAATCTGATAAAGTGAAACTTCCAACTGATTTTAATTCACTGCTCTTTAAATTTGAAATAAAAATATTTACTATTTCAAAATTTGAATTAGTAAAAATATTTACTATTTCAAAATTTAAATTAGTAAAAATATTTACTATTTCAAATTTGTAAATATTTAAAATTCTTAATTTTGAAATAGTAAATATTTTTACTAATTCAAATTAAATGAGCAGTGAACGTTTTTTTTATGAATCAGTGGAATTTACTATGATAGGTAATTTTTACTGATTCTCAGTAAAATTTTACTGAATCACTATAAAGAAAACTTGTCAAATGTTTTGAAATTAGTGAAATTTACACTGATCTAGATTTAGAACGACTAATTGCTTAAGGGGGTTGAAAAAGCGAGTCAATTTTTCTATTAAGGCTCTTTTTATTTTTCGAATATATAGACTTTGATATCCCAAATTGCAATTTAGTTAAATTAGTCCATCAAACGCATATTGCGGAAAAACATAATAATTCAAGAAAATTGAGACAAAAATACGGTTTTTCTCTTTCACTTTATTCATATCTAAATTTTTCCCTTTCCTTCTCTATACATTTCCGTTCATACGAAATCCATTATCCAAAGTGTTTTTATTTTCGAGCTTCTTGACCATAAATATATTCATAAAATATAAAAGTACACTATATATGAACAAATTTTTATGTATTTCTAGTCAATTTTCTGACGTATCAACCCCTCTCTCTTTTTTTTCTTTATTTTAATCGAATTCAATGTTATTTCTCGAATACAGGGCTCGAACTAGGTCTGTAAATTCCGTAAATTTGCTTCTTCTCCAAAATTCAATATTATTTTCAAAAATTTTGGTAAATAAAATTTTTGAAAAAATTTTCCTCTTTTCAATAATTTTCAATATCTATTATTTTTAATAAAATTTTGCAAAAGAATTCAATTATTTAAAAAAAAATTTAATAAAATTTTACGCAAACAATTAATATTGTTTTCATAAGATAATAAAAATTTCACAGGAATTCAATTATTTACAAATTTTTTTAGAAATTTCTTCGTAACAATTTAATTATTTTCATAAATAATAAAAATTTTACAGGGATTCAATTATTTTCGTAAATAATTAAATTCTTTTTAGGAATTCACTTATTTTCATAAATAATAAATAAACTCATTGCTGAATTTTAATTATTTTAAACACAATTTCAATCGAATTCCTAGAAAAATGTATAATTATTCTTAAAATTTTTTATTAAAATTCGTCAAGAGAATTCAATAATTTAAAAATTTTTTTGATAAAATTCTTTATGATAATTGAGTTTTAAGAAACATTCAATTATTCAATAATTTTTTTTTTTATTTAAATAATTGAATTTTAGTAGAATTTTTTAATAAAAATTTATTTAAAAGTGAATTTCAGTTAAAAAATTTGATAATAATTGAATATAGAATGAATTTTTAGAAATAATTGAATTTTGAAAAAGTTTAATGGAATTTTTTTATATTATTTTAAGTTTTCATTTTCTAATACCTATTTATTTAATTGAAAAATTTAAAAATAATTGAAATTATTTAAAATTGAATTGTAAACAAATGATTTTGAAAATTCTTAAAGATCTTTTTCAATAAATATTACAAATAATTCATTTATAGAAGAATTTTAGTTAAAAACACGAAAAAAAATTTAATTTTGGAAAAGTTACAAATTATTGCAGAAATTCAATTATTTTCAAGAATAATAATATTCCTTGCAAAATTTATATATTGTTCAAAAATAATTAAATTCTTCTTAGGGATTCAATTATTTTCGCAAATAATAAAACTCATCGCAGAATTCCAATTATTTTTACTACAATTTCTTTTAATCAAATTTCTCGAAAAATGTAATTATTCTCAAAAATTTTATTAAAATTTGACGAAAGAATTTAATTATTTAAAAATTTGTTGATAAATTTCTTTATAAGAATTGAATTTTAAGACGCATTAAATTATTCAATAAATTATTTATTTTTGTATTAAAATAATTGAATTCTAGATTCAATTATTCAATAAATTATTTCCTTTTGTATTAAAATAATTGAATTCTAGATTCAATTTTTTAATAGAAATTGATTTAAAAATGAATTACAGTTCAAATTTTTACATAATAATTGAATATTTAAAAGCATTATTAGACAGTGAATTATTAAAAATTATTCAATTTTGAAATTAATTTTTTTTGAAAAAGTTTAATTGAATTTTTTTTATAATATTTTAAGTTTTTAATTTCTAATATTTATTTAATTGAAGAATTTACAAATAATTGAAATTTCATAAAATTGAATTGTAAACACGAAAAAAAATTTAATTTTGGAAAAATTACAAATTATTGCAGAAATTCAAAAATTCGAAATGCAAAAAAAAAAATAAAATTCTTCTTAGGGATTTAATTATTTTCACAAATATTAAGAGTCATCGCAGAATTTTAATTATTTTAAATACAATTTTAATCAAATTTCTCGAAAAATGTAATTATTCTTAAAAATTTTATTAAAATTAGACAAAAGAATTTAATTATTTAAAAGTTTGTTAATAAAATTCTTTATGGGAATTGAATTTTAAGAAACATTCAATTATTCAATAAATTGTTTTTTTTATATTTAAAAATAATTGAATTCTAGTTGAATTTTTTAATAAAAATTGATTTAAAAATGAATTTCAGTTAAAAATTTAGATAATAATATTAAATATATATCAAAAGCAATATAGCGTGAATTTTTAGAAATAATGAAATTTTGAAATTAATTTTTTTGTAAAAGTTTAATTAGATTTTTTTAACATTATTATTTTAAGTTTTTCATTTCTAATATTTATTTAATTACAGAATTTACGAATAATTGAAATTTCGTAAAATTAAATATTATAAAGAAATATATTTGAATATTGTCAAAGAACTTTTTCGAAAATTATTAAAAATTAATATAGATAATCGATTTAAAGAAGAATTTTAGTTAAAAATTCTTGAAAATAATAATTGAATTGATAATGATTTTATCACTCGGTCATCTTTAATTATTACACAGTGCAATAGCATTTTTATTTCTGGGATCTCATAGGGTGATTTTTATAGGTTTATTGATGCCGAACGCGAATCCGTAATCAGAATTGTACCATCACCCTAGATTTTTGAGAAATTCGACCTTAAAAATTGAAAAAAGGCTGTTTTTGGGGTACTTTTTGGTTTTTCATGCAGGGTATAAACATTTTTCCTAGGGTTTTCATTATATGGGTACGAAAGCCCATGTCCTCCTTAACAATTTCCAATTTGGACCTTTTAAAAATATCCATTTTTCGATGAGTTATCTTTGTTTGAAGTTCTCGTCGCATCGTAAAATCAGCTAAAATGACGTTTTTGAGGTATTTTTTTTTATCAGGGTACAAAAATTTTTCCTAGTGTTTCCATGATATGCGTACGAAAGCTTCTCCTTCTCAACAATCTCCAATTTTGCCATTTTAAAAATATTTATTTTTCAATGAGCTATCCTTGTTTGAAGTTCGCATCGTAACGTCAAATGAAATAACAGTGAGAAAAATATTAACATAATATTAATATTATTAATATTAACCCATTAAATCTCAAGCAGAAACCAATGATTCATTAAAGAAACTATTACATTCTTAGGAAAATCAAAAATAAATTAACCATTGTTTTTTTGCGTTTATCATTTCAAATTCTTTAACAATAATTTAACAAAAACAAAGATAACTAATCGAAAAATAGATATTTTTAAAAAGTTCAAATTGGAGATTGTTGAGGAGGATGTGAGCTCTCGTACGCATAACATGAAAACCCTATAGAAAAAATTTTTGTACCCTGATAAAAAACCAAAAAGTATCCCAAAAACGTCCTTTTTTCAATTTTCAAGGTCAAATTTCTCGAAAACCTAGGGTGATGGAACAATTCTGATTACGGATTCGCATTCAGCATCAAAAAAACCTATTAAAATCACCCTATGCGATCCCAGAAATAATAAAAAAGTGAAATTCTGTTGCACTGTGTTATAAGAAATCGAAAACTCCGAGTCGAAGACTTGGAGTTATCGATATCTTCATGTTCTATAGTTATGAAAAATTTATTTTATAGTTTTAAGTAAAATTTTTTCTTATTTGACTCGGACTGGTTATATTTTTGTCAATAATTGGTCCGTAAAATCCGTATATTTTGAAATACTTTCACTGGTTCGAGTTCTGTTTATACAAAATCCATTATCAATAGTGTTTTTATTTTCGAGCTTTTTGATTATAAATATATTCATATAATATAAAAGTACACTATTATATATGAACAAATTTGTATGTATTTTTAGCACCTAATTTTTAGTCCATTTTCTGACGCATCAACCCCCTTCTCTCTCTCTTTTCTTTATTTTAATCGAATTCAATGTTATTTCTCGAACAAGAGGTTTACCTACATAGATAGTTATGCACTATACAACCCTCTTGAACCCTATGTGTATATATACACGCACGTGCCTTTTCTTTTCTTTTCTCTTTTTTTTTTCGTGTGGCGCAAGTGCATTTGCCGAATAAGTGCTTTGATGTGTTTATAATACTATATATATGTCGAATAGATAGGTTGGTAGGTTGCTAGGTTGGAAGGTTGAATCGTCCTCTTCTTTTCCCAAGCACGGTGCTTGTAAAAGCTTTCTCAATTGCAGGTGGGGGTGGGCGCCACGACGCCAGGCGTCGCTGTCGTAGAACCGGCGGATAACGGTGGGGGCAAATAGGTTCTGGCGTGGTGCGTTGCTGCTGGTGCCCAGAGTACGATTTTACACCACCCGATTCGTGTTGAGCCTGCCTAGAAAGTCCAAGGGGTGGAAATAACAAAAAATAAAAAAAAAAACGAAATAAAATAAAAAGAAACGAAGAAGAGGAACAAAACTTGATTTTCTATTAGTTCCTTGGCTCAACGGTTTAAATATTATTATTCGGAGTGAGAAAAAAAAATAGTTCCTCCCCCTTCTCTCTTTCTTCGAGGATTCCGCTACGCTTTTCATCCCTTGGGTTGTGAAAGGGTGGCGCTCGAATTATATATACTATATATCGAAAGCCGAAAGCTTAAACTCGCAGTGCATTTGAGAGTTGAGGGCGATAGTCCCGAGTCGGAAAATTGATCGTGTTGCTCGTCATCATCGTCGTCGTCGTCGTCGTCGTCGTCGTCGTTGTCGTTCCATTCGTTTGAAATGTGTTACAAGTGAAAATTTTCTCTTCGTACATATACAACCCCTTTTACCCCCCCCCCCCCCGGGAAACAATTTGCCCGATCCATTATTGTTTTAACGTGAGGTTTGTTCTTTATAAATGAAATTGAAAAAATATTCTTCATTTTTTAATTGCTCCGGGTCCTCTCAGTGCGTGTGTGAAAAGCACCAGGAACACGATAAAAGAATATAAATAAGCAAACGCACCCAGATATCTATTTATAAGTTTATAGTGAGCATATAGGCGAGGAATTAGTGCGAGAAGAGGAAGCGACCAGGCGCGAGACTTGCTGGCGTGTGAGAAAAATATTGTGTGTGAGTTTGTTTCGAAAGGCGAGAGATCAGTTGGTAAAAAAAAAAGAAGAGAAGAAGAGGAAAAACAACCCCCCTTCCTATATTTTACACCTCTCTTTTTTTTATGAAAAAAAAAATAGAAACAAATATTTCTATGTATTTATAATCGAATTTGTTTCACTGGTTTGAGTGGATCCATTCAGTTTTTTCAACCCCTTCGGCTCTATTGTGACTAGTGAGTGCCTATAAAGTGCAATACGAACGGATATGACGAGCGGATCCGCCCGGTTCACGTGATATCTTCTTCACTTTACTTTTAAGATGTGGTGAGTTGAAAGTTCAATGTCTTCTCAATTTTTAGGGCATTGCTCACTCGGCAATGTTGATTCCGAGTTTCTCTTCATTACACTAAAACAAAATTTTCTGCTTGCTTGAAATTTGTTTCTTTTTTTCCCTTCTTTACTTGGATTTTTTTTGTTGGTATTTTTGTTTCTCAAAAGGAGTGGAATTTGTTTGAATTATTCTTCTCCACAAATTTGAATTACTAAAAATGTTTACTAATTTAAATTAGTGACTGACTTTTTGCTTTTGAATTAGTAAATTTAACTAATAGTTATTTCTACTAATTTATTAGTAAAGATTTCATTGGTTTCAAATCAATTTTATTTGGTGCAAGTAAACATTTTATTTGTATCGAATAAAATTTTTATTTAAAACAAATAAATTACTGTAAAAACAAAGTCTTAAATTACAATAACTCAAACGTGTTTTTTTCTTAAATTCAACCCATTTTTGGGCTTAAAGTAAAAATAAGACTATTTCAGGTCTTAAAAACAGCTCCTGATGTGAAATTCAGTCAATATTTAGATTAACATAAAAAATTTAGTATTAGGTATTCTTGACACTAGAACATATCGGAATTAAAATCAGTAAAAACTGATTCAAAATTTTTCTGTGTCAAAATTTCCAGAAAGAGATGCTTCTAAATTATTTAATATTAATAATTCTGAAGAAGTTTAATAGTAGGTATGCTTGCCATTAGAACATATCGGAATCGTAATCAGTTAAAATATAAAAATATTTTAGTACAAAAAATATTTGTAATAAAATGTATATTTCAAGGTGTCTACTAACAGGGAAATAGCCAGGAATTTAATTTGCCAGGGAAAAACCGGGAATAAGCCAGGAGCTTTATGACAAACTGGGAATTTTTTCTCCAAATTAAAAAAAGTTTTATTATTTTAATTTGTTTTTAAAAAATTTCTTTTTATTTCAATTTTTATAGATATTTATACTGTTCTCTAAATTTGAATTAGTATGATCCATTAGTTTTGAACGTTCAAATGAACGAAATATTTTTTATTAAAAATATTTTCATAAATTACTGATTACAATAAAAGTAAAAAAATCCAAATTCCACTTAGAATCTTTAAAAATTGAATTTTATTTCTAGTGATGCAAAATTATTATATCAAAAATTTAATTTGAGCAAAAAATAAATAAATTTCGTTCATTTGAACGTTTAAAACTTTAGGACCATGAATTAGTTAAAAATAATTAACTTGATAGTAAAAAAATCAGTCACTGATTCAAATACAGTATGTAAATAAATTTTTAAAAAATTATCGAATTAATAGAAATTTTATAAAATTCAACTGAAAATAATTAAATTTGTTAAAGTATTTCATTAAAAACTTTTTAACAAATCGAATTTTCAAAGTATTTTAATTTAATAATTTTGATAAATAATTAAATTTTATAGTCACATTCTAAATGTATTCATGATTCTTAGTGCGAAGATTAATAATTAAAATTTTTATTAGTTCATTTAAAAAAGACACGCACTTAAATTTTTTTGATAAAATTGAATTTTTGCAAAGTTTTTTTTTGAAAATTCTGAAAAATAAGATTTTTGTAATTTTTCAATTCTATTGTTTCAAGATAATTGAATTTTTATAAACAAATAATTTAAAATTTTTGAAATAATTGAAATTTCTTTATATTCTATTCTATTCTCTTTGTCGAAAGAATTCAATTATTTCTAGAAATTGTAAAAAAAAATTCTTCTCAAGAATTCAATTATTTTCATAAATAGCAAAATTCTTTAGATTTACTAAATTCTTTGGAATAATATTTTAAAAAAATATTCTTCACAAGAATTCAATTTTTTTGTAAATTTCCATAAGATTCTAAAAAAAATTCAATTATTTTCAAAAATTTTAATAAAATTCTATTTAAACATTTAATTATTTTCTTAAATATGTAATAACATTCTTTGGAAGGATTCAATTACTTTTATAAATAGTAAAATTCTTTGCAGAAATTCAATTTGTATCAATACATCTTAAAAATTATTTTAAAAAATTGAGAAAATTCTTTGTTTAAGGGCATTTGAACCTTGATGACGTCACACATGCTTTGCACAAAGTGTAACGTCATCAAGGTTCAAATGCCCTTAATTCTATTATTTTTCAAATTTTTAATTAAAATTATTAAAAAAAACATTATTTTCAAAAATTAAAAAAAAAAAAAAACCTGTCAAAAGAATTTAATTATTCATAAAAACTCTAATAAAATTTTTGGAAGTCATTTGTAGATTTATTTATATTCGAAATGGAATAAATTTAAATTTGATGAGAAAAAAAACCGGGAAAAATTAGGACAAAGCCGGGAATTTTGTTGAACGAAAATAGTAGACACCCTGTTAATTTGTTTCAATTATTCTTCTCTCTAAATTTGAAATAGTAAAAATGTTTACTAATTTAAATTAGTGACTGTCTTTTTGCTTTTGAATAATTAGTAAATTTTATTAATAAATAGTAATTTCTACTAATTTATTAGTAAAATCTACTAATTTATTAGTAAAATTTACTAATTCGAAAGCAAAAAGTCAGTCACTGATTCAAATTAGTAAACATTTTTATTAACTCTCTTTTAGAGAGTTGAAATTTTTCTGGTAAATTGAGATTTTTATGTGGAAAAATTAAAAACATTTAAATTTTTTTCGGAATATTTATCAGATTATGTAGTTGATTGCAAAGCAAAGAGTATAAAGCTCAAATATGACTAAAAATTCTGAACGTTCAAATGAATTTATTCTCTTTTTTCTAATGAAATTATTTCCTTTGATAAATTCAAATTTCATGAGAATAATATTCTGCTACTGAAAAAAATTTATTCTATTCAAATAAACTATTACTTGTCAACAATACCCATGGAAAAAAATATTTGTCTCAGAGCCAACAAGACTTTATTTGTTTTAAATAAATTTTATTTGGTGTAAGTAAACAATTTATTTGTATCAAATAAAATATTTATTTAAAACAAATAAATAAATTACTGTAAAAACAAAGTCTTAAATTACAGCTCAAACGTGGTTTTTTTCTAAATTGAACCCATTTAGGGCTTAAAATAAAAATAAGACTATTTCAGGTCTTAAAAACGTTCAAAGGAACGAAATATTTTTTTTTTGTTCAAATAATTTTGAAAAATTAATATTAAATATTTTTAATAAAATATAAATTAAGTGTAATAACAAAAATTTTTAGAGCCATAACTTTTTGAAAATATTTATAATGAAAAAACAAACGAAATATTTTTTCAATATAAATATTTTCAAAAACGTAAGAATAAACAATTTGAAACTATATAAATTATTGTTTAATAATTAACGCAATATTATTATATAACAGAATTTTACACATTGAAAAAAAATTTATTTGATTCAAATAACCGATTAATTGACTATTATCAATTAAATATTTAATTGAATGAAATAATATTTATTGGAGTCAATTAAATGGTATTTGATTCAAATACTGAAATTATTGAATCAAATATGAATTGAACCATTTAATTGACTCCAATAAATATTATTTGATTCAAGTAAATATTTCATTGATAATAATAGTCAATTAAACGATTATTTGAATCAAATAAATTGTTTTTTCAGTGTAGTTTTCAAAAAGCAAAAATAAATTTCCTTTCATTTTGAATGCTGGAAAACTGTGAGAGAAATAAATATATATCGCACACGCCAGTGAAGAGAGGTAATTTACAAAATACAAAAATGTTGTTCTTTTTTTTGAATTTCGAAAATTTTTCTGTTTACCTTTTGTTTCGCAATAAGTTAAGCGTGTAAAATAAGAGTTTGGGGAACAGGTGAATATTTTTAGAAAATTGTTTTTCGAGGATCGACATTGTAACATTATTCTACTTATTTCGGAACGGCTGACACAACTACTATGTATAGTTCAGAGCAGAGTCCGTTCACCCTTGAAAAGGCTATATGGCGTGATACGTCAAGTGGAGCGCAATTTCTATTTCATTTGGTTTTACGCTCCAATTTTTTAAAGTTGTCGTCTCGAAAGGGAGAAATTCCTTTTTCTTTTTTTTTCAATTAAAAACGAAATCAAAATTAAACTTTGATTTGTTTACGACTAGATAAACAATAAATAAATGATGACAATTTTCTGATATATATATATGGGCAATTCTACGTGAGATTTCAGTCGACCTCTTAAAATCGGCCAAAAATATTTTTTTTCTATTCTGTATTGAAAAAAAACAGATACGTATTTTTTTATTATTTTTTTGGAGGCCAAATTTTTGAGTTATGAATTTTCAAAATTTTCGCTTTTTAAATGTAGCTATATTTTTAATGTCAGATAACTCAAAAAATATTGCTTCTTTTCATTTTTTGACAAGAGAAAAAAAATTTTGTTTTTCTTTCTACTTTTGAATAATCATAACAAAAAAATTTTTTTTTCATTTTTTATTAAAAAAATAAAAAAAATTTTTAAACAAATTAATTTTTTTTAACTTTGGGTATGATAAATTTTTAATTTTCTTTTTCTAAAACATACCTGGAAATGATAAGAAGGTTTTGCAAAAAGTTTCAGAGTGGGCCTGACAAGTTTGATGGGTCCAAAAAAAAAATTAAGCTGTCCGTGCAGGTCGCACGCACGTGGCACAATGGGATTTTTTTACAATTTATTATTAAAAATTGTCTAGAGCCTACAAATTTTATCGGATTTTGATTATTATTGAATTTTTAGGCTCTAAACAATTTTTAATAATAAATTGTAAAAAAGTCCCATTGTGCCACGTGCGTGCGACCTGCACAGAGAGCTTAATTATTTTTTTGGACCCATCAAATTTGTCAGGCCCACTCTGAAACTTTTTGCAAAACCTTGTTATCATTTCCAGGTATGTTTTAGAAAAAGAAAATTAAAAATTTATCATACCCAAAGTTAAAAAAAATTAATTTGTTTATAAAATTTTTTTATTTTTTTAATAAAAAATGAAAAAAATTTTTTTTTGTTAT